TGTTCAGTCGACGGCGGCGGCGACGTCGCGCGTACATCGTGAGAATTCTCGGATGAACGAGCGAAGGCTGGACGCAAATACGGACGAGTTAATGATTCGAAACAACGCGTAAAGCTACTGGCTGATTGCCAAACCGTAAAAATTCCACGAGGAGTGAGTTCATAATCGCGAGCACTGTTGGATGAGAGGGAGAGCCAGGGAGAGCCAGGGAGAGCCAGGGAGAGCCTCGGGACGATCAGATCCTTTTCCCCAATACAGTTTTATTTTATATTCTATGTTTTCGTCTATATTTTCATTCTTTGTATTATACAGAATAGATTGTAATGTATTATACAGAATATTCTATTAATATAGAATATTATACTGATATACTAATAAACTAATAATATAGAATATTCTGGCTATTCTATGTTTTCGTTTATATTTTCATTCTTTGTTCTTATTCTGTATTATACAGAATATTCTATTAATATAGAATATTATACTAATAATATACTAATAATATACTAATAATATACTAATAATATAGAATATTCTGGCTATTCTATGTTTTCGTTTATATTTTCATTCTTTGTTCTTATTCTGTATTATACAGAATATTCTATTAATATAGAATATTATACTAATAATATACTAATAATATACTAATAATATACTAATAATATAGAATATTCTGGCTATTCTATGTTTTCGTTTATATTTTCATTCTTTGTTCTTATTCTGTATTATACAGAATATTCTATTAATATAGAATATTATACTAATAATATACTAATAATATAGAATATTATACTAATAATATACTAATAATATAGAATATTATACTAATAATATACTAATAATATAGAATATTCTGGCTATTCTATGTTTTCGTCTATATTTTCATTCTCTGTTCTTATTCTGTATTATACAGAACATTCTATTAATATAGAATATTATACTAATAATATACTAATAATATACTAATAACATAGAATATTATACTAATAATATACTAATAATATACTAATAACATAGAATATTATACTAATAATATACTAATAATATACTAATAACATAGAATATTATACTAATAATATACTAATAATATACTAATAACATAGAATATTATACTAATAATATACTAATAATATACTAATAACATAGAATATTATACTAATAATATACTAATAATATACTAATAACATAGAATATTATACTAATAATATACTAATAATATAGAATATTCTGGCTATTCTATTTTATTACAATAACTGTGTTAATTAAGAACTATTGAAGTATTAAAGAACTACGAAAGTTTTTATTATTGTCAAACTGATGCGTGTGAGATGTGTTGTCTCTTCTTTTGAAGAAGCACGAACAAAGTTATATTTAGAAAATAAAAACGATCGACTGTTGCTACGCATGTGTCAACTCCGATTGTGTTGATGAAACTATTAAAAAGAGATAGGTCGAAATTTCTCATTAATGTTGCAAACAATTTTAATAACTAACGCCGCGCATGAGGAATGAATGAATTTCACCTTTTCATATGCCCTAAACTAATTTTTATCACCGGAGGCTCTTTCCTCTGTGTCGCGTTCAATGGATGGATTGGAGAACGTTGGGAGATTCGAAGAGGCCTCTATCAAACCTCTCCGTGGTCGCGGCAGCTTGTTGCGACGTTTTTGCAACCAAGTGACAACCTTCAAGCAACCAGCGGACCTGTTTATCGCGTTTCGAATGAGCGAACAGCCGAACGTCACTGCGTTGGCAGAGGGAGGATTAGGAGTGGGAACGAATTTTGCAAAAATAGGCACGAGGGAACTCGTGCCTCGATTTTACGACGATGCCACTCCACGTTTTATAAGCGGCACGAAGCGACTAGCTGAATTAACTCGCTGGTCTATTCATTGGCGAGATACAGTGACGAACAAAATAATTGGCAGAGGCTAGATTTTGCCGCGAGACTCTGTGCAAAACTGTGTAAAACCTCGACTTCCTCGAATTCAAAGTTCTAGATCGTGATTCACATTCGTTAGGCAAATGTGACTATATGTACGACGTAAGTAAATAACAAAAGAATGTAACGCCCTAATTGCTGCAAGAATAAAGTTGTTTAAGAAACAAATAAACGAACGAAGATGCATAATTTGTTTTCGATAAAAACAAATACCGTTTGAAATTTTAAATAAATAGCTTCTTGCATTTTACGGAAAAAATGTTGAATAATTCGTCTGAAAATTTACAGGCTCGAATTGTCTGTATGAAAATGCTTGTTCATCACTGCATCATACATTTCGTAAATATTTATTATGCGCTTTCAGCGGAGAGGAGTTTTCGATGGCCAAATACTGTCGCCATTATTATATTCTTGTCATTATGATCAATAACCATTGATTACATCGAGTGAATTTACTCGGTGTTCATTGACCGTTCAGTATAATAAAATATGTCGAGAATATTGTATTTCGTCGCTGCAGCAACGGCGATTACGTACAATGAATTAAATCATTAACAAATGTTATCTCATGTTTGAAGCCATAAGTCATATCTCGTATTTGCTATAGAAGAGGAGTTTCGCTACTCGTTACGATTCACTCATATTCTAAAATTGAATATATGTTTTGTCATTTAAATGCTTCTCAAGTACGTAAAGAAATATTAATTATCCGGACTAATATTATTTATTAATTTATTATTTATTAAAGTCTATACTAGACAAATTACTCAAGTATTGTTAGACTGTTAGAACAGTCAGACTGTAGATTTTCGTGCAAATTCGCATTTTCGAAAATGTAATTAAAGAAATTTGTTTTATGCGCATAAAATATACTTTGGATATTTTATACATTTTCATTGCATATTTAACCATTATTAATTGCACGCGAAACGATGAAAAACATTTCGAAACGAAAATTTTAGTAAATATCTCTAACGAACGAAAAAGTAGAAATACTTTCATCAAATTAATTCCTTATATTAAATTTACTATCCAATACTTGATAGAAATTCTGATAAAAATAAAAGACACCAAGGTCTCGGTGGACGAGCTCATGTTTCTAGAGTTTTTTAATAATCACTGAATATTTGAAGGTTGTCAACTAACGCGTCGCTTCTGAATCGAATAGTTATTCAAGTAGAATCTAGCCAGCGTGCATGGGGAAAAATGCAATTAACTTAAAGAAAGAATGACAGCAATGATGCGGTACCTTGGAATTCTCCGATGATATAATAGAACGGCCCAGCATTTTTTTCGTCGAGGAATGATATTTGCCTCTGAAAGAAAAGAAATAAAAGAGCATATATCGCGTTTATATTTAAAACTATCAAATTAGAGAGGAACGCTAATTTCATTTGTCAAAGACAGCGAAGTCATCTTCATTGTAAAGAAAACAATTCTTTGAAGAATGTTAATTTAATAATCTATAGCCTTCGTAGAAGACTATCTTCTGCTAATGTGTCTGCTTATTTTTATTTCAAATTATTGAAACATTTAATATTGAAATGATTCTTATATTGTAAATTCTACTTTAAACGATTGAATTAACACAGCATTAAATAGCTAGCTGTTTCACATCATGAAATTTTGACTTGCGCGTGAGGGAAATTCTTATCCTCTAGATATGCATTCCGTGATACGACACGAGATTTAAACAGATCTTTCAAATGTCAATGTGAAATAAAAGAAAAAAACGTATAAACTATAGAGTTCTGATTGTAAAAATGAAATTATTTAAACGAAAAGACGAAATCTCATGACCTTACAGAAACATTTTAACATGTTTCACACTTGCTTACGATAATTACCGTGTTATTAAATCCTTGTTTTGATTTCCTTCCGAGAAATCGAAACGATCCGATTCGATCTTAATTAACAGATCGTTAACCGCGTATGCCGAAGTAATAATACGCATATGTCCTAGTAACTAACTTCAGACGACTGTTGACCGGACAGCAACGTGCGAAATTATACAGGATAAAATCCTCTGGAATATCCGTGCACGATCTGAAAACAGAACGTCACGGTCGCCGTTTTAATACACGTTGTTACCACCGTCGTATCGATTGTCCCAATGAAAATTCGGTCCAGTTCATTCCTCGGCCTTCGTTCCTCCCCATCGACGAGAGAGATGCGCACGAGGATCCATAATATCCTCCAGACTGTAATTAAACGTAACGGCGCTTAGTACGTGTAAATTTAATTAGCAGCTACTGAGCCTTATTAAATGCAAGCAGCTGAAGTCGTAGCTCTGTTTGGATGGAAATCACTGAAACGGAATAATGAACCAAACAGGCCAATAACACACTATCTGTTCCTTACGTAGATAGGTATGTGTACTTAATTACACGCTACGTACATTAATTTATATCGGACAACTTTCAGTCCGATTCCTTCAAGATATCCAAATGTCGTCAAAACTGACGAAGTGTATGTTAAATAATCGCATGTATCGATATATATATATATATATATATATATATATATATCAGAAACAATTACACTTAATCCCTTGCGCTGGCAACTGGTTCGCGGACCATAACGAGTGACCGAACTCGTATACAATAATCCGTCGCTTTCTTTATCTTTTGAGCTCGTCGGTACGATATCACTGAAATGATAGAAATTATTGCAAAGTAATAAATTTATTATTTGCTTTGCCTCATTTTGGTTTACTTAAATATACTTAAAACTGAGAAAAATATTACAAATTTTGGAACAAAAAATTCTCGACGTGCGTGGCATTTCAGCGCAAGAGATTAACACGTACATAGAATCCCTTGATTGCTACTTCTTAACATCATTACTTTCAATTGGACGAGTATGTTGTCGAAAAATAGTAGGGATTTTTGGAAACAATTCGCTCAATTTTATTCCGCATTTAAGAGGAATCTCTCTTGATTTCTCCCAATTAATAATCAATAAAAACTTTGGACTACGCAAGTCCAAAAGATGCGAAATTAAACTCCAGTCGGTTAAATCAATCACTGGGGAAAAATAATCGCACACAGACGTAATCTCGTGTTACAAATGATTATATTTCACTTTATGTTACAAAAAGAATCTCTAATGCGGGTAATGTCCCGGTTCTTTATAGTTTCAATAACGTTCAAACACCAGTGGCCCACGAAACTCGTGGAATCCTGGAACATTCTGTCGTTACACGTTTCCTCGCCACGGTAAATAAGTATCGATGAACATCTACTTAATAACTACTATCGATATCGTCTAATTAACACGACTGACACTCCTGTCTGATTAACTTCGTAATTATAAGAATAATAAACATGGAAGAATGGGGGAGGGCGGTGAACTGGGAGGAGGGGGGAGGGGAAAAAAGTCACAAATTCACTACGAATTTTACGGGGTCGTTCGATCCTCGATCGAATCCCGTTCTACGATTACACAAGGTTCGTCTTACATTTAAAACGCTAGGTACGCGTACACGTCTACGGAGAAAATATACCATAAGTTGTTCGGAAATATAAATCGTTCGATAAATTCTTCGACGTTCCGGCAGAACGTCCGGCCTCTTCTCTTCTTCTTCTTCTTCTTCTTCTTCTTCTTCTTCTTCTTCCTTCTCCTCTTATTTTTTTCTTTTTTTTTTTGTCTTTATGATAGCGTTTTACACTAATGTGCATTTACACTATTTACAATGACTTCGGGTCCATGCACGAGCACGCCGTCGGACTAAAAGGTGTGTTCTTTTTGGTTCTAAATGTCTGTCAATGACGAAGAATGTATGTACGTAACTGTGAAGCAAGGTTGTAGAATGTACGGCAGAGAGAGAACATGATAAATCGCTTTTTTTTTAATTTTTTGAATTTTTCTTGTAAAGAAGCATGTCACGAAGTATAGAGGAGAAATTTTTAAATTTAATTCTTCCGTGTCAACTTTTGATATTTTTGATTATTTAAGTGTCAGTTTTAAGTTTAATTTTTTTACTTCTTCGTCTAACGTGTATTTTTTTTCTTTTTTTTCTTCTTTGGTCTTGAAATATTAAAATGTTTAGGCACGATTGCTGAGATATTACTTCAGCGTTATGTGATTTTCAGCGCTTTGTGATCGATGACGTTCATGTGATTTTCAGTGATTATTGATCATCAACGCCATGTAATTTTATATTTTATAAATCCTTAACAGATGAAAGTTACTCCTGAAAATAATAATATTTGTAATTATATATATATATATATATATATATGTATATATTTTTATTTCCCACATAAAATTAATCAATGATGTCAATTAATCCCATATTACCAAAATTATTCTTTTATTTCATTTTCGAATTTAATCGCCGTTTCAAATTTCAAAACTCTATTTTAAATTCCTTTCTATTTCATATCAGATTCTGTCGATCAAAGTGACATTCAAGTGAAAAAGAAAAAGTCAGCAAAAATCAACTTACGATGTTCTCTCCCTGCGATATTCAATTGAGTTTGATTTCGAATCATGTTCTTGTCGAAATAAAAATCCTTATAAAAATAACTTCAAGTTCAACGTCGGACTTGTATCATTTTTCAATGTTTGCTTTTTAAGACTTTGTCAACCATAACGATGCCACTGAAATATCTAACCGTAAGACGAGTTCAGTAATCGTAGACCATATTTTCATGAGGTATATATACGTACTTATAAACATTGTTCTATAAAGATATAGCAAAGCTAACGGAACGAGAAATTTTTATAACTTCTAGCTATGAATCACTGTTTTAATTTCACTGGTAGGCTAACTCTATAAAAGTAGCTACATATGCCACTATCTATTCTCTAGGGAATACAGTCGTTATAGTTCTATACCTAAGGCTAGCGATTTTACTAAAATTGGATATCAATATTTCTAGTATATTATATCTGAATTATTTTTGGCATCGAAATGGTTCACTGCTTCGTTCAAAAATTTTATAAGACGACGTAGAACATTAACGTTAGAACTGCCGATCTTTAATATGTTGATTAGAGTAATACAGTCAACTAATCACGCAATCGTGTTTCTTAATTAAAATTAGTAAGATAAAAAAAACGATTTCAATTAATTTGTTACTTATAGTGTTAATTATTCGAACTAATCGTGACATACTTGAATATTTTTTTGTACGAAAGAATGTTCACTTATTTCATACAGATTAATACGAAACCAAAACGTGGTTCTTATTCAAGAAACAATTTCCATATTTCAATGTAATAATCAAACTATGGATTTTCACGTATTTGTAGAAAATTAATTTTTACAAAATTAAAATTACAGAAAATGCACGTAATATGAAAAATATATAAATTATCCGCGTAATAGGACATTTAATTATGTTCTCGAGACTATGGATTTGCATAAAAATCCATAATCACGCGGTCAAAATTAACTTATTCTTTAATATGTAGAAATTTATAAAAAGTTTATAGAAATTTTTTAAACTTCAATATAAAATTTGAATATTACAAAAGAACATAAAACGAATCGTACCATTAGTCGGCGTTCTGATGGTCAAGATTTTGCCATATTTAAAGAACCTCAAAACGCAAAGAGAATGCCACTCTCGAGATATACCATTCGAACGGAACAATCGATTTCTTCGCCATTGAAAGACACTCTAACGTGAAGTGATGGCAAATGGAATCAGTAGAAAAAGAACGGATGAAAAATCGATATCTCCTCGACTTTTTTCTTTTTTTTCTTTCTTTCTTTTTTTTTTTTTTTTTCTTTTTGACTAAATGTGGACCCTGTTAAGGTGCAAGAAACACACGAACGTCCTCGAAGACGTAAAAGCTCGTACCCATCCTTAACCCTTTATATTCTGATGGTACCACTTTATATAAACCCTTATGTCACTTCAAACGTGAGTACAACGTCTCCTCGTGGTACTCGAAAAGACGTGCAAAATGAACATTTGATTTGTGAATCGCTGGAAAATGGCGTAATTGCAGGATATTTATACGTTTATACTTGTTTCCCTGGTTTTCATCATCTTGAACATAATACAGTGAAGTTCCTCCCTTATGTGAATGTTCGTTTTTCGTATGCCTCAATATTTGAATATTATGTTACCAGAACAGAAACGAACGTTCTACTCTGACAATGTAACGTTCGAATATTAACTCATTAAGGGCCAATATTACGTTGAAACGCAATGTTTCATTTCTCCAATTATTTTTTACTACCGAGTCTGCTTTTTTAATATTTATTATTGTTATGTAAATCGAATTCCAAAAATTCGTTTAATATCTTATCTTATCCCTAGCCAGGCACTACAAATATATATAAAATTGAAAGGAATTTCGATATCGTTAACACTATGATAAACTACTATTGATCGGTTCTTAATGAATTAAGATGTTCGATAAATAGACGTTCGCATAAAGAAGGCTCTAAGTGTACACTAGATTATCTAAAAAGTTTCTTTTCTTTTTTCCTATATTTGCAATATGTGGAAAATCATTTAATGACGCAAAAATAATAGTGATACTTAATTCCAGATATAAAGGGTTAATCCCGTGTATCTCTCTCTTGCGCTCGCTTTCTCTCTCTCTCTCTCTCTCTCTCTCACGCTCTCACTCTCTCTCTCTTTCTCTCTGGTCGACAATAATTCCAGCGCAAGTTACGCAAGTCGGTTAAATCACTTAGTCTACGCCATTACAGACTATAGTATTACTCGGCACTCGAGCGTTTTTTTTTTTCACATTTTACATCCTAACGTTCATATTAATACAATCTAAGCCAAACACGGACACACCACTGCCAGGAAGTCAGCCAGAATATGGGACGCAATCGAGAGCTTTTATGGAAGCCTTGAGCAAATCTGCCTGCCAGTTTCATTTCCAATATCGCGTTTCTTTTTTTTTTTTTTTTTTCTCGTTTGCCCTGCCCGGCAGGTAGACTCCGATGTTTATTGTTCTTTAATAATCCTCTTTACAGGACTTTTCTTCCATTCTCTCTCTCTCTCTCTCTCTCTTTCACTCTCTCTCTCTCTCTCTCTCTCTCTCTTTCACTCTCTCTCTCTCTCTCTCTCTCTCTAAATTTATATCAAATTGTTCTCGATCAACTTTCTCACAGATGTAAAAATATAACGACTTTAACTTCTTCTTTTTTTTTTCTTTTTGGCTTCTTTTATTCTTTCGTTTCCATTCTTGTTCTTGCTCTGTCGTTAAACAATATCGATCATTTCGATCGTTTGTCTTTTTCTTTTTTCTTTCTCCTTAACCGTATAAGCTCGATGAAAGGATAGACGGAAAGTTTATTGGAAGTCATTCGGTGCGAGTTCGGGACGAATTTTCTTTTCAAATCTCGTCTAATGGAAGCTGGATTATTAATCACCGGCGTCGAATATGTAATTGTGTGACAAACTGAAAAGGCCCTCCGTACGTCAAATTTAGTATGAAAAGTACGAAATTGTTCATACAGATGTGATAACAATATGTGAAATTAAATTATAATTAAATTGAATTGATCTATTAAGTATTTGGACACTTGGTACAATTCGATCAAAAGACTAATATTATATTGTAATTTATATTATAGAGGATCTCTACTGTTAATTTCTCTATCTCCTGCCAAAACTACCAAAAATTTGAAATTTGCTCGTACAAATTTCTCTATAGAGAATATGATTAAACATACACATTTCAATCGCTATATGATTCTAACACACTTAACATCATTTAATTCAAGTATTTTCATCCACTTCCAATTAACAATTACTACTAGCATTAATATTAATGTTATATTAACTAAACATTAACTAGCATCTAAAATCAATGAAGATATTTAAGCTATATATTAAGTTCTCTAAATATTGGCAAGTGTCCCAATAGAAATAGCCTTGTAATTTAAAATATAACAAACGTGAAATAAAATCAGAGTTAATCCAGCTTTCGTCATCCAAAAGTTAATAAAAAAAAAAAAAAAATCATTGAAACGGCAAAACGTTCGTAAATTGCTACCATTATCATCGATGTATAAAATAATGCCTTCCTTTTTTTTCAAACGGTATTAGTTTTAATAAGAGACTCGTACCCATCGTGGAAAATAGAGAAGAGACGTTTATATTTTTCTTTTCATATAGACGAAAGGAGCTTTGAAATCTTTCATAAACTTCTCTTTTCGAACATCAATATGGTCAACCGTATTTTCTTCTTTCTTTTTTTTCTTTTTCTTTTTCTTCTTCTTCAGCCAACTACATTTGCAGAGAAAAAGAACACGTTCCTGCGGATTCCTTCTTTGGAAATTTCAACGGGAGAAACGTCTACCAAAGAGCTTTGCCGATACATATAATATAACACGAAGGAACTTTGCGAAGGACGTCAAGTATGTGAAGGACAATAAAATCCCCCCGAAAGGACAGAATGTCTTTGGCAAAAGTCACTTAGAGCTTTGCGCTTTGGCGACCGAATTTCGTTTGTTCTTTTTCCGGAAGAAAACCTGCGCATCCTTTTATCTTTTTTTCCATCTTTCGTTATCGGAAAGAATCCACGGTGGCTCACGAAAGTGAAGCTGATGAAGACTTGGGAGAACTTTTATGTATAATTATGTTCATAGATCAAGGAAGAACATTGCGTATAATGTTATACGTAATATCTTAAAATTTCATTAACACTGTAGTGATATACAACTGTCACGATTATATTGATAGAATTTGAAACCAATTTAAAAAGGTGTATATAAATCGCAAGATATTCATTGGGAACATATATTTAGTGAAATTGTTAATTAAGAAATTAGTAGACAGCTGACTAAAGCGTACAATATGGGTTAAAGATGATTCAACTGAATACTGAGGTTTATTAATATAATGGATAATTGACTGTTTAAATAATTTTGTGACATCTGCAAAATATAGTTGCATGAAATGTCTTGTAACCATGGTATTACAACAGTGTTGATGAAATCACTAAATATTTTATACAACACAGGTGATACATTCACAAAAAATTCCTGCAAGTATACGAATACTTCCATGAGAAACTGTGTACGCATCATTATCGAAGTAATTATATTTCGAATTGTAATATAAAATTTATTATTTTAACCCTTTGAGGAATGTTTCCTTTAAAACAACACGTTGTATCATTTTTATATAATAATTATATAATATGTATATTTGATATAATAAAAGAAAATATATATATATAATATTTTATATAATTATTAATACGTCTCAATAATTCCAAATTTATAGATTTATACTACTGATACAACATTTCTTATTTAAAATCGTCAAAATAATCAATATGTAAAATGCGTTTGTTTGCCAATCCCGAGATTTTATTAGTGTTACAATCAGCTACATCTCGTATTTTTGAAATATTTCCTTATAACAATCGAATATTCAGCTGTTTGAGCACTTAAATATATATAGATGTTTGTACATCTAGTCACATGGTCAATCAGATACTTCAATATTTCAATACTTGGGTACTTAATTGTTCAAGTGCGTAACTATCCATATAATTAGATACGTGATGATCTTTGAATATTTGGGTGCATGAATATTTAAGTACATGGACATATGGGTATGAATATAAGTAAGTATTAAGATAATTAGGTACTCAAGTAGTCAAACATTACATACTGTGTCATCTCTATTTCTTTCATTTCTTATGATAAAACTTCTCTTGTAACTTTGAACTCAGTTCTCAAAAAAAGAAAACCAATACTTGGGCAATACTAAAGCATATACTGATCGGATGCATGGCTGCAAATGTTTATATTTTTCCCTGCTTGTGAGCATTCAAATACTTTAGAGTGCTCGAACACTTGAATATACACACTTTGAATGCTTTTTGTTATACAATCTGCGAATGAAAACTTCCACGATAAAACATAGTAACACATAATTTGTTCCACAAAGGGTTAATTATTGTACAACATCGAATGAAAACTGTTGGAATTGGTATATCTCTTCGAAACGATTTCGAATCGCCTTTGGATAGCGCGGACGGCAAGGCGAAAAGTCGAGGACGAATTTCTTTACGTTAAGGACGAAATTGGAAGGAGAATATAGTAACTGATAACAGTAAGAATAACCGAGAAACAAAAAAATATTTCTTCTGGTTTGTTCCTGGCAGTGGCGTGAAGGGAAGGGAAGGGACGGTGGCATGAGGCTGGCTCGGTTTATGGACATAAATTAGAATTACCTGTGTCTATCGTATGAAATTTCCACTTAAAAGTGCAGTCTTAAGTGAAGAAAACATAATTCATATACAATAACATTCATTTGGACGTTTGTATAAGGAAATTGAAAGGGTAACGTATAGAGCGTAATAGTAATGAAAATAAAATTGGGAAAATAATGTAAAACAAAAAACATAATGCTTAAATTTTATTCCATTGATTGTTAGCTAATGTTAACTAGGGGGAGGGGGAGGCCAAAAAAACATAAATAAGATTTTCTAGTTACTAGTCAAAAACCGTAGACACAGGCAATACAATAACTATACGGTATAAATATAATAATAGTGACAACTGATCAATTGATTGATAGTCAATGAACGATCGATAAATTCTCTTTAGGTACTCATCTGGATTACGCGACGAAGCTGACAGCAATATCGCAATAATTAATATATAATTATAATATTGTTAATAATAATAATAATGATAATAATAATAAAGATAATAAAGATAATAATACTAATAATGCTAATAACAAATTTGATTAAAGACGGTTCACAATAAACGTACATGTTACATACACATGCAGGATATACCTCCTTATGTAAAAATTTTCACCATGATTCGAAATAAATATTATCCTAATAAAAGCATAAGTTTGTTAAATATCGGAGTATGTATAATAAATATATATCACCGTTTCAATTAACATCGAAGCACAAAAAATGTTAAAAGCTTGCAAATCATACGAATCTTGGTAAAAATGAAAAGAGCAAATTGTAAAATTGCACGTAAATGTAAACGTATTTGAATATCCTGCATAATGTATCAAGCACATTATGCTTATATCTCTACGAAAATACATGCACACTCACACGCTCGCGCGCACTTCGATGGTTCATTAAAATTTCGATTTAATCGGCGCTGGTAAACCTCGCACAGACATTAGATGCCCATAAAATACTTTTTCTCTTCTACGAAAATGAAAATTTCGTTTGCATCGCAAATCAGCGTTTTCTATATTTTCCGTTTTCATTTATTTTGCATTCGCAACATTCTGCTTTGACAGAACGAAATGAAAAAAAAAATATATGTATATATACGTATGTCCCAAAAGCTATAATGAAACGTATTACAACAAATCCTCTGGCACAATAATTTACTAATTGATAATTAAATTAAGTAAATTAAAATAATATTAGTGAAATGACAAGTGACAAGTTGTGAGTTATAAACTTCTGTCGCACAAACAGTTTTTATGATTTCACAGTTTCACATAAGCAGTTTAATTTGATTCGTTCCATAACAGAACTTGTTACTGTTATGCAAGAGAATTTATCAGCATTGGTAACTTGTAACTTGTAACTTGCAAAATTTCGCTAATAATATTAAATTGTGCAAAGAGGAATTCAAGAATTCAAAAATTCAAGAAATGTAACGATTGGCATGTATATTCATAAATAATATACAGCCAACTTATGTTATATTTCATTCGTCAATAGCTGTGTCAAATATTTAAAACCAATATTACTACGCATTAATCAATATCAAATAGCATAGCTGCTCGTTAAAAAGAATACAGTTAAAATAGATAAATAGATATAAATTAACAACGATTAAAATTACTAAATAAAATTGTAGTGAATGCAATAATATCATTAATAAATCTAATAATAAAAAGCTGCCAAATTACACGAAATTTATAGCCTATTTAGGCCAAGTTTTATACAATACTATAAAAAGTTCTTTCTCATAAAAATAATAAAATCATAAAGTACTGTCGTATAATAATGTACTCCAAAAAAGAACTAAAATGCCATTATATCAGAAACATTGAGAAATAAGTGTAGAACAAAATATAATAAAACGGTTTTCGTGCAAATACGATCAAACAATACTTCTCTGTTTCGATCAAAACCATGTTGTTAATCTGAGAATCTACTTGAAGAATGAGTCCCTAATTCTGTTATTCTGCTACTTTGTATTTGTTTTTCTCAATTCTACACGTCTACGATGTTTTTTTCTCGTTCTACTTTGATTATAAACGCTACAGTCGCGCACAATAATATTGTCTCTATGGTATGCAATGTAAAGTTCTCGTTTTTCCTTTCGTTTGTCTACCTAAAAACAGTATACGTTCATTTTATCATGCATTCTCATTAATACAAAAAAGTCAGTGACGGTCATCATAGTTACTATATAACCATGTAAACCATCCATGCGGAATTATTTGCTATGCGATTACACAATAATACTCAATATCATACCAAAAAATGGAAAGTATAAATCTAGCTAAAAAAAAGGAATATAAAACGTAAAAATAAACACATTTACAATTAAAACGCATCTCCTTAAAAAGAAAGGACAATCGATGAAAAATCAATTCTAGATATCGATAAGCGTGCTACTCACGAGAATCATTTTTGATTCTACGTAAATGAATCTCCAAGCATAGAATATTTTAGTAACTCTGCAACAATGTCGCACGAAATAAAAAATTTTGCACAACAGAAACGCTTTCTATGCTTGTTAGACATCTTTACTAACAATATTGGTAACAAAAGGCAGAGTTTTCTATCACTTCCTACGATATGGAGCAACATCGGTACAAGTACATATGAACATTTCAAAGCTTCTCAAATGTCCTGCTCCGTGTCCCTTGTAACGGATATTTAAAAAGCTGTTCTTCGCAACGAGAACAATCTTTGGTTTTCTCAATTTTATTAAATCGAGTCAAAATTTGTAAAAATATTCTCGAGACATAATATGTCTAGCGTCTTATTTTATATCTATATTAAATTACTTGATGAAAAAAATGTTTAGAATTCTAGCTTGTTTCATCACTGTTCTACTACTGCGATAAAAAGCAATCACGAAAGGTATATGTTTTTTTCTATTACAGTGCAGATAACTTGACAATAAATAGTAAAAAATTGAAAAATTTAAAATCCTCGTTTTTCTCAGAACAGCTTGCTCCACATCTTCATTATTTTCTAGAAGAAATCTCTGCCTAAATGAGGACGGTTCGTTTGTTGCGACATTCGCATTCTACCTCGTCCATTTGCACTACTGGCATGTCTTCGAGTATTCCGTAATTCTCGATCGACTTCTAATTCCTCCAATTTCATAGTCAAAACGAGCTTCTGCTGCACGGCCAGTCGTAACAGAGAGTTCAAGGTTTTTCTATCATCTTCCGCTGCGGCTAATTGACGTTGCAACTCGTCAACTTGTGTCACATATTCTTCGCAACGTGCGGCAAACATCGCACGTAAACCTGAGAAGTGTGGTTAGCAGGTATTAACACCAAATACAAAGAAGCACCATGGACAAAAATATCAGAAGCATGACAGAAAATTAGAAAATAATACATTATATGAAAAAAAAAAATTACTCCTAAAAATTAATGCAAAAATATGTAGAATTTAAAACTTTTAAATATTGAAACCATAGGAAATATATTAATGATCTTTCAGTAAGTAGAGCCAACTTTTTAATAAGTATTATTTACATATTGAGATATATATTAATATATTAAAAGAATTATTATATTTATATATTAAGCGATAAAACAGTATCGTTGATAGCAAACTCCTAATGCAATTGCAAAGTCAATCGTAGTACAACTTATTACAAGCAATAAAATGTACATGAATGCTGATAATAATTTTATTAATATAATTTTTATTAATATAATAATTTTATTAATTTTATTAATTAGTTTTACGTTAATGTGTTATATAATACACAAATGTTAATAACACAAAAAATAGAAAAAAAAGGATAGATTAACTATACTTTGAAGTATCATCTTAAGTATTACTTATATTAAACATAATGTATACATTGTTACCAAATTGAATAGATTTTATTATCAACTTACTTGAAAATGTTGCAGCATTTTCCTTTAACATTCTAAGCTCGTTCCTCAGTTTCAACATAGTTTCGTTAACGATACTCTTCTCATTTTCATATTTGCCCTTCAGGTTCGTAAGTGCTACTTCCGCGGTGTTCTTATTTGATTTAAGCACTGTTCTCAAAGTTGCGATTTGTTCACGTTTAGCCGATAATAAGGCCTTCAATCTAATTACTTGTTCTTGTAAATCTGCTACTTCCGCCTTGTTCTCATTCACTGATCCTGTGATTCGCAACGAACGAACGATAAATTATGCGTCAATTGAATAAACAAGAAAAAATTAAAGAATTTCTCAAAGTTACCTTCGCAAACATTGCAGACATTCGACTGCATTCCTTTAACTTTGGAAAGTTCAATCGTATGCTCTACGGCGTTTCGGAGGTGCTTTATTTGATCCATCGCGGTTTCTATATGTTTCGCGATTTCCTTCGCTTTACTCAGACTTTCTAAATCTTGAATTTGAATATCGGTCTTAAACAAAGTCCGACACCATTCAATCTTTCCATTCTCTTCCTCCTTATCGGGAACAATCTTCTCGTGGTCGAGGACTACTCGTGAAGGAATTTCTCCATTAACAGTACACACGTGATGATAGAGTTGAGCAAGTTCATCAGAGATATTTTGCAAATCATTTTGTGCAGAATCAAGAAAACCACCGGCTTCCACTGCAAGTTTTGAGAGAGTAGAAATGTCGGATTCGAGTTGTATGCTTCTCTGTTCTGTATCTAAAAGCTGAAATTAATAAATAATCTTTAGATTTATCTTAATTTAAAAATAATATTACTTTTATCATTTGCTGCATTTTTATATACAAAACATCTCCTATTTTATCCAACAAGCTGCAAAAAAATAATTTACAATAAAAATAAGAAAAAATGTTATACAAAGTTTAATTGTAATCACTTTCATATTATAATAAGTTTATACTCTCATACAAAGCAAATATTGAATATAGCATGAACAAAAATAAATGGGAGGAAATACTTAAATTCGCGATGTAATGAATTATAATACATAATACATCGATATCAAATTTATATTAATAGAAATCTTTGAAAATGAGAAATTAAATGTTAAGGGATTATTATCTACAATATTAACTATCTAAAGAAAAAATATAGTCAATCTTCCATATTTTATAATAAAGAATCAATTGCTATGTATATATTTTATATTGTATTACATATTTATCTATTGTAATACTATAACCAAGCTTTTGATAGGATACAATCTTTTTTATTATTTTGAGATTAGCTTTGTAACGATAGTGAGATTAGTTTTGTAGTTCGTCGGATAAAAAAAGAAATACTCTGCACATCAATTTCAAAACTTCAAATATAAAAAAAGGATTGAGAAGTACTCGATAATTGAAATAATTTTTGCAAGACTGTACAAGATTGTACATAAAACGTCTGTTTGAACATCGTGCAAACAGGCTCTGTGAGTCTGACTCATGCTACGTTAGATGCAAGTAGAAACGAAGAAGAGGAGAGTATCTGTTGAGTTTTTGTTTCCTAAGCACATTCTATTTTAAAGCCATAGTGCATAGCGATTGAGATCCGTACATTTATTTGAGCAATCGACAAAAGAACATTCAGATAAATGTTGATGTGTCAACACGCTTGTGAAAACACATATAACTTGTGATAATTTTCACAAATTCGAGACGTGATATATTTATCAGCAGCCACAGGAATATATATAGTTAAAATTATGAAATTATCAAAAACGACGATGAGTTGTTAGAACATTGAAAAGCAACTTGTACGGATCATTAAAGGAGCCAAAAGACAAGTTATTATTATAATAATTGGTAAATACGTCAAAGGGACCACACGTTCCAACCTTTTCTCGAAGGCTCTTCTCTGACTCAGGGATCTGAAATGCCATAATTTCTATTCAAAGTCTAAATTTTGAACATTAACTGTCATTGTGCCAGAGTCACAGTTTATCGTTGTTACTTACACATATCGAATTTTTTATCAATAAAAATTTAAATTTAAATTACCGACTTACATTTCTATTCTTCATAATATTTGCCGCAATGTTGCTGTTTATATATTCACAATACAAAAGATATTATACAAAAAAGAAAAAAATTAAATGAACAACAGTAAAAAGATAGAACTAGAAGAAATGAAATAAAAACTGAAAAAAAAATGTTAAACATTATATACCTTGTTTCTAAGGTTTGTTAATTCTGTACGCAGTTGTTGAGTTGAATCAGATATAGTTAAACCATTTTCCAATTCAGCCAAATCCTTTTGAAGTTGATTCACTTCACGTGCAGACATAGTACTCCATTGGTGATACTGCATAATCGCCTAAAATCAATAACACATCAAATATGAAGCATTAAAGGAAATGAAATTTATCTCGATGTATTTTATATACATACCTGGTTCAACTTATCTAATGTTGTTTCCTCAGTTTGTTTCTCAGGTAACTTGGAGTGAAGATGGTGTAATGACTGCACATGAGCTGCTAGTTGTACTATGCGCGCGACAAAAGACTGTAATTCATTCTGACTCTTTTCAACTGCATATTGCGACTCCCGTAAATTTTGCGTAAGATGAGCTTTCTCAGATTCTGCTAATTCTAATTGTTTCTCTAATTTTTTCAATTCATTCAAATGAATCTCAGAGAATAAATCAACTTGTTTATCAGTAGCAGAAGTCCCTGGCTCTTGAGTTTTTAAATCTGCTTCAATCCTACGTAATGCAGGGGAATCATCTTCTCCATCACTACATATTGTTTGATCTTCTGTAATTCCTCTAATTGAAAGTGCAAGATTGCTAAGATTATAAATTGATTCACTATTAATTCTTTGATCCAGCTCCTTTTTAAGAGCATACTTTGCTTCACGCTCAGCTTGTAAAGATTCAAGTGCTTCTTCCATTTGTTTTTCAGCAATTTTTTTTAAATTTGTCAATTCCTCCACTTGACTATTTAGAAGTTCCACTTCTTCTGTCAATCTTCTTATTTCATGTTTGGCACCTTCAAATTCTACCTGACTGGACCTTAAACCAGATACTTGTTTCTGTAATGAAATGTTCTCGTCTTCCAATTCTGAATAATCTTGAAGAAGTCGAGCTTCCCGAAATCTACATTCACGTAACATGGTACGCAAGGATTTCCTCTCTGTCTCTGCTTGTTGATGATCTTTCCCAACTTCTTCGCGTTCTTGTAATGCATGATCACGTTCTGCTTGCACACGTTCCAGTTCATGGCGCAACTGAAATAAAAAATATCAAATGACGAGCATACAAACACGTAAAATTTTCATTTCGGTATCTTCCGAAAAGAACCTGTACCTGTTTGATTTCATTTTCTAATTCAATGATCTGTGTCTGAAGAGATGTTTCTCTTGCGGCACTTTCGTTAAGAAGCGTCTCCTCTTGTTCTATACCACTTTTCGTAGTTAATTTTGTAGTTGTTTGAAATTTTGCTAAAGCCTAGAAAAACATAAGAAATAATTATTCGCAAAAATAAAATTTTATTCAACCTATACCATTTTAAAAGTGAAAAACTATTTTTTAATTATATAGTAGTAATTCTATTACAATTAATGCACATTTAATTGCCTTATTAGAATACACGGTGATTAATATCCAATAATTGCGATCACATTTAAAATAAACACACGTCAGAAAAAATCGAAAATTACGAATGCAAAGTAATTATTGCAAAAACCTTCGATAAAGTGACTAAGCGATTCACGTGCACCAAAATACGACAGGTAATTGAACTAACCTCTTGCGTGATTTCTAGCTCGTGTTTCGTGTTTTCGTAGAGGGCCTCGAGATCGTTGCATCTTTGTTGCAAGGCGGACTTCTCTTCGAGTAAAGCGAGGCCGTATTGAGCCGACTGTATCTTTTCCGTAGAAGCTAAATCTAATTCCCGTGAAAGCCTTTCGATCTCGATTTTCAGCTCCTCTATCGTGACTCCTTCTGTCGTGGCCATTGCTGTGCACACCGTCCAAGATCAATTCGCTCCCTTTTTCGTCGAATGTTTCCTTGTCGTTACCGCGAATAATTCGGAGCATCGGCGGTCGTAATGTATTTTGAACGTCAGGGCATCATGCGAATGTTCGTGATGCTATTTTCTCGGCGTGCCCACTTGCCCAAGTCTCACACCTTCCGAATATTCACGACCGTTTGACAGACGTGAGATTAAGGTGAGAGGGCACGGGAAACTCACACAGACCGGATACATATTCCTACACATGTTCCATGTTCCTAGATTCTCATTTCGTTATTCCGCCGTTCCGTTCTGTTATACCGCAAACGTAACGCTTTTCTTTTTTTTTTTTCTTTTTGTGAAAATTCCAACGTCCTCGAAATTTTGAACGAAGAAATTCTTGTTCCTTAAAACCAATCATCTTTAAGAACTTCAAATAAATAGCAAATAAAATTCATTTATATCAAACTTTGTCTATTTTATTTCAATTATAATTAAAATTAATCTATTGTATTTTAATTGATCTTTTTTTAAAAGATATATTTCAGATTTTCATTTACAAAAGCTTAAGATTTTTGAATAAAAAAACTTTTCATTCTATCGTAAATTTTAACAGACCAGAAAAACTTTTCTTATTACTTAAATTTATTTAATTACTTTCAACGAATTTTATAAACGTGTATGCAGTTATTTAAAATTTAACGCGATAAAGATAAAATTTAGCGCCATAGATAAAATTTTAAAAATACTTATATAGTCATAATTGCATAATGCACAAAATAAATTGATATAAAACTTTCATTGGTAAATTACCAGTTAAATAAACAAATATTGTATTACAAATTGAACGTTTATCATATTGATAAATTATGAAAAAAATTTTGAATATTGTAATTTCTACGTATAAACTAACAAAAAATATCAAATATTTAAAAAAAAACATATTTAATAATATGCTCAAAGGATTAACAAACTGAAAAGGAAAATTATAGATTTACATTTTATTAATAAGTGATCTCGTCTTTCAACCGAAACATAAATAGTACATGAAGTATGTCCATATATCGTACTACACTTCCTTAATTGTAGAGATGTAACAGTACCCCTCGGAATAATGGATAAGTGGAATCACTTGATAAGCATTATACGGGGAACAAAAAAGAAAAACAAGATCTCGTCTTTGCCTCTCCGTACACATTCTATTTCAAAAATTCAGTTTAAAAACATAACTTCAAATACTCCGCAATCATTTATTACTTTGTAGCTTATTTTCTTTCCTTTCTTCTTCTTCATTCTCTTCTTCGTCTTCTTCCATTAAGTATTAATAGATTAGTATAAGTCGAGCCGCGATCGGCCGTACACGGATCGAATTAGTTCATACACTGTAACAGTCGTATTCTTTACAATATTCATACGTAAGTCTTGTAGCAGAGACAAAAGCGCAGGTGCCCTATTCGCACTCGTTTCTAATGCTCGTCTAAACCTCCGGTGCCACCAATGAACCCCATCTAAATCGTATATCTTCAAAGTATGGTTTTTCTTTCATCGACATCCTACATGGTAAGACATCAGTCATTTTTCATTTTATCTCTTATTTTTCTTACACGATATATATATTATATATCCGTGCGCATATACACATTGAAATCGTACAACATATCATGTTATAGAAGCATGGAACAAAATTATTTTCTCATGAGAAGTTTTACTCGTTTCTTTACTACACGTTTCAACTCATGTACCAATGAAAGCACCAAAGGTTACGATCCATTAGCGAAATACAATTTTTTTGATCCTCCAAATCTCGTCAAACGCACTAGTGCATTGATTATTACTACCAAAATCATGTATGAGATCGGTTTAAGTCCCGAACAGTTAAGTGTATAAAATGTTACAGGACACCTCTACTACGCGGTACACAACGCACAAGGCGCTTTTTTCTTCAGTTCCACCGAGTCAGGCACGCCTGGCTTCTGAACATTAATACACATTGTCGCTGCTGGTAAAAACATCGGTTTTTCCCTGTATACAGATAGTGCACGTGACCATTCGTGGTTATTATCTACCAAATAATTTCAAAAAGAATATCTTCGAAAAGTGTGGCTACATGAACGAACGCGTGCACAACATGTATACGCCAAATCTATCTAGACTAAACATAGATCCGTGAACGATCTTAATTTAAATTGAATTGTTCGTTCAGCAGAACGAATTTTCAATTAAAATATTACAGGGATTCAAACGATTTATATATCCCAACAACACTGCTCGCATTTGTAAAAACTGCATCACCATTCTCGAATTCAACTGCAGTCTATTTCGCTTGTCATCAGACACTTTCCACATCTTTCATTATCTTTCATTGTCTTTCTTTTTTCATTTTCCTTTTTTAGAAAAAATCTTGCATAACTTTGTACTTGTAATAACATAATACGCCTGCTAGTATTATTTTCGAAAAGAAATATTTCCAAATTCGCAACATATTTTCTTTCCTTTTTTAACCTCATGATTTTCAGCAAATGTACTAGACAAGAAAAGAGATTACTAGATAAATTGTATTTAAAAATTTCGATCTACAACTTATAAAAAAGATTAATGTAGTACTTTATACATGAAAATATAATTTGCTTTTTTTCTGTGATGTATAAATAAGAAAATCATTGGAATTAGTCACCAGCAACGACCACAGTATATCTAGCTTTTTACAGTACAAAATACAGCTCCTGCACATATGTATGTATATATGTATACACATATGCGCATATATATATATACATATACCTAGTAACGAAATATTTCACCATATGTAAGGATATAGTAAGGCAAAGTGCAACTGCATCCTTTGAAAATCCGTAACAATCATTGACAATATGAACAATGGTGACTCCTGGTATAACAATTATGATTGTACATACAAAATGTGCAAACTTGTATAGACCTCTGTGTTTATATGTATATATACATGTATACGTTTTTATGATCATTGACGACCATACCGGTAATTGCATTCATTTTCACTTAAAGAATCTGACATAAAAACACGAAGTACACATTTTTTTCCTAGTTTATGAGAATCTAAGATAATACTCCAAGTATAACTGTATATAAACTCGTAAACACTGACAATCTTACAATTGTGCAGCTTTTGTTGTCGTCTGAAACTAGGTCTGTTAGAAAATAATAGTTTAACGATCCTCATTACATCCTTACACATTAAAAATTGGCGTTACTAAACCTTACTTATATGTATTCAGGGCCGGCATGTTCACTTCCTTTCCCATTATTTCTGAACATTTTTTTCTTCTTAACTCGAGTTGCTAGAGTTCGAGAGGGAGGACCGGATACAAGATGCGTGGATGTGAAAAAGGAAAACAAATTTAATTGTTACAATTTTCTTTTTCACAATCATTATATTCCTTTTTATTATATCAAACGATTATCCATTTATCATTTAATAGGCTGATAATCTTCACCATTTCAATATGAATTACCAACATCAATATCTTAAATCAGCCAAAGTTGACAAAATATGTCATAAATGCTGCATTTGAAAAATTTCTTTTGCGAAATACATTAAGAATCCATACATCTTGCATCACAAAACAATGCGCGTACGAGATAGTTTGAAGGTCAGGGGACAGAGGATTCATGTCTCTACTCTAATTCAATCGAATGTTTATAATATTATTACATCGTATAGTGTGTATTCATGTAATGCTGGATGTGTCCTATGTGTAAATGTACTTTGTGCGCGCGCACGCATGTATAGTGTAATGTAACAGTAATAAAAATAAAAAAAAAAAAAAAAAATAAAAAATAAAAAACAAAGACATCATAAGAAAAACCCTTGCGAAGAGAACAACGACATGTAGAAGGGGAGGGAAACTAGGAATAAAATTGGCTTCCGGGAGTTGGGCATGGAGAGATGGAAATTCGAACGACTATGACAAAACGCATTTTTAGCAATTATACGTATCAACGAGACATACGTTCGCACATCCCTACCTAGCTACAATCCCCGGTAGTAGCGCGCGCGACGGTAAACGGCTTATCGTTAAGCGAGCGGCACGGATTCCGGTTATCTCCTACTTTCTGTCATCCTGATCACATTCACGGCTTAAATGACCAGGTTTACCACAAGTATAGCATGCCTTTCCTCCGACTTCAGTACAGTTGCGAGCAAAATGACCTGTTTTGTTACAATTGTAGCAACTTTGCATTCCAAAACGTCCAGAATCATTACCACCTTCGGGGCAGCTACGTGCCATATGACCAGTCTTGTTGCAGTTATAACAGCTCATCTCAGGCCCCTGTTGCAAGCATTTCAGATTACAATAATATTTTATCGTTAATATACTGCATTAAATTGTACAATATATTAATATGTAAAATATACGTAAAATATATATAAAATATACAAATATACTAAAAACTAATGTAGTAAAATAAACAAAAATAGTAAGATAAATATGTTAAAAAAGAAATAAAAATAATTATAACCTGCTGACAGTCTTTTGCGATGTGCCCTACACCTTGGCAACGGTAGCAAAGGTCTTGATCTTCTTTACATTCTCGTGCAAAGTGTCCAAATTGGTTACACTTGTAGCACTTGTCACGACCACGTGCAAAACCACCTTCTCGGTCACGACCTCGGTCACCTCTACCTCCACCTCCACCACCTTGCGGACACTCCCGTGCATAATGACCCATCCGGTTACATTTATAACACGCACTTGAACTCATTTTTTATAAATCTATAACAAAAATCAATTAACATATTATACATACTTAATATAAAGATATATGTACATATATTGATGCACTAAATATATCAATAAATACACATATATATATNATATATATATATATATATATATATATATATATATATATATATATATATATATATATATATATATACACATATTGATATACTAAAGATTTTTGTAGTACATTCACAGTAAATTTGATCTTGACTGATATACAAATTACATATATATAAAATAGCCATACATATGAAAAGCTTAAGTTATAGCATATTACTCAACACATTGTTAAAGTATTATTATAAATAATAAATTAAAATATAATACTAAAATAATTCTGAAATATTTAAAATATAAAAATTTTAAATCATTAAATAATCATCTATGATTTAATAAATATCTATGACATAGAGGTACAATATTTATTAGATAATATACACATATCTATCAAATATCATTTAGAACGAAATGAAGGCTAGAATACGGAAAACAAGATACATGTAATTGTACCAAATTCGAAAGAAAGTTATTTAAAAAACAGATTAAAAACGTTCAAAAATATACACTTTCTATCACAGATCAAAAAATAACATAAAAATTGTAATATTCGAATGGTAAAATAATAGGTAGAATACAATAAGCTATTTTAAATAACAGTATAAAATGGCATCGTGTATCCAATCCATCCATGGTAGGAGTATGTAGAATACACGTGTTTGATAGAAGCGTCGTGCACACGGAAACTACCAAAGATACAAAGAAACTCAACAATACTCTATCAGAAAAGTAATATTCAAATCATTATGTACAAAACCCTGAAAAATCCTCGTCTATCGTACAACGTGGCTCTCTTGCCCCCACTTTGCAGTGGTGGTACGCAAGTACGCCACGGCGCGAAGATGGCATCCGAGACTGACGCCGTACTGCGCTTTTTTTGCCTCACCAAAGAAAAGATCGTCGAGGGTGAGGTATACGTATAAAACCGCATATAAACCTACCGCATCGAATGATTAAAAGGAATTTTCTCAGTAATATGGCCAGACAAGATAAAATCTTCATATACTAGTAGAAGGATGAATCGAACTAACGAAGTCGAGGACCACGTGTGGAATCACAGAGAAAGAACCGCGGACCCGCTACCGCAACATATACTATCGTTCTTTAGCGACAATATAGCGACTTACCTTCGGTGCTTGGTAGAAATGCACGATAAATCCTCCTCTCGTTGGACTGTGTCGACACGTCAGGAACAATGGGCCCGCGGGAAGTACTGTTTTCCTGGGAAAACTCGAACCGATACTCAGCCGGATGACTGTGGCGACCATTGACTACGGGAAGGAAGATCAGCCAGCCAATCGTTGCTACGTTGCCCGCCAAACTCCGTTGCAACAATGAACGCCACCTCCTTTACTGCGACTCTCGCAACAAACTTGGACAACAAAATTTATTTATTTATTATTATTCCTTACCGAAATTATCCTTTCTTTAATTTTCACACAACGCGTTAATTATTTATTGAAGCATATAGGGTTTCGCTCGAAGCATTGATCACCGACAAAATGGAAGAAGGCAATATGACTCTCGGAATATTGGTGGTGATCAACCTCGACATCCATTGGTTCAATATCTTCAGAAAACGTTGATAATTCGTTTCAACCAATCGTGTTGTGCAGTTGGAATACCTCGAAATTTTATTCAATTTGAAAAGATTTCGTAGAAAATGCGAACCTCTACATCTTATTTAAAAATGATTAAATAAAGTCGATTTTAAAAATAGAATTGTAATTTTCATATTGTCATTAATATACTAATTAAAAAATAAATGCTCTGCAATAAAAACAGATAATAATTTATATGTATTAAGCAAATAATGTTTTCTGTATATATAGCGATCGTTATACATCCGTCGCTTATTGGAAAACGTGATTTATAAATTTCACATGTGTATACACATGAAATGCGAAATAATGAGAAAATATTTATAAATACAAGATTTATTTATTAATATAATGAATACAAGATTTTAGAAATATGTTAAAACATTCTCTAATAATGCGAATGTTTCTTTTTTATTTAATGATTAGATAGAAATTGATAACATTGGTACTTGTTAATTATAAGTAATAAGTACATGTTACCTATCTAAATATTACGTGTCTAAAAATAAATTTTTTCTCACAATAAAAATATCAAAAACGATAAAAATAGACTATCTTTTTATTAATCACATTTTTAGTAATTTATTTATGTAAACCATTCTTAAATAAAATAAATTATTATTTACAAAAACGTATCATTAATGAACGAAAGTAACATGTAATATAATTATTTCTTTTAATAACTTTAAATATCAAATTAATATCTGAAAAATTGCAATTTATACTTTAATTGTTTTCACATACTCATTTGTTTTATGAAAATCAAATTAAAAGTGTATTCCTATTTCATTTAGAATCTAGAACAATTCATTCTTTGTATTAGACGTATATATTTATATCATTGTTTTTTCTTTTTAGTTTTCAATCTTATATTGTCTTCTCGTTATTTTTCCAAACCTGCAAATATAAAAACCTATCATTTTTAGGTTTTATCCCATTTTCATTCTTTATCGACTATCTCTTGAAGTTGGATGTTCTTAATTCCATATATATATATTCCTAATAAACAATTGTATGAGATTCTTGAAGGTGCTATAAATTATTAAGTTTTAATAATAACTTTTAGATAAGAAAATAAAAAAATCGTATAAAATATTTTTTTTCTTAAAAATTGTTTATTGTGAATTTGCATATATGTTAAAAAATATTTTTGTAATATTAAGAGAAGTAAGCACTACGTGAAACGTTAAGATATTTGAGAACGATTGAATTTGTAAAAATTTATGATTTAATCGTATTTTCAGTTTTAATCGTATAATTAAATAATATATATTTTAAATCTATTTTAAATTGCATTTGGGATAATCACTTTGTGTTTTCATAATAGCTGATAATTTAAGGTTAAGAATAGCATGTTTTAACAAATATATTCGTGAATTATAAAAATTAAAAACAATGTCTCTATACGACGATTTTGATAAACATAGAACATCAGAAAAAGTAGTTGGATGGTCATCCAGTATCAAGTTACTACAATCTCAATTACAATTAAAAAAAGCTGCCACTACACAGGTATGTCATATGTAATAATGATTAATGATAATTTAAAATTATTATCATATCATATTTCTAGCCAAAACGTGAACAATATAGAAAAGCAACAGCAGTATTAGCACCTGTGATAGATTTGAAGTCAAAAGCCAATAGAAACACAGAAAGAGAAGATGATGGGCCACATAATAATCCACTTTCTTCTAGTACTGTTAGCAGTATTGGAGTAGGGGGCGAATTTGATTGGAATGTAATAAATGAATATGACCCTATATGGCCTAATGAATATGATAAAGTTGTTAAAGAACTAAGAGATTTACGTGATAGAGAACATGATCAAGAGACAGAAATGCGTAAACGCAGACGAGATAATTCACGTTTTGAAGATACACAAGTAATATATTAATTTTAAAAATTTTTAATAGTTAAAAAATGTAAAATGTGTAGTTCATACTTTTTATAAATGATATAAATATTTGCTTCAGACTTCTTCTGGCAATAGTACAATGATTCCTCCTGAAAGAGACGAGGAAAGAACTCCCACATCAAGAGGTATTGCTGGAGGAGCAGCTATAGCACCACCACCTTCTTTGCAAGAATCTTCTGATCTTCCACCTCCAACACCAAGACCACCAACTAACATAGGATATGCCACATCATCAGTAGCAGCAAAAATAATGGCTAAATATGGTTTCAAAGAAGGACAAGGACTTGGTAAAAAGGAACAAGGAATGTCTGTTGCTTTACAAGTAGAAAAAACTAGTAAGCGAGGTGGAAGAATTGTTGGAGAAAGAGAACAACTTATGCCACCACCACCACCTGTTGCTGTTTCTCCACCTCCAGCACAACAACAAATTGCTCCTTCACAACCTTCAGAAGAACCTAGCATTACTGAAATAATGAAATGTCCAAGCAAGGTAAGAAAAAAAATATCTCCATTTTTCCTAAAATATATATTAAAAAAGTAGAGTATACAACATTGAAAGTTTTTTTATTACAAAATATACTATTAACCAGGTTGTATTATTGCGTAATATGGTTGGTCCTGGAGAAGTGGATGATGACCTTGAACCTGAAGTTAAAGATGAATGCAATACAAAGTATGGTGATGTCGCACGTGTTATTATTCATGAAGTAACAGAAGCTGCTCCAGAAGAAGCTGTTAGAATCTTTGTGGAATTTAAAAGAATAGAAAGTGCTATTAAGGCTGTTGTTGATTTAAATGGACGCTTTTTTGGTGGAAGACAAGTTAAAGCAGGTTTTTATTCCAGTGAAAAACTTGATAGCTTACAGTTAATGGACTAATTTTTTATTTAATGATTTTACTTAATAAATGCAACTTAAGAAACACAACAGCACGAAATTGATATGCTGATTGTTATGTTAAAACAAATAAATCGTAATTTCATTAAAACATTTATATTAAATAACATGATAAAATTTATGATTATTTAAAATAAAAAACAAGAAGTTAAAAATTTACATGATAATCAACATATTGAAAAACATTTCAATTTGTATCCTGCTATAAATAATTAAAAATTTTTTTTAAATATAGTAAATAATTTTTTAAATTTAATATAAGATACGCGCACAATAAATATAAATAATAAATAGTAGAAATTTTTAATTCTATATAATAATTAAAGATATTAAATAAAGTTAAGTCTTCAATATTTTGAAAAATAACATGAAAAAAAAAAAACAACTTTTTTCTGATATCACAAAATAGAATAATTACTATACTAACAAATAATGCAGGAAATTATAATTCCATTGTAATTAATTTATAAAATTCGTATATTAAAAATATGATAAAAATATTGCAATACATCTTATTAACAAATTGAAGTTCATAGATTCTTATTCTTTTTTTAATAATTCCTTATTATTTATTTGCAAATCAATGATTATAATATTATTTTACTTTCTTTTTGTTAATTAGATCTTCAATTGTTTTGTTTAATTTAGCACTAAATGCAGCAAAACTAAAAATTTCCATAAATCTAACTTTGCCTGCATCACCAAATTGCTGAACATATTCTGGATTTTTAATCAAATCAGCTATCTTCAGAGCAAATGCATTACTAGATAAATCAACTAAAAACCCAGTAACTCCAGAAACAACAGATTCTTTTGGACCACCAGAATTATGTGCAATTACTGGTTTATTCATATACATTGCTTCAAGTGGTACAATACCAAAATGTTCATTTTGGGGTGTATATAATAAAACCGTACAATGATATAAAATAGATACTTTATCAAGATCTGAAGGGGAACGAAGAAATATTACTTTATCTGTAACATTTAATTCATCAGCAAGCCCTATTAATTCCAAATAATGTTCTACATTTTCTTCAACTCTTTTATCATATCCACCAGCCATAATTAAATATACTTTTTTGTATTGTTCTTCTGTTAAATATTTTTGAAGCTCTGCCAATACTTCTATTGCTAGTCCTAAATTTTTTTTACGTTCATATCTATTGATAGACAATAATATAATACTATCTACTGGTAACTTTTTGTCAAGTACTCTCTCTAAAGATACTATTCGGGCTTTATCAAAGTAGTCTGTGTTGATAGAGGGATGTAAAATTTCAGGTTCAATAGTTAATCTCTTAAAAGTGTCTTTAAACACTGAACGTGTATATAGGCTATTTACAAGTATTTTATGTGCCATTCCAGTTGTTATTTCTTCCAGATAATTAAGAGGTATACGATACAATTGTTTACTAAATCCTTCTCGCTGTGAAAGCAATTGATCTGGATAATGACAATAAAAAATTATATATGGAATTCGTAATCGAAGAATAGGAATACACACAGATACCAGATCACAGAATACAACGTCAGGTCTGTTTCCAGAAAAAATGATATAGCTAGCTGCATATATCTAAAAAAAAAAAAAAAAGAAATAAAAGTCAATATGTGAAAATCATCTATAAATGCACATTTTATTTCTTAAGAAATAAGCTCACCATACGAATATAAGCAAATAATGCAAAAAATCTGCCCAAGATATGTCTGGGCAACCAATCTCCTACAACTGTAACAGGAATTGTTCCATCTTTTGTTTCAGAGAAACAGTGTACCGGATCGTGATGAGTTGTCACGAAATTAACCTCATAACCTTGTTTTTTTAAGGATAATGCAGCATCAACTACCAATCTTTCTGCTCCTCCAATACCAAGATCCGGATGTAAAAATGTAACTCGTGTCATATTTATTAACTCAATAACATTACAAATAACATTTATGAGGGGAGCAACAAAATCCAGTACTCTTTACAAAACTACCGGTAAAATAGTGTAACACCTGTTAGTTCTTTAAGACCTATTTTCACCGTAAGTTAAAGTCATAATACCGGAGTCATAGAAATCATCAAAAGAGATTAGCTGAATATTTGACGAAGTTAATTCGCGAAATTTTCATATGTCAACAGTTAGCAGAAAAATATGTGTTATCGAAGGCACATTCAGAACATATAGAGATATATAGCAGTAATAAGTGTGTAGTCTGAATAAAATTACATGTAATTTGTTGACAACAAAAGAAAGCGAACGGTTTCATAGTTTCTTGTAAAATAAGTGAAAGGTAAATATATCAATTTGATCTTGATAATATTTATTGTCAATTATGTCAAACATTATGAAGAGCGTTCTTGCGGAAAGTTTAAAAGGATGCTTAAGGGAATTGTTTTGCTTAATGGACACTGACATTGACGGTTATTTAAATTATTATGAAACGAAAGCTGCATTGAAAGCCTTAGGTTTCACAGTAAAAAAGTCTTATGTTTTAGCTATTATACGAATGTATGACAAACGTGGTTACAATAAAATCTCTTTCAACGATTTTAATTATATTGGTGTGTGTGAACAGCAATATCCTTTGAAAAAGTCTATGATAAATGGTGCAAACGTGTAATCAACATTAATCAAATTTTAATACTTGCACAGTGTCAGAAAAGTTAAGTAAACGAAAGCCTCTAGATGAAATTAAATATGTGTTCAAGTTATTTATAAGTGAGTCTGCAAATGATAAAATAACAGTAGAAGATCTGCAAGAATTTAATAAAAAGCTAGATTGTAATCTAACTAATGAGGAAATGGAGCTTATGATTAATGAATTTGATTTGGATCAAGATGGTTCTAGTAAAAAAGAATTTCACTTTGTATTAATTAATTAAATTATTGGAGAAATTTCAATTTGATTGTTTATCTTGTTCATTTTATATAATAAATAACTTTGCAAATTATACTTTCAGTTGATCAAAGTGAATTCCTGGATATTATGACAGACTTCAAAATTTAAAGGATCTTTGTCTTTCTTGAAAACATATCTGTCAACACATTCACAATGAATTTTGGAGTTAATTGGGAGGAAGAACATAGAAGAACATTATTAGAAGGAAATGCAGCACTGGAGCGTACTTCGCAATCCATTATCAGATCTCAAGCAATTGCTATTGAGAGCGAGCAAATAGGGACAGAAGTAATCTCTGAACTGAGTGAACAAAGAGAGAGATTACTGCGAGCAGACAGAAGATTATCCCAAACAGACGAAGAACTAAATAAAACAAGAAGGATATTAAATGTTATGAGAAGGAGGATTTTAATGAATAAGTTTATATTAATCATAATTATATTACTAGAAATAGGTATACTTGGTGCTATTATATATAAGAAATATTCATAATTACATTATATGTATATTGTATATAAACGTATATATACATATAAATAACATATACTTTATATGTATATATGCACAAGCATTCACTATATACTTATTTTTATTTACATCATGTGTAATATATAATGTGCGATATACGTGCGCAGTTTCTTTGATGTCGTATTATTGTAATTATTATTTTCCAACAAATTAAATGTAAAATAGCAAATATGTTACAGTTTGATGTAATTTTGAACGATTGATGTACCATGTACTATGAAAATACACAATAGAAAATAAGAGCTACCAACCATAGACGACAATTATCGTTAATATATATATATGCATATATTATCATTGCATGATTGTGTATCCTCCGTTATAATATTTATTTGTAATATATCTCATGTTCTAAAAGCAATATGAGAGCTGCTTATTTGCTTCTGGACATGAAAATAAATGAAAAATAAATCTTTACAAGACTACGTTTGTTTTTCATGTTGTCAGCGCATGAACGACTAAAGCGCATCACAACGCAACTATCTTGAACTATCATGTCGTGTAGTTGAACAGTTATTGTTCTCGTCTGTGGTTGAATCTGGTATTTAATAGTTATCGACAGGGCAGACTGAAAATTAGAACGACTGAGAAGACTAGGAGAATCTTTAGCATTTTGTGAATTAATAGATGATCGGGTCATGGCGTATGTTAATGTGGCTGAATGGAAAACTGAGCAAGTGTGCGAATGGTTGAAAGGTGCGGAAAACTGAATTTTCTTTCGGGTCAACGCACATATTGGTGCATTTTAAAAAACGAATGCATTTGTTGCGTGTGGAAACAATGTGTGTTGTAAAAATTTACGTATAAAGATGTTACAGTATACGCCCGCACTCTCTCTTCACCCTTCTTCCCTTATAACCAGTCACTACGTTGCATGCGTAAATGCAGTGTTGATTTATTCAATTGTTCATTACAATCGTACAATTCATAAGTGATATGTATTGTAAAGAAGATTTTCAATAATACTCGATCTTTTTGAATTTTTACCCAGTCTTTTAAAATTTTAAAAAATTTTCGTAATATTGCAATATTTTTGTTTATTTATGTCATCTACATTTATAAATAACTATCGTCCACGTAATTTTATTATTACCCTTTTTGTTATTGTTACTTTTGGAACAAAGAAAATACTAAACGAATAATCATTTATTTCGCATTTTTCTTCCTTCTTAACGTAATTGAATCTTGCAAAGAAGAAAACTGATTCTTGTTTCAGGTTTGGATAATTCTGTTCTTCCCTATGTGCATAGTTTTACAAATCATGGTGTCAATGGACAACAGTTGTTAAGTTTGAGGCCTGAAGATCTAGAACATCTTGGTGTATTGAAACTTGGTCACCAGGAAATTATTCTTGAAGCTGTAGAATATCTGAGGAATTTCCATTATGAGCTTGATCGTGAAAATCTGCAATTATTGGCACTACGATTGTCTTGTCAGGCGCACAGTTTACAAAATGAATTATCTCATCAGACAGATTCGAAGCCTGTTACAACTCAAACATTATCTGATGTAGCATCAGTTATAACGGCTGTAAAACCACTAGTAAGGTGGCTTGATCGACCTCCTTTTAGTGGACAATTAGAATATAATGATAAAAAAGTTGAATTAATGAAACTAGCTTTGGAAATGGCTACATGTGCGCAGAGAGATAGATTTGCAGAAAAACCAGTAGAAGAAATTAGAAAAATTTGTGGACAATTAGCAAAATTGGCAGATTATGTAATACAAGATATTACTGATCCTATGATACTACAACCTGCTAGTTTAGACTTGGCAACATTAAAAAGGAAACCAGGAGATGATTTAGTAAGTTTTAAGATAATATTAATTCTTCAAAACAGAATAACTTTCTTTCATTTTATTTTCATTTTTAAATAATTTTATAGTGAGTATAATAAATATAACACAATAAAATATTTAACACAAATCATGGAGTAGTATATTTTATAATCATTACGGAGAAAGTTATCTGCCACATCCTTTAATGATAAAACTATGACCATTGATTCAACACAAATCTAACTTCCTATTTAGATAATTTAATTGATAGCTATATAGTAGAAGTATTGTTGTAATATAACTGTTTTATAACATATAAATCATTAAAATTGGGATATATTTTCTTTTATAGGGATTTTATATTTTACCATCCTTTCATGGAGCTCATCAAATCGCTGAAATTAAATTTGGATCAGCTGCACATCAGTGTGGTAAAATGGAAGAAGGAGATGAAATTGTCCAAGTAATTTCTTTTTTCGTAAAATAATTAAAAAAATTTAGAATTTTTACTTAACTTCTTTTAATTTAATTTTATAAAGAAAATTAATTTAAATATTTTTCTAGGTAAATTATCAGACTGTAGTTGGTTGGGAACGGAAAAATCTTTTAGAATTATTTCGCGAAAGTCCAGCAGAAGTATTATTAACTTTAAAACGTAGGCCACGTCATACAAAAATATATGGTCAAATTTACATAAAACCATATAGACTTCCAAGCAATAAAAAAACATCTTACACAACACGATGGCAACATAATCTTCCTTCACCAAGACCAGAATTATTAACTATACCAGATTTTACAATGCCATTACCAAGGTATATATTATTCGCACATTTATATTTCTATAAAAATATGAAATTTCATTTTTAATATAATAATAATATAATAATAAATTTGTAAATTTGTTTAGGCCAAAGAATCCCAGTCCAGAACCTGCAAGCATTCTAGATACTGTTAATATACTAGATACTATGATTATAGATAGTAGCGACTCGGATAGTGAAACAGAGCCACCTTTATCAATTCGATTATATTCTACAAAACCAAGAAATTCAGTTCAAAGACGAGCTACTATAACTGGTGCTAGTCCAACTTCCAAGCATGGAATTGATATAGAACAATTTTGGAAAGAATTGAAACAAGAACATAGTACAACTTCTCAATTGCGGGACAAAGCAGCATCTTGTGCTCATGGTTTAGATAATGTACCATCAAATTTACGGCCACAAACATGTATATCTATAGAACAGAGTAAAAGAAACAAGAGAAATGATGGACAAACTGACGATAAGAAAGTACAGTTTCAAGATAAACCTATGAAACATGATGTTCCTCAAATAGATAATACAATCAACGCAATAAAGAATGAATGTAAAGCTACTGAAAACTGCGAGGAATTGTGTAGTAATATAAATACATCCAGCCAAATTCCTTTAACATCCGCTAATGTTACCAATAACAATAACTTGAGTGATACAAGTGTGCCTTTAGATGAATGCAACAATTTTATTAGGGATAGTAATAGTAAAAATACGATAAGCAATAAAGAACTTAGTACATGTAATGGTAAAGAACGAGGAAGATTAGATAAAAGTCACAGTACGCCAGCATACGATTTAATGGATGACAATATAGAAGATACAAGACAAAAGTTGTTCCATATGTTAGAACCATCTACGAATAATGTAAGCAATGTATCAAGTAAGACTGATGTTCAATTGACTATCGCAAGTTTTGAAGATCAACAGAAATTAAAAAATGTTGATGAAAAAAAACAAAGTATGGAAATAAATTTTGATAGTAATATTGTTCAAAAATATAATGATACTGATAAATATACTGCGCAAGATAAGGAAAAAAAGCAATGTTCTAAATCCTCGGAATATTTAGATTCATTTAAAAATAAAGTAACTGAAGCAACTCACAGGATCAGTATAGAAAATAACCAAAGCAATAATGAATGTATTAACACTGATATAAGTAATTATGACAAGAAGAATGTGACGAATAATTTAAATGTTGAAATGGAAAATACATCGAAAGTATGTAACGCTCAAAACTTTGCAAATTTCAATCATAAAACTAACGAAGATAGATTGGAATCAATAAATAGTTTTGTGCAAAACAGTGAGGAAAATAATTCGAATCTAAATAAATTTGAAAAGATTCTTCAAACATTTAATGGACAAAATTATTGTGATTCGATAGAACATAAAAAATTAATGGAGAAAAAGTCTAATATATCAATAAAAGAAAATATGCAAGTTCAAAGACAAATATGGACAAATAATGATCTAAATTCTACTGAAGATAAACACATGTATAATGATATTACTAATAATATTACTCGAAACATTCCTCAAATTCATGTCTGTCAAAAGGTACAGAATGATAATACAAAAAATGAAGATTTAATTATTCAAGAAAATGCAGTACAATCATGCAAATGTGCAGAAGTAACAGAAACTGAATCTAGTAAGAAGCTAGAAAATAAACCTCATCTAATACCTCCAGATCCGCCTCCACGTAAATACTATTCAAAGTTAACAATTGATTCATTAAGTAATACTTCAAAAACATTTGAAGATCAAGAAAAGTCTTGTATAACGGAAAAAATTAATACTAGAAAAGATCTAAAAAGTGTGGAATATTATACAGAAAATCATATCAAAAGTACCTTAGACCATCAAGATAAACAGGATTATTTTGATGTTTATAATAGTTTTACAGAAAAATTAGAATTTATTGACAATATAAATACTCTAGATAATGAACGTAGACCTAGCTTAAATTTAGATTCTGCATATTTAGAATATAATGATAAGCAAACAAAGGAAAATAAGTTTATCTGTGATACATATGAACCTATTGTTGAGAAATCTGTATATACTAATTTAACAATGGAATATCATGATACTGAATCTTATTCTCAGAATATGGATACTCCAGATGGTTCATGCTCTTCAAAGCAAGTTCTAGATCATAAATCTAAAGTGTCTGAAAAAGAAAAAAGTTTTGAAAAAGGTGTGGTTAATAAAGCTATGATGGTGGCTAGAAGTATTGGATTGCATGGAAGTTTAAGTAAATCTTCCAGTAGTAGTCCCAGAAGTAATAGAAAACGAAGTATATTATTTGCAAGTAAATAATTAATACACTCATTTAATACTAATTTAAATTTAAATTTTTAATTATATTTATTAATTTTTATATTATTTTTAACTAGGGAAAAGAAATATCTCTGTTAAAGATATAGGCACAGGTGATTTAGAAGGATGGTTAACATATCGCACAAGAGGTGCTGGTGGTGCTTGGGCGAAAGCTTGGTTTGTTTTAAAATGTTCTTCCTTGTACAGGTTCGTTAATTAAATTTTTATAGTTACATCTGTATCTTACAAAATATTTATTTAATTATATTTTTAAGTATAGGTTTAAAACTCAAAACAGTATGAAAGCAGACTGTCTCATAGCTTTGACAGGATTTACCGTATCTCGAGCTGCCGAAGTAAAATCAAGAAAATATGCGTTTAAGGTTTACCACACAGGAACGGTATTTTATTTTGCTGCAGACACTGAGGATTTTCTTGCCTTATGGGTAGATGCAATTAACAAAGCAACCTTAGGTGCGGATGGTCACAGTAGAAACAGTGCTCTTTTTAGCGAAACGGACGAAAGCGATAGCGAACAAAAAAGTAAAACCAAAAATGTCCATACTTTAGAATATAAACCGAACTTCGACAAATCTTTCGGATCATTAAAAAAAGTTGTTCGTAAAGATTCTCCCTCGTATAGGGACCATGAAATCAGTGGTGCTAGTTTAGATAGAAAATATCTAAAATTTCTTGGTGCAAGAAATCACAATGTACCTGTTCCAACTGCACAATTTAGAAGTTACAGAAGAGTTCTTCCTACATCTACGCCTAATAAGTAAGAGTTAATATAGAGTACTTCATTTAAAACAAAGATAAAATATGCATCTTTTTCAGGAAACAAGACTCTGTTCCAAATTCGCCAGATTTACAAATGACAATTGCAGGAAGTACATTTTATGGATTATGTGCATCTCATAGTGCTACTGATATGTCAAATAATACTCAAGATATGGGTGATTACAGGCGTACCACAGACAGGTAACGATTTGTATTGCATGCTGTAGAACTATAATAACCAATTTTATTGTATTATATAATTTTACTAAACTCAAATTATTATGGTTTTATCTTTTTTTATGGTATGCCTAGAAATAGATTTTTAACTAAAAAAAGTGATAATAATTAAAAATATTGTTATATTTTGCACTTTATAATAAAATAATTAATTAAAAATATTGACTGCATTTATTTTACATGTATGTATATATTTTGTGCACGTATTTCCTTATTGTAACTGTTTTCCTATACGTTATCCTTAATTGATTTAGAGCACATTTTATACGTTTACTACGTTCTTTTTTTTTTTTTTGTTAATCTTTTCAAATATGCTAAAGTAATTAGTGAAACGGTGTTTAATATTTAGGTGTCTTAATGACAGAAATAGAAGACCAGAAGACCTACAAGGTTTTATTACATTAGAGGAATTCATGTTGCAACAAGAGGATCAAAGACAAATGACAAAATCAAGATCTATATCTCCACGAATAACACCTTTAATTAGTGATCATGTTCATGTTCAACATAGGAATTTTCATGATAATGAGACTGTTAGTGAACAATCTAGGCATGTTGCTGATGGAATTTTAAATAATGATGTTTATGCTCAAAATAAAAATAGCGATGAAAATGTAAATAACACTGCTTCTGCATATGGCTATACTCGGAATATGGACAACATTGGAATGCGACAATGTAGCGGAGATTTCGATTCAGAAAGAAATGAATATAGAGGAGACCCATCAAAACATATAGTTCATAAAAAGTCGAATGAACTTTGTCACATTAATAAAAAAAAATTGTCAGATAGCTCAAATTTTCAACATTTACAGTCAAGCAATTCATTTTATTGTAAAGCTGCAACAAATGAACAAAAACACTCTTCATATTACAATAAACCAAATATTGTTGACAAGCCTGCAAGACAAATGAACTTGAATTGTGAATGTAATACTAATATTTATACAAATCAAGCACAGTCTTTGAGTAATCATGATATTTCTAGATCATATGATTATTATTTACCTAAAAATGTCAATAATTCATCAGAGGATATAAAGCCAGTATCAAGACGACTTACTCGAAATGATGGTAACTTATATTACATATATAATAATTTTTCAATACACAAAGATTGATAGAATTTTGTTTTAGGTTCTGGATCTACTAATGATCTTACATTTCATACTTTTTACGAAACTTTGCAACGTGCAAAGAAAGATGCATCCATTAGTCGCAAAGGAAGCTTCAATTTAACAAGTCGTAATCACGTTTCCTCGGATAAGCATTGGTTGGATTCTTTGCGACGAGCTGATAAAAAAGAAGCCAATTATGATAAAACTCGTTTAAAAAATGTAGCTCAGTATCAACCACCACCTATGCCAACTTCTCCATTCGAACAAGAAGGGATGACTGCTGCATTTGAAATGCATTTAGATAAAGGTGAACAGGTTCAAAAACCAAATCGTTTGAAAAATTTGTTTGCTAATAAATGTCAGCAGAAACCTTCTACACTTGAGTTGCCTAAAGAAACACAAAAGACTTTATTAGGTACAAATAATATATTTTGAATTTCAATTATATTTTATAATAATCTTTGACAATAATCTGTGTATAATTTATAGGGTCACCGAGATTACATAGAGCGTTATTTAGAGAAAAATGTTACAACCAATCACGGTTACCAAGTCGGTCGAACAGTCAGAGTCCTGGTGATAGTGGAATCAGTCAATCTCTTAGTCCGTTCCGTGGAAATAGTCCTCAAACTCTCAGTCAGAGTTTTAGTTCGGTTAGTTCTGTTAGTGATTGGAGTCCAGACACACCATCGCCGTGTACTCCAAATTTAACATTGAAAGTACGCATATATTTCAATAAATAATAATTAAAACTATTATACTAGATATTAAATATAATAATAAATATTTATTTTTAGGCTGGTGCAAGTCAGCTTTCTTGTCAAAAACACGCAAGCACAGGTAGAAACTCATTGACACCACCGACATTGCCTTATATACCACCACCTACGTCACCACCACCTGATTATCCTGGTCTTGAATATCCGCCAGTATTTGAACCTGGTACTTACTCTCTCTTGGATGCTTCACTGCTGCGTAATCGTAACAAAAGCAATCGAGATACTCATTAACCAATGACAATTTAGTTTATTAATCTACATAATAATAACCAAAGATAATATGTTTCCTTAATCATTATCTAATCTCTAATTTATATAAGGAATTCAAAAGAATAATAATATTTTTTCACAGAAGTATTAAAATTTAACCGTCCATTTTATAAGAATCCGAAGGTTACTGAATCATTTTTTTTATATAAATTGAAATTGTGAACTATTCACTCAATAAGAGATGAGATAAATAATGAAAGTTGAGTGGACGACTGAAATTTAATATATTATTACTTTAGTAAATAATATAAATAATATTTGAATTAAATTTTAAAAAAGTTTCATTTCATTATTATTATTCGTAATGATAATGATGATGATGATAATAATAGTAATAATAATAATTGGTAAATCGAAACTTACATTTTTTTAAATATTTTAACTATATTAAATGTTTATTGTACGTGAATTATGAAATTTTATAACAATACATATAATGTAAATTTATATATAATTTTTATATGAAAGATATGGTAATTGACGAAGAAAATTAATGAAAAGTTTGATAGACATTAACTGTTTAAAAAATTAAATTTTTAATTTTTAAACGAATAATCTTTGCATTATATGCAAATATATAATATACATACAAGAATTTTGTTATATAAATAGTTCCAAATATGCAAAACAGAAGTACTTTTGAATATTATTAAAGTATTAAAATATAAATTACATTTCAATAAAATATAACAAAATTCTGTTATACTTTTTTAAAGATATTTTATAAATAGTTTTAAACATACATTAATCGTCATATATATATATATATACATATTCGTATATTTATATATAATGTGATGATGTATATAAAGTGCCTACATATCTTTTTTATATAATTTTTGTATATATAATTAAAATCATATTTTTAGCTATTAATGTAATTTAAGGTGCACGATTTTATTATACTTTATGCTCAAGAAATTTTAAAAAAGTATTATAAAATTAAAACTATTCAATTTCTAAATTATGTATTTTGTGTATTTTTGTAATAGGTCATAGTTGTATATCAATATGGAAAATTTGATTGTACATAGTCTGGCTATGAATATTATAAAAACGCTTTCATTACTAAAATAAATATTTGCAAACATAAACAACATAAATTATCCGACACATTTTTTACCGTATATAGTAATGTATTATTATACGGAATTTGAATTATACGGATATTAACATGATATTTAAGTTTAATTTAACAGTTTAATATAATATTTCTCTTTTATTCAATATTAACAAATTCAATATTATTTCTTTGTTTTATACGTTTAGTGTTCAATTATCTCGTAATTCGAGAAATCTCGTCTGTGGTCCGATTAAAAATCGATTTATCGATAAAGAGAAAGTATCGATAAGAACTATCGAAGATACTTTTTGAGTCTGTTGAGAACTAACAAGTTTCTAGAACTATTTTACAAAGTATTTAGTGTATTAACCTCGTTGTACCAAAACTGATAATTTTAACATTTAAATAAATTTAGGGTAGTACGGTTAGTAGAGAACATAATATTTTATAACTTCAATCACTATCACATTGAATTATTGTTATTTGAACATGTGTACTTAATAAATAAATTGAATGAATACAAGATAAATTTTTACGAGACGAATAATTACTCGTAATTGCAGAACTGGTTGAATTTGCAATTTAACCTATACCACTTAAGTATACACGTTCATGTATATGTATATCCTCTGAGTGACAATAAAAGAAGAAAGTTCAACAAAACATGTCAGACCCAATTGATTATATTGATTTAACAGTGGATCAACCTGATCAACCTTTAAGATTACGGAGTAAGGGTATTAAAAATAATGCAAAATCACGGAAACGTAATTTCAAACAGCATTCTGTACAGCTTCAAGATTCTATCATGTATGTGTTAAATCTTCTTAATTCCAAGTTTATTAAATTTATTGAGTTAAGATTTGTTCTAGAGAAATACCAGTTGAAAATACATGTAAAGACGTCGAGCCAATGGAAATCATAGATCTAGACAAGATTAATAATACAGAAGAAACTGGAGTATGTTATGTTAATAATTCTAAAGAAGAAAAGTTAATTGTTTTGACTTGCCCCATATGCTATGAACAGCTATCTTCTAAAATAAAACCTATGTCCACTCCTTGTGGACATATATATTGCACACAATGTTTAAAATTAGCTCTACATAAAATTAAAAAGTGTCCAACATGCCAAAAGACCATTAAATTACAATCTTGTACCCGTTTATACTTTTAAACATATCAGTTTTGGTTTTCATATTCATTTTCCTTTTATATTTATATTATTACGAGTATATAGTATACATTTTACATATTTTTTCTACATATAGAAATACATATATTTAATAACACTTTAATAATTACATGAACTTCAATGATTATTCTCTAATTATGTCTGAGTTATGTTGTAACTTCTTCATATATTTGTTGTAATAATTTAAGATTTATTCTTAACTTTTTGAGAAAAAGGAATTGAAGTCTTTGACAAACTCTATAAGTGTATCTATTTCAATATATCTTGGTTTAAAGTATGATTCACTGTTTATGTTTTGTTGTCACCTTGAAATTTTATTGTGACTAATTTACTTAACATAACATGGATCGGTATATATTTTTTGTGCATGTGCCTTTGACAAATTTACTGATATGATTAAATATTGATGTATTCTTATGACTTATCAGTATGATTATTGATGTATTCTTATGACTTATTAGTATTATTGAAATCATAAAATGTTTAAGAAGAAAAAAATACAAAAAGAAAATCATATATCATATTTCTTTGGAGGTACTGCAATTGGAATAGCAGGTAAATACTATTTTTAATTGTTACATACTTATCTCCTTTGTATTCAACTTATGTTATATATATTATTTATTTCATATTAGCTGGTCTATTAGCTGGAAAATTATTTTTAAATACATCGGTTGAACAAAATCAAAAGTTTGGTAAGTATTCTTTTATAATTTAGATAAAACAAAGTTAAAAAGTATTTGTAATTTTTTATACACAGGATCTGAAATTCTTGTCAATAAAAATATAAAGGAAAATTCTCAAGATGATAACATTCATAATAAATATTTGACTAAAAACGATTGTACTGTTTCTAAAAGTACTGCTCAATACAATGATAACAACTATGCAGAGAAGTCACTGCCTCCAATTTTTTCAAACACAGTTGACAATGAATTAAAATATAATATGAATAATCTTAATTCGAACTGCAAATATGACAAAGATAATGGAGTCTTTTGTGATAAAAATTGTACTCTTTTTAATATAAGTATAGAAGATAATAATAAATATAACACATCTACTAATATTTTCTCAGAAAATGTTAAGGAGAAAACAAAGAATAATAGTTATTTTAAGTTTGAAGATATTAAACAGGCATCTTCATGTGTTGCTCAACTAGAAAATACTGTAAACATTAAAGATGAAAATTTATTGAAAGCAGCAAATGAAAAAAGAATATTGATAACTGGAAGTATCGATAAAAGTATAGAATTGACAGATACATTTAATAATTTATCTATCAATTTCAATGAGGATAGTACTACGTACAAAAATCTTCCACATATAGAAAGTTTTGCGACTAGTTCAAACATTTCATCAAATTACATAGATAATGCTAGTAATATGGCTACGTGTAACGATACTACATATTCTGATAATGAAGAACGAGATATTTTGAATTTTACTTTCATGGAAGAATTTTGTGAAACCGGTATAATTTCATCTACGAAATACAACAATTTCGATGATATCTAAAAGAACTTTTAAATATAACTAAGTTAAGAGTTCAAGCTAGTAAGTTAAATTAAGATTCGAAGCTAGTATTTAATTTGAATATTTTCCTTTATTTTAGATGTGTATTAATTAAGAAAAATATGTATCTTATATAAGAGAGTGAACAAATAAATAATTTAATACAATTATATTATGTGCGTATTTATGTTTTTTATGTGTGCTAAATTTGAATTGAAGTCGTTCATTGGTGTAATGATATTCAATGTCATTTCCAAATAATGGATTGGTTGATCTTGTACACACGCCACGCCTACGCTCTACGTTATGGCGGCGCCTCAGAGAAATGAAATACACATTCTGTTGTGTGGAACGGACTATGCTTTGTAATGAAGTCAGTGTTTGTGATATTTTTGAAAACTGATGCTGTTCGTCGCACGCGTTTAGAACGTGATAGATTATAAGGAAACTTCGAAGTAACTTCAACGTCAAACCATGCAAGTTAATTAATTTACTGCAGTGAATATGAGTTTCCTATAGTGTGTCATTGACTCGAGACGAAGTGTCAAAATCGACTTGGTTTCGTGCTATGTAAAAATTTCATCGAGACAACAGTTGCCAACAATTTCATTTATTAAACATTAGTCGATCATTTCAAATCAAACTTGACTAATATATTTATCAGCCACTTATCGTTACCAAATAGAAACTTTACTGCTAGCGTGAGTTCCACGGAAATGAAAAGATGTATGTGACGCCAATGCTTTGTTTTCTTTTTGTTGAATATTATCCGTTTCAAGTGTTACGTTTACGTAGTGATTTTGATAAAAATATGCGCGCTGTAACATTTCTGTCATTGTCAGTGTTCCTTTGTATAATGTATCACTTTTCTCTCTTTGTCAGAATGTTACAAATTTGAAGGAGAAACGAATGTGCGATTTTAATTTGTTCGAATTTGTTTGGCTTTCCTTTTTTCTCTTTTTGTTAATTAATTTTAATGATAAATACGTCCGTTTAACTGGAGAAAATCCATTTGTTATGAGCAGATATAATTAATATACTCAGGAGTGAATGCTTATGCTATTTATTTATTTGATGTTTTTATCATTTGATAACTTCTCTTAATTATGTTAAAGAATCAATGTGTAGTATACAACTGTATTATTTTTTAGATATAAACCAACCATTAATGTTGAAAATCTTAAGTAAATATTTTTATACTAGAAGTTATGAATAGAAATAAGAGTACGAATATTTCAATTTCGTGCAATGTTTCTTTAAAGTACATTGTAATTTCAGGTTTTTGAGTGCATATTGAAGTTAAGAATCTTAAACATCATGGCGCAGAAAATATTTTGTATGTAACTATTTATTAATTTGCACTTAAACATGATGCCAATGGAAAATAATTATCGAACACTCGTTAAGATGTGTTTGTTTAATGCTGTTTATCACTGATCACATCTTTGCTGAGGTCAGAGAGTGATGCCGGTTCACCAGATCAATGTTAATCCGCCTGACCGGCAACCACCTCTGTCGCTTGGTCCTTCCAATAACAATAGCCCTGCTGGTGGTGAAGGTTTACCAGAATGGACACCAAGGGTATCTTTTCACTTATATTTTTATTGCCATATACTATATCTTTCATAAAAAATTTATTTTTTATTTTAATATTTTTAAATCAATTGTTTAGTAAATATCAATGATCAAATTTTAATGAGAAATTATATAACATGTAAACCAAAATAAATCTTAATTGTTTATTGCTTTGTATTCAATAAGATATCTTTTAGGAATCAACATACGCAACAGTAGTTACAATTATACCAGATCATTGTCACTCATCAGTAAGCACATTGTCTTCAAGCAATCATGATATTTGCAGGTGAATATAAACTTCACACAACAGCTCTTATCTTTTAAAACAAATGATGTTCAAATAATGTACAAACAATATTTGATATACATATAACGTATCATACTTCTTTTTCTGTCACAGAATATGTCATTGTGAAGGCGAAGAAGGTGCTCCACTTTTAGCACCTTGTTATTGCAGTGGCAGTTTACGCTACGTACATCAGGCTTGCCTTCAACAATGGATAAAAGCTTCAGACACACGTGCTTGTGAATTATGTAAATTCACATTTATTATGCATGCTAAAACAAAACCATTTTGTGAGGTATTATTTCTTTACATTTCTATATGTTCTGCATACGTAAAGAAATTTTTGTAGACTTTCCTAAAAAAGAAATAAAGCTATAATTTACTAGTTCTTAATTTAGTAAACATGGGAAGAAAAAAAAAGTATATTCATTATTGATTAACTTTTAGTGGGAGAAACTTGAAATGTCTGCCCTAGAAGTTCGTAAATTATGGTGTGCAGTTGCTTTTCATGCAGTAGCTGCACTCTGTGTGGCTTGGTCTTTATACGTACTCGTCGAACGATCTGTGGAAGAAGCTCGGCGTGGATATGTAGACTGGTCTTTCTGGACTAAATTAATAGTTGTTGTAATTGGTTCTACAGGCGGTTTAGTTTTTATGTATATTCAGTGCAAAGTATACATTACATTATGCAGAAAATGGCGAGCATTTAACAGGTATATATTACTGACAATAATTACTTGTATTCAGTTGAAAATCGTATAAATATCGATTGTATGTTTTAGAGTAATATTTATTCAAAATGCTCCTGAGAAAGTGGTGCTTCCTCCCTCACCTACAGACTCTTTGAGAGAAGTAACATTGCCTCTAAAAGATCCAACTGCCTCTATGCCTGAGCTCAATCATACCTTATTACCCCGTAACATAGATCCTCCATGTGCCTCGCAGATGGTAAAACCGGATTCTGCCGCGCCTCCACAAAGGCACGACGCTCAATTGAAATTGTATGTATTTGATAAATTGTCATCGTCCGAAGACAACTTGTAATACAATTGGGGGTAATACAGATGGCTGCTAATTATGTACTGATGATTAGCAAAAAAAAAAAAGAAAAAAAAAAAGTGTAATACAAACATAAGCATACGTCTAGAATAAGATGGTAATTCTAGACCGCAGTACGATTTTTGAAAATCGAAGTTTCTATTTCGAAACTGTCAAATGTCCGCCCTTATGGAGCACCTTTATCTGAAACCTAGTACTTCAGTGCTTACAATGACAATGGGATAGTTGAAAGTGTTTAACCAACCAGCAGATTAAACATTTTCTCCAACGATTGTGTACATAATTATTGTATCTGTGATGTTATTAAATAAAATTTACCATATTTAAACAGTACCCTTAATTTTTGTAATACAAGATTGCGTCCATTTAGTAAAGCCTCATTTGCGACGTTAAGATAGACAATGTAATACCAATGTAATATAATTTCTTATATAAGGATTTTTGAATTTAAATTTTAGATTTAGCTAAATTTTTCTAATTTATTATTAAATGATACTGTGTTATATTAAAATAAAACATGCGATTTTCAAAATAGATATTTTTATTACAAAATTTTTATTGAGATCGTGTACATTTTCTATGTTGTTTTAGAAACAATATGATAATGATTATGATTATCTATTAATTAAAATTAATGTATCTTTGGCATGTATTTGGCTATAAAAAAAAGTTTGAATGAATTGATATTGTTAAAAGAAACCACTATTATTTTTACATGATATGTATATGATTGCGTATATCCGGCCATGTTTATTATAAGAATGAAGTTGTTCACGAGTTGTTGTCACAATACTTTAATATTATTTAATAATTAATTTGTAATATTAAATATTATAATACGTGAATGAAATAAATAATGCGCAATTTTCTTAATCCATTCATTTAAGACATGGTATTTTCAATAATTTAATCGAAATTTAGGTTTCAGGATACAATTTTGTAGTTGGCAGCACAGTCTTCCGGAATATATTTGCAAGAAGTTACCACTGGCTACAGCAGTGGCGGTGAGCGTTAGTTTATAAAAACTATCTGGAGGTAAGGCGAGCATTTGTAATCCACGTTTAACTATTTATTCTTAATCGATCCACTTGTAAAATGTATTCAATTCTGTTAAAAATATTCTGAAATTTTCTGTTATATAATAGTTTTTCTGTTAGTTGTATTACACAGTGAAAATTAAATGACGCGCAAGTGTTTATCCTTAGGCTATATTGAAAACGTGAACGAATTTGGAAGATAAATTATGTAATTTCTGATTGTACAAATATATAAGGATGTTTTAATTTATGTATCTAAGATGAATGTTCCATAGATAAATTCAATTTTAATTATTTTACTTATTTTGTACTGCCTGCTTTTTCCATGCGTAAACGACCTAGCGTCATTAAAATGGCGGTGTATAGTTTCCATAAAAAATCATTACTATTAAACGTAAGCGGGTTTCATAGATTCATTCTCTTGTGATGTATTTGAAATTTATTTAAGTGATTTAATATCTACTTTTTTTTCTTATGTATATATTTTCATTATAATATTTTGAGAAATATATTTCTAAATTATGATTAATATATTCAAATTCTCTCTCTCTCTCTCTCTCTCTCTATATATATATATATATATATATATATATATATATATATATATATATCATTAGATAAGAATAAAGAATGATATCAAAAAATTAATATGAATTTGTTAAATATAATGGAAAATAAGATTATGTATCTCTATATCTTTTTAAATAATGCAGTGCTTGGAATAACTTGATATAATTATTATAAGTTAAAAAATCAAGTATTATTTTTGTAGATTTAAATCATATGTATAATATTATTTTTCAAATTTCAGCAATAATTTAGATATATAAGAAAAAAGATGGCGGATAATGACGATCTTTTGGATTATGAAGATGAAGAACAGACTGAACAACTAGTTGATGGAAGCAGGGATACACCTGCTAAAAAAGAAGTCAAAGGCACATACGTATCTATTCATAGTAGTGGATTTAGAGATTTTCTTCTTAAACCAGAAATATTACGTGCAATTATTGATTGTGGTTTTGAACATCCATCTGAAGGTAATAATATTTTACTTACTCATATTACTATACACTGTATGCAATAACAATATTAATGCAAACTATTAGAACTGATATGTTAAAATATATATTAGAAATTTGATATAATCAAATGATGAAATCTGATAGGGACAACAGATGTTACATGAATGATTTATCTGGTATCTGATTATCTGTCATAGAAATTTTTTATATCTTCTATTTTTAAAGATAGAAATTTCTTATATGAATCTTATTTACAGTACAACATGAATGTATTCCACAAGCAGTGCTTGGCATGGATATATTATGCCAAGCAAAATCTGGCATGGGAAAAACAGCTGTATTTGTGTTAGCCACATTACAACAATTAGAATTAACTGAAAACCAGGTTTATGTTCTTGTGATGTGCCATACACGTGAACTTGCTTTCCAAATTAGCAAAGAATATGAAAGGTTCAGCAAATATATGCCTCATGTAAAAGTAAGTATAATTTATGTCTATTGTATTCAATTTCAATTCATTAGAGATCTTCACATGATGAAACAATTATCTTACTAAATAATGGTGACATCTTTCAATACCACTACCTACCACTGACGAAAATTTTTATATTTATTATGATTCAGTTTTATGAGAAGTATTTTTGATACTATGTTTTGTATTTATGTTATTAGGTTGGAGTATTTTTTGGTGGCTTACCAATTCAAAAAGACGAAGAAGTCTTAAAGAATGTATGTCCTCACATTGTTGTTGGTACACCAGGTCGTATCCTTGCTCTTGTCCGAAATAAAAAATTAAATCTAAAACACTTGAAGCACTTTATACTCGATGAATGTGATAAAATGCTCGAGCTATTAGGTATTTACAGATACAATTTCGTCTTATATATAACTATAATACCGTTGAATATAAATTATATATCTATATTTATTTTCAGATATGCGCAGGGACGTACAGGAAATATTTAGAAGCACTCCACATGGCAAGCAAGTTATGATGTTCAGCGCTACATTGTCCAAGGAGATACGCCCTGTCTGCAAAAAGTTCATGCAAGATGTAATTAACAAATCTTCCTCTTCACTTCAATCTTCGATTGCTCCTACTTCGTTGGCCCTGTGTTCATACCCAGGACATACTATAAATATCGTTGACGGCGCACCCGCGGGTTAGGCTAGTTAGACAACACTTTGAAGGAATGACACAGAATTCAATAACGAAACAACCCTCGATGTCTTCGATTGAATGACAAGTTCTACAACTTAACGAGTTGCTGCTCCAAAGTTTTCCTCCATTTATCGGATGATCGGAGATCTCTACTGATAAAAGGAACTTCGTTTAAAATCGTTTCTTGAGTTGATCAAGATGGCCTTGATGCTGTTTTAAAGCAGTTTTATTTAGTTCCGATCTTCGATGTTAAAATCTTTTAAATTATCTACTGCATATTGAGATTGCCAAAGTTAAAATGATGTTTTGTATAATGTTACACGAATATTGAGAATTACGTCATATACATTGGGATGGGTTAGGAGGAGAAAGTTTCTACAATTTCTATGGGCAATCAATTCAATCAGGCATAAGGGAGGGGTAGATTTTTAAATGACATAGAGCAACATTGAAAGCAGTTTCCGATTGGGTGGGGGGCTAAGAAGACCTCAAGAAAACCTGAAGACAGAAGAGCGCAAGAAAGAAGATGCAAGAGGATATATGGGGAACTGGGGTTAGCTAGGATGATGATATTGCTACAATTATGTGGCCTATGTCTAGAATTTATTATTCGCGTTCATCTTGTTTGTAATTGAAACAGAGTATTTTAATATTTTGGAAAAAAAAGTTAACGGAGGTCAGTAATCGATTAATAGGAGTGAAAATGGAAGTGTTAACGCATAGTTCGATCGTGCCCACTTCTACGAAAACAAAATAAAAATCAGTTTGTGTATCATGAATCATAAGCTATTTAAGTCGCGATGTTAAAAAGTATGTATTTTGTGATAAATATCGGCATACGAACAATGATAGAGGCCAACTCATGAGTATATTCCGAATATGCTAAAATTTGGGAGAAGAGATTTGGCATCGAGTGGTCAGCGGACGTGTGACAGAACATTCATGGGGTGCGCCTTCTTAGTTCTGTTGGGGTGACTGCTGAGTTTTCATTGTTGGCACTGCCTTGAGATGGAAGTCGCCGGACCGTATGTAATCAGTATGACTAAATCCGATCGACAAATTGAGAATTTAAACAGGAAGTTCTCGAGAAATCATCTCATGCATTTTATTTATAGTCTCTTGACATATATCATTATATAGGAAGCGGGAGAAATTGGGAAAAAAAATACTCTACATTTTCACATCATTTATGTCATTTGTTAAATTTTCATTTGTAATTGTTCATTTTATATCTGAAATTTGTTTTTAATGATTTTTTTTCTAATAATCAATTTTATTCGTAAATTTCGACATATTTTTAACTTCAATAAATATTGAAGTTTTTTGTTTTAACATGTACAAAAACGTTATATTGAATCTAGAAATTCAATCAAGGTATGGTTATCTGTAGGGTAAAGTAGATAATCTTGTAAAAAACATTCTTTGCGCAGCCCATGGAAGTCTATGTGGATGATGAAGCAAAACTTACATTGCATGGTCTACAACAACATTATGTGAAACTTAAAGAAAATGAAAAGAACAAGAAGCTATTTGAATTACTTGATGTACTTGAATTTAATCAGGTTTGTCCGCAGACATCATCGATTAAACCATATTGTTACTATTTACTTTACGATTTTCCATTATGTATTAAGCTACTGCAATATTCGTTTTTATTTTAAATTATTCTGTAGGTTGTTATCTTTGTAAAATCTGTACAAAGGTGTATGGCTTTGGCACAACTTCTAACAGAACAGAATTTTCCTGCAATTGGTATACACAGGGGTATGACTCAGGAAGAACGGTTATCAAGATATCAACAATTTAAAGATTTTCAAAAAGTAAGCATCAAATAGTCAATATCTAGTATAGTTTGTAATATTTTACTTCTATCTAAATAATTACAAATATTTATCATTTTAGAGAATTCTAGTAGCTACAAATTTATTTGGACGTGGTATGGATATTGAACGTGTGAATATAGTGTTCAATTACGATATGCCAGAAGATTCAGACACATACTTACATCGAGTAGCTAGAGCTGGTCGTTTTGGTACAAAGGTTAATATATACACGACACATAATGTAATGATAGTAATATTTGTCTTAACACTTCATATTTGCAGGGGCTTGCTATTACATTAGTCAGTGATGAAAGCGATGCTAAAATATTGAACGATGTTCAAGAACGGTTTGATGTTAATATTACAGAATTACCGGATGAAATAGATTTAGCTTCATACAGTAAGTTTACTTCCACATAAAATTTGAGGATGTAGTTTAAAAAGTTACAACTAAGTTTGTTTTTGTTACAGTTGAAGGACGATAAATATAATTCCATTTCTAAAAATAAAAATAAACTTCAATAAAGTAAGTATAATTAGTTGCTCGGTTTTATTGCAGATTTTTTCTTTTTTTTTTTTTTTTTTTTTTTTTTTTCTTATGTCGGTGTATCTCTTGTTTCAGGCACATGAAATCTTGAACACTGTATTGTATACTTGTCATTGTGTATCCACTTTAAGTACAACATGTTTTGTATCAATTTTACAATTTTCTTTTCACTGATCTGACAATACCTTATGAACAAGTGACGTAATCAAATTAATTATAGTTACACTATTCTTCTGGTAATAAACAATTTACATAATTGTACAATAGTATTTAACTTTTATTCTATGTTCAGTAAATAAGGAATGTGTATAAATAGTTTTAAGAGAAAACGTTTTGTCCTCTATAATTTATGTAAATGAAATAAATACTTTTTTTTTTATACATAACATTTAATATTATTATCCTAATTAAATTACTAATTGGATATAATCAAACTGTAAAAATGTATTTTATCAGTATTTTATCAATAGGTGTTTGTTACAAAAATGCTGCATCACTTTGCACGTTCGCATACCTAGTTTAAATAAAAATTACATAAAAATAATTTTATACTATATATGAATGTTCCCAACTAAAAGTATTAAAAAAAAAAAAAGATGAAAATTTACTAGGCGAACTAAAATGATAACACAACTTTATTTGGTCCTTGCTTTATTTTGAGATTTGTTTCCCCCCTGATTACCACCACCACGGCCGAGAGCAGCAGGACCTCTACCACCGCGACCAAAAGTCCCTATCAGAGAAATTGCATTATTAATATTTAATACATTTATAATAATAAAATTTATGTCGTATTGTATACGATTATACCTCTTCCACTACCGCGACCTCGTTGACTTTGTCCTCTTCCTTTCATTTCCCCACGTCCCCTTGACTTCATTTGTACATCTTCTTTTACCATATCTATTACTTCATCAGGAATTCGTAAATACTTAATTGTACTGCCTCGAATGTAACATTCAGGCATTCTCCAAAATTTATCGCCATCCTGTTATGTTACATTATAAACAAGTTTCTATACGAATGATTTATGAAATACTGTATTAATTAAAGAAAAAATGCATCGCGTTACTGTACCCTAGATGTACATATAACCTCTCTGAGATTAATATTCATCCAACTATCGCAACTAACTAAATGTCCATTGTATGTTTCTCCATTTTTAAGTTCGACTAGCTGAAAAATGTAATAAATAAAAAGCATTAATATCGCTAAATTGTACGATATACAACAATCTCCACGTAGAAAAATATATGCTTGATACTTGCCATAGGATGATTTTGAGCTGTTCTTAATAACGACAAAGGTAACTGAAAAATAAATAAATAAAGATAATAAAATACTAGTTTTACTTTTTGTAAAATTATTTTTCAACGTACCATTTTTTACTACTTTGATATTTATTTAAATAACGCACGATTAACATCAAAATAAACAGTTCGAAATGCTCGGTATAATCAGGATAACCAACCAAAATTTAGTTACAGTATCAGGCGAAGTTAAAGTTTTCATGTATGTCATTTCTTCTAGAAAAAATCAGTATACTTATATTTATGAAAAGTATCAAACAATTATTTTTCAGATATAATTCAATAAAAATTAAACAATATATTATATATATAACGATAAACCTAAGAAATATTTTTTAAATTTCAAACAGAAAATGATATATTGATACAAGTACTATAAAAAATATTTTTCATATTTATAAATCTTATATTTTTATTTATTATAAAAAAGATGTTTCGCAATTGTATTGTATCAAAAACTTCATCTTTCAAACTTTTATTCACAAATGAATTCTGTCATCAAAGAGTAAGTACAAATATTCATCAATTGTTAATGATAAATATTAAATTCATAAAATACATTTCAAATTACGTGAAAATTAAAATAAACTTTTTCAGTTTATAAGGTATTCTTTAATGAGAATAGCTTGTACACATAATTTAGCTAACAAGCAAGAAATGTTAGTAAAAGAATGTGTGCCACCAGTTAATAAGTTTGTTTCAAGAACTCATACATGTGGCGAGTTAAAAATTCAAAATATAGGAGAGAATGTCCAACTCTGTGGTTGGTTGGAATATTCAAGAACCAAGAAATTTTTAATACTAAGAGATTCTTATGGTTCTACTCAGCTCATTATACCAGATCACGTGGGTTGAAAACTATAAACTTTAATGAAATATATATGTATGTTGAAATAAAAAACACTATCTCTTATCTTAGAGAATCGACTTGCAAGAGATGGCTAAGAATCTGACCTTCGAAAGTGTATTGAGCATAGAAGGCAAGGTATTGAAAAGACCAGAAGGTCAAGAGAATAAGCATATGGGAACTGGAGATATTGAAGTAGAAGTAAAATCCTTGAAAGTTTTAAACATAGCAAAATCAACTATGCCATTTATCATTAGAGAGTACAACAAGGCAAAAGAAGACACACAGTTGAAATATAGATACATATCATTGAGATACCCTGAATTACAAAAGAATTTAAGATTACGTTCAGATGTAATAATGAAGATAAGAGAATACTTAATTAGAGAGTGTAATTTTGTAGATATTGAAACCCCAACGTTGTTTAAAAATACTCCTGAAGTACATATATTATAAACATAGTCCATAAGAAAAGGAATATAAAAATTTCTAAAGCTTTCTTTTTGATATAGGGTGCACAAGAATTTGTAGTTCCAACAAAAATTCCAGGCCAATTTTATTCATTAGTACAAAGTCCCCAGCAATTTAAACAATTGCTAATGGTGGGAGGTTTTGATAGATACTTTCAAATTGCAAGATGTTACAGAGATGAAAAACCTAGACATGATAGACAACCTGAATTTACACAGGTATAATTTTTGGCTTGCAAATGTACATCTCATGTGAGATAATCTATTGCATTTGAATATATTACTTTATAGCTGGATATAGAAATGTCATTTGTTGATTGTGAAGGAATAATGGAATTAGTAGAAAATTTATTAGCATATTTTTGGCCTGAAGAATCAGGAGAATTAACTGTACCTTTTAAGCGCATGAAATATGAAGATGTAATGAAATTATATGGTACAGATCAACCAGATTTAAGAATACCACAACAAGTAAGATTAGAATATATTTTTAATTTAAATGTGAAAAATAATTTTAAAAATAATATTTCAGCTTTGTAGGTTGACAGGATTAATTGATCATTCAGTATTGGAACAGAATTTAAAAATGAAGCAAAATGAAAACCTTGAAGTTTATGCTCTAGTTTTTTCCCAAAAACATGTATGTTTTGTGTTATATAAATATTTTTTGCTTTTTGATTATCTTATACTTCATGCATATTTTATATACCTTAGAATTTTTTTACCACATCTATCAAAGATACTATATCTAAACTACAACACACTTATTTTCCTTCTGTGAAATTGATCCAAACAAAGATAACTAACAAATCATCAGCAGTAACAAATATTATTGAAGGAAATGTACAACAAAAATTAAATTTAAGAGAAGGAGATGTTCTGTTTTTAGCTTGTGGAGAAAAGGTTCATACGGTAAATATTCATTTATTAATTATATCCAATCTTCATTAATTGTATAATATATTCTAATATGAAACAATTATTTATATTATTATCAAAATTACAGCAATCATTATTGGGAAAAATACGTCTTGAATTTGCCAATTTCTTAGAAAATAAAAATCAACAAATCCGTACCAGTAACAATGAATTATTATGGATCACTGATTTTCCTTTGTTTTCATTTAATACCGAAACAAATTCATTGGAAACTATGCACCATCCATTTACTCGGCCTCATTCAGATGATTTGCAATACCTTACGGAGAATCCATTGAAGGTATTTTTGTTAATTAATTAATAAACTTAGTAAAAAACTAAGTAAAATGCATATTTATAGGTTAGAGGATTACATTATGATTTGGTTATGAATGGTTTCGAAGTTGGTGGAGGATCAATACGAATCCACGAATCAAAATTACAACAAAAAATATTTAAAATGCTAAATATAGACGAATCACCTTTAACGCACATATCTGATGCTTTAGAATCTGGTGCACCACCTCATGGTGGGATTGCTATAGGTATTTTATTTTTAATTCAAATATTGATGATACATAATAATATTGCATCATAAGAAATAAATATGAAATTACTATTTAGGATTGGATCGTTTAATATGTTTGCTCTGTAACACAAAAAATATAAAGAACGTGATAGCATTTCCAAAAACTATGGCGGGACGAGATTTAATGTCAGGAGCACCAGTCCCTATTTCTGAAGAAACAAAAAAGTTGTATCATATACAGACTGTAGAAATAAAACAATAATCAAGAAGTATTTTTTATATTTTTTACTGTACTGTAAAAATAATTTTGTAATATAGTACGATTGTAAAAAATATATATTACTTTATAACATTAATTTTATAAAAAAAATGTTAAAAAATAGAATTTTATTTTAATTGGAATGAAATTCAATTCCAGAGCATCGTTCATTTTATTTAAATTTATTTCATATGAATCTGTTTTATAATTTACAATATTTATGAATGTCGCGATTACTATAATTCATAATACACCCGTTATATCGCATTTTTATTTTGATATAAATACTACGAAAAAATAATATTTAAATAATAATATTACAAAACATAATGAAAGTAATTTTAAAATAGTAGAAGACATGATTAATGCAGCATTAAATTAATTATTCATTTTTACAGTTACTATGTTTAAACAAAATGTATGATTAACAGCTATATGTATATCATAAATGGTAAATTTATTGCATGAAAAAGGGAATTACACGTATACCATATTAAGCAATGTTTGCACAGTTTTAATTACTAAAAGTACTATCGATTTACTGCATAGATGTAATTATGGTACATTAACACACGTGTTACGTAACTTTAGCGACTCGCTATTCAATATTATTATACCATTGAAAATTTTGCAAAATAACATGATCAATTATCAATAAAACAAGCATGTAGAATACACGTACAAAAGAAATGTGAAATCAATATTTCAGGGTTAATTATGTTGTTAAAAACGTTAATAGAAACGAGTATAGAAATAAAATGATAAGACCAAATTTTAATATACAAAAAAAGTGTTTTATTAGAATTTGTTTCTTTTAGTAAGATCTCACGCGTTCTATTTAGATTGATTTCAAACGAAAAATAAAAAATTTTATCTGCGCAATAAGTGATACGTCGTTACCGAGAATTCCTTTTTATGAATTACGCTTAAAAAGATGTTACTCAACTAAAATTCCCTAACGAATACGCTGATATGTTGTTACATTTAATGTGGAAGAAAATTTTATTGTTCTATGTTAATTATAATTATTTTTTACTTAGCGAACTGGAACATAAATAAAAAATGATCACAAAACATTTTTGTTTCTTTTTTACGGAAAATGACTTCTTATTACAATATAAAAGTGGAAAGATATTTCTCTTTTTGCATTAAGAAACACTTAAGCGCATAAGATAATGTACAAATGTCGCATCTCTTGCTTCTGCTAATTATGCACAAGGCATAATTAGAATCACAATAGTTCACAACGAAAGAAACTATTGAGTACACACGTTCAGAATCCTACAATTTGAATCGCTTGTTTTAAATATCTGAGAATCATTTCAATATCATTTGTCATTTAAATGTTTCGAAAGAAATATTTGCAATTTTCTTTACTGATAAAATATAAACGTTAGATGTGCGTACTCTAAATCATCATTGGAAGAAGATGCAGTTTTTTTTCGGTGGAAATTTCTATTTCATATAATAACATATTCTTTTTTGGTATGTTCCTAGTTCTCTAAGAATCTATAAACCATTACGTATAACAGGTGTTAATCGGCTTAGCTTTTGCGCAGATTCAATTAAAAATTAGTACTGAACGTGACTACGTTTCGTCTACAAAATACGTCGACTATTATTCCGTTACGAAAACTTAACGTAGGAACTTAGAAATCTGTCAAAAACTAGAACGCTTCAAGATAAATATTTCTAAATATAGAACGTATTAAACGTAGATTATTTCGATAAATCATCACATTTAGTATCTTTTGTTTGCTTCTTTTTTTTCTTAAGTTCATTTCGATAAAATGCTCTCTTAGTTAATAAGGTTCATTCAATCGACACAATGTACATCTAATCTTAACTCAATTCTAAATCCCTATGTTAAGTGCCCGCATAAATCGACGCTTATGACAGGGGCGTAAATGAGATGTTGCGTATGCAAAGACATTTGTTTTTCTTCGATTGAAATAGTTGAATACAAAAAGAAATTAAATTAGATTAACATAACAAAAAAATTTGGTTCACACAGCATTATTGTTTTCCTCATGGACTGAGTATTCTCTTTATAGATAACAAAACAAATATATATATATATATATATAGAACATTAATGAAGATTAATTTTTATAAAATGAAAGCGATTATTTTGTCTTACATGTACAATTTTACGAGGATTTTTTACAACCTCGATAAAGAAGAACATTTATTTACGCCCCTGACCGATACTTTAAACATGAAAACTTTCAAGTGGACTTATAACCACTCAAAAATCTAATCGATCAATGATCAATTTCCGCTTCTCCGCGTTTACGGAAGAACGTAAATCTATCGATCAGACAATATTCCGTCGTTAAACTTGTCAGAGTATATACAAGTTGTCGCTTTTTCCGTTTGGGAACACAGTGTTTCGCATGTTGCACGAGTTGCAGAAATTCGTATTCGAGATATTCTTGGCGTGGACATTTACTCAATTATAGTTGGCAGTATGAAAGTGTTTTAATCTATATACGTGGATCGATCCGTGGTGCTTTCACGACGATTAGATTTCTTCGAGCCTATTCTTCGAGTGCCCTGTGAATTCTGTAATTCGATCTGGTTCATCAAATTCGACGTGGTTTTTCTCTTCTTCCTTTTCCTTTTGTTAATTACGCGCAAGATACATTTTTAAATAATAATCCCGTTCTTCTTCGGTTTCGTATGATATAAACCGCAATCTTTGCGTACACTGTTTCGCCATTTAGAAAAATACTATTTTACAAGATGTGGCGAACTCTCAAGCATTGACGCATATGTGACGCATTCAAGAGCTCGCCGAAGAGATATACAAGCGAATACATCACATACAAAGAGGCATTCATACACGCACTCATACACCGTTGTAGAATCAATAGACAATACACAAATATGCAGTCATACATATTACGCATACACACGCGTTTTTTTTTTTTCCGTATAGAATAATATAACCGTCTATTCCTGCATAAGGTAGGTTAAGGAAAACGTCTAGAAATTCTAGAGGACACTGTGAATATAATGATATATACATGTATGATGAAGGCAGGCTATATAATCGAACAGACAAAATATGCACGAGCAGTGTCGTAAACATGTGGTACAAGTTACACAATTTTGTGTAATATCTCTGACGTAGTTTTCATAATGTCTAAAGTTTTTCTGTCCTGAAGTGAACAACGCCATTTCGATAATTCATTATGCATGAACACATGTATATAACAGAACAAAAAATGATTAACCAATAAATTGTATCGTACGAAGAGGATGGATTGTCGAATTTTTTTTTCTTTTTCACTTTTTTTCTCTCTTGTGCAATAAAATGCTGCTCGTTCATTCCAATGCACCTGTTGACTTATTAATAAAATGCTTTATCGCGCCGACGTAAACATAAAAATTGAACAAACTACTGTGTGAAAATGATTTGACTTAACTGGATTTCCTACCATCATCGAATGTTTTCTCACCCGGCCCGCCGGTTCCACGCATGTAGATTAAAAATGATACCATATCTAGAATAATACATATACAATAACATAAGTGCCAACGTTGGCAGTATACTTTCTGAATTATTATACCTTTATCGCATGGAAGTCGTAGAAACATGAGATACCTTACTGCCGACAACAAAGTGTCTGTTCAAGACATTTCGCATGTTTATTGCGCATAATAAATAAGCTCCGTTCTTGCGCGTAATGAGGTCGTATAATCATTGAATTTCAAATGAACGCCCATTGCAATGAGGTTACAAAAAATATCCCTAATTTCGGACGGCCACTGGGAAATTTGATTAATCAAACCAATTTGTTGTGATATGTGTTAATGCAATATGATTACAATATCTCCATGCGCGATATCAGCGACTACGTTTCTTCTTTTCATTCGACCAATTTTATCATGAAATTTAATGTCATAAAATATTGCGAGCAAATAAAATTTAACTTGTTCTCGAAATGTTAAAATGAACTCGTCATTCTCTTTTTCTTTTCTTTGTGCTGTACAGACGTATTTCAAATGAATAGCTTGTCTAAAAAAAATTAAAAAATACATAAAAATATATGACCTTCCATTAGTACTGTATGTTAATTTCTTTTTTTCGTCCAGTGAATCAAAGCAACTTAACTATTTAAATTACCAACTTCATTAAAACATAATCACGTGTCAATTAATAATTCATAGAGTTTTTGTGATATACGATGTATCACAATTCTGTATCATTATTACACGCAGGTACACAAAAAGGAATTACGTACACAATGTGACATTTCCAAATACTAGCAATGTTTGTAATATACTTTGAGAAATAAAAGAAGTGATGGTATATCACAATTTTTAAATATTGACAAGGTATGATGGTCACGTTCATCGCGCCACAGAGTATATGATTATTATGATGATGATGATGATGATGATAATGGTGGTGACGATGATGGCAAAATACATAAACAGTACATGACATACTCGAAGCAAGCCAATGAGTCAAGCGGGCCGATTTCCTGGGTATTGAAACTATTTTTTCTGTTTCTTGGGTTTGTTCCAACACCGGCGTCTCATACGTCGGTTAATCAACTTTGTACGTAATGTAAATGCAATTTCTGCTTATTTGAAATACCCAAGAACTGTATGTTGTCGTTTCTTCCTTGAACCGATGTCATTTTCAGTTCTTTCTTGCATAAAATTAGGTAAATTCTAGCGAGCATCAGAGCTCAATATCTGACGCACTGATTTTATGCACTTTCATCGACAGTAGGCAACCAAAACGCCATGTTAGTACAAGCAGATGCTAACATCATGTACTTGGGATTGAACTGAATACACTGAACTGGTGCAGGATGATCTCCGTTAAGCACACAAACTTTGTATCCGGTTTCAGCATTCCATACGTGTACTCTACCATCTGTAGATCCACTAAATACAAACTGTGAATCAGGGCTAAAGCTGGCCTCGATGGCAATTCCTTTGTTGTTTAAATAACCAGCGAATGTTTGTAATGGTGTGCCATGAAATGCATCAATCAAACGGATCGTACTGCCATTAGTAGAAATCAAAATCGTTTTACCATCTCTGCTGAATTTCAGTCCTGTCCAGTCGCACTCTTTCTCTTGAGACAATTTAAATGTAACAAATGGCCCCTTATCGAAGCTACGTAAGTCATACAGTTTCAAGAACTCCGAATTGACACCTGCTGCAAAGATAAGGCCTTCCGGATCATACGCGGCAACTGGACGTCCGGAGACATTCATAACACCGTGGCAATTAGGGGAACGGAGGTCCCATAGTCTTAAGGATTTGTCTAGAGAACCAGAAAGAAATGTGTCCTCTATAGGGCTGATGCATAGCGACACAACTTTCTTGCTGTGACCTGGGAAATATCTAATATACTTATTGTCGTGCAAGCTTAGGTAGCGGATGGTATCGTCAATTTTCGTGCTGCTGTGTATCGCGGTGTTTTTCGCATGAGTGAAATGGATCAAATCGACACCGTATTTCTTGGAATTGACTGTACGCACCTGGGTGCCTTTCTCACAGTCGTAGATCACGATCTGGTCATCCTCCGAGCAGGAAATCAGAGTATCCCCGTTCGGTGAGAAGTCGATGCTGTTTATGCGATCGGAGTTTTCACGGAAGACCTTAGCCACCTTGAAGCTCCTCACCACGTGGTCAACGAGCTTCATGGTGATGGACGGCGCGTTCTCCCTTTCGTGCCGTCCCCTTAACCTCCCCGCTTCCGCAATTTCTTTCTCTTTCCTTTTGATACAGCCAAGGCGCCGAGGCGCGAAGTTCCAGAGGAGGGGTCAGGGGTTCGGCTATGTACCACTGTTGTTCACCTCGCGGGAAAGAAAAAACCCGCGGGGAGTTCAAGAGGTCAGGGGAACAAAACACAGCTCAACTATCACCTTGTTATACTTCGGACTTCCTCGATTTCTCTTTTGTCTGGCTGTTCGATTTAGCCGTCAACACGACGTTGATTTCCTTTAATTTGACAAAGGGGCTCGGTTCCGATGTCTTCTCTCTTTCCTGTGAACGGACGCCGTCGGCAGACTAGCGCACACCGCACGCACAAATTCTGCCAACTGTTTAGAGGAATGGATGACGAATTGCCGTGAACCGTTCTCAGGATATTGTAGATTCATACCGTGAACAGAGCTGTCAATCTGCGTTGACGTTGATCTAACGCCATTTTCCCCCGAGATATAGAAAAAAAACTGCGGTTTTGAATTTACATACCTGAACTTTTAACGTTGAAACACTTTCTTTTGAACATCACGAATATGGATTACTGAATAAAGTAATAAAATAATACGCGTGAAATATTTATTAAAGAAGTGTAATTTATATTCTTCGACTGTAATTGTAATGTAACTAGCTCTCAATCAAAATGCATAGGACGTAATGACTGACAAATTAGGATACATTAATTTTTATGCTTGATTTGTACAAGCTAGAATATTGCTCAAGTACTTTTATATTTGTTTTTACTTTTTTTTTCTTTTAGTAATGTCATCGCTTTTTTTCTCAAAATAAATATGTATATCGGAATAAAATACTTTTATTGGTAATACATATAGTAAATATTGAATATAAAATATATCTTTTTAAGATTGGTACACCTGCATTTGAATGAATTTTAAAATATTCGTTAGAAGTTAGCTGGATGAAAAAGATATATCATTGAAATATAAAACATATAAAGCAGTAGCAGGACAAAAATATGTATGGAATATTTTGTTATTTATTAAGCAACTATTTATTTTTTTCTGCAGCTTACGATTTTATATAATACAATATTGGTACTTAAAAAATTATCAGGCATCAATAAATATTTAAATCTTAGTGTGCAATTTCACTATATAAATTATAAACATATAAAATTTACGTTATATCACAAGATAATGTTTTAATTAGAAACACGTTCTTTAATACCATCATAATAATACCCTTTTTTTTGTTTTCTTTATGCTTCGAGCAGCAGCGTGAAGACCAAAAACTCTAATGTTGCAAAATCGTAATCAAATGGCACGCACGCCTTTTTCCCTTATATTGGTATAAAATATTAATTTAGACTTTTGTAAAGTTTTTTTTACCGAGCTATCATTTTGATGTTATTAAAGCCACCATTATGCATCTGTGATGGAACAATGCTATTTCTACATATATAAGGCTTGTTTCATTATAATTGATTGTGAACTTCATACATTGTCTATATTATCCTCATTTATTTATTTACTATGTTATTAAAAAAAAAACTTTGATATATGTCAAATACATGCAGCGAAGCAAATGCAAATTCCAGTTTCAGTCGCTTTTTAATTAATAATTGAATATTTATGTATATTTCTATAGTCAAAAAACTATGTACAAGCACACTTTTGAAATTTTGAATAAAATCTATTATTTTGATTGTATTCCATGTACATTTGTAATATCAGGATATATTACATATATACACACACACACGATACATATACAGTTCGCGTATCTATCGCAGAGCAGCTTACAATACAAAAAAATTAAGAATACTATAATTTGCTTTCTCGTATTTTTGCAAGACAATCGTAATTTATAAAAATTGACAGAACAATTTTAATATTTATTGTATAGTATATTTCTTCAATGTGTAAATATTAAATGCAACTTTTGTTACACCGAATTAAGCAAAAGGTATGTACATATTTGTTGAAATTACATTGTATCGTTTCTTCTTCAAAAATCATCTATTAAAAATATTATAAAACTGAATGTGAAATGATTGTGCTTAATAATGATACAATATAATTACATTAAAATTCAATTTATAATCATATGAAAATAGGTATGTGCTATTTTGCAATTAGAATTAGATATAAATGTTCTTTATGTATCAAATTCAATATATTTACAGCCTTCATTTCATTTTTCATTTGAACTATGCGTTTTATGTTCTTCTTTTGTAAATTTAAGCCTAAGAACATATTTTTACATCTACATGTGCTGCTGAAAAGTCAAAATTATTAATACTAGTTCTTAGAATATATTTAAATTTATTGTTATAGCGTTCAATTCAATTTATTTTGCGTAAGTTTCTTATATATACTCTTTAAAATATTATATACTCTTTTAAAATAAATGTAGCCTCAAAATATTAAAGCTTTTAGTATTATTTATCAATAAAATTTATTTTTATATTATAAGGCTGATGGTATATTGACTGTCATTAAAATTGTATAAATTTATACATAAATCGTTCAAACGAACTGTTTCATAAATTAACAATCTTTTGGTATTGTTATTAAATCATGTAAATAAATATCTATACATTCGATTCACTGAATATTAGTATAATAAATACTTTCACATAATTAAATTTATGGAATGTGAAAACGACACTTTATTTTAATCAAAATATTTTGTGTTGCAATCATTAAATTAATAAAATAATTGTGTAATTATTATACATCTATATAATGTTATATCTTTTGATAGTCTTTTTTTTTTTTGTTGTGATGAATGTCAATTTTAAATTAAATTCAAATAATTTCTAATAAAATAATGAATCATCAGTTTTTCTCTTATTTTCATATAGGAGTGACACAATGTACAGTTCTATTCTCACATTTCAATATTCATTTTTAAAAAACTATATATCATAAAAGGTAATCAAAATTTATAGTAATAGTAGTGACATCAATATATTGCATAGAAAACTAAATTAGCCAAAAATATAATTTTTGTGTTTCATTTTGCTTTGTGTAGTTATTACTTAACTATTAAATAGATCTATATAAAAAAAAAGCTTCAGTTCTGGCACGCATTGCTATTTGACAAGTTTGTTAAAAGTTTATACTTCTTTTTTTATAACAATAACAACAACAATAACAAGTACGGTACTTATAATAATTGTAATGTCCTCTAATTATCATTTTCTTTAGAAGACATTACTAATGATTTGCTTGTAAGGAACATACATCATGGTAAAGCTCTGCATAAAGTATACTGAAAGTTACAAGCCATTCAAAATAAGTAGCCAATAAAAAAGTGCATATAAAAATTAAAGTCATTAACATAATAATAATCGGTATTTATAAAGATTCTGCCATATTTTTCATATTACTTTATTATCAGTATACTTTATCCAAATTAAACCAATTTAGAAGACTGCTGCATAGAGCAATTAGCTCTTTTATTGGTCCCTGAACCTAAAACTTGTACTTATATTTAGCACCTTATAATTTTTGCATTTGTTACTTATTTGTCACAAGTTAAGAAATATAATTAAGTAAAAAAGTAATTAGTTACCATTTTTATATTAAACAAAGAAGTCGTTTAGTTTGTAATTAATATATTATGTCTTCTATACTATACGATGTTCTTCCATAGTATCATTGTGTAAATTTTTGAGACTATGTATAATTTAATTTTTTAAATTAAAGATAAAATCGAATTGTTAATTGTAATGATTATAAACTGATTCATCCAAAAATATATAAAAAAATTTATACAGATTTACTAATGAACAACAGCTAATCTCTTTTCTTCTGACAAGAAAAAAATACAATTTTTACTGTAGACAGGTAATAGTTAAATTGACAATATTCGTTTTAAATAATATGTTATTACAAATCAATGTTTCTTATTGAATTTTAATACCTTAAAAATTCGAAGGTTCAGGGAAATTGATGATTGTACTTAAACAGCAGTTTAGGCTAGTATAAATTAGCATATTAATTAATTTAAATTATATCTGTCCTTTATGCGCAAACATATGTAAGCGACAATTTTAAATTAATTTATAAATATGTATATACGTATACAAATACATATAGTACGCATACATATAAATATGTATGCTTATGTACATTCATATATGAATTTATTTTATCTTTCATTCGATTTCATTCGATTTCATTTCATAGCCACTGAACATTGTGTTTAAAATTTAAATATATTACGCGACACTTTTCATTCACAATGTACTGCAGTTTGATTATAGCTTTTTAATACATAAATTATTATATAAAATGTTAAATTAATACTTTTTGCTTCAAATTTGTGCTACTTGTGTAATGATTGTGCAGTGCATAAACATAGAATTGCTTAATTCATCAGGCCAATTGTTAATTCATAATTCATAGTTACACAAATATGATTTCGTACTCACTTATGTGATGTATATACATATATATTTATATTATTGCATTTATATATATTATAAATGTGTAAACTTCAAAAGCATACTTAAGTAGTACTAAATGTCTTTAATCACGCTATCTATCTTTTGTAGGAAAGGCCTCGTAGTGCTAAATATAAGAAAAAAATTTGAATATGGATTTAACTTTCCTCTCAGCATATTCTATTTGAAATTTTTCTCTATTTTTTTCCATGAAGTTACAAATCCATGGAAAATTTCGATTTTTGTTAAATTATTTTTTTATCCATAAAAATGCATAAAATAATAAAATATATTAATTCTCAAGATCGTTTTTGTGCCCATTTCAAATCATCCGCCCTGGGTTTACAGCCAGTAGCTTTTTCAATTATAATTTCTAGAATATACCAAAACCGAAGTTGTTCTAATGGCCAATTTAACCATCCAGTAGTAATACAGAAATAAGTTTCATGTGGTGCAACATGATGCACGCGATGATGTTTCCTAGGCAATATAACTCTATGTTCTTGCAACCAAATAACCCAGGAAGGCAATCCAAAATATGTATGCGACCATTTATGTATCTGAAAAAAGTCTTTTATATTGTTGCTAGTATGTTATTCTGCTGATAATTTCAATAGAATTAAAGAAGTTTATATGGAATTTGTACTTCGTTTCTCAAATATAAAAAAGTATTTGATGTATTGACAAATTATATTTAATTACCTGATTAGTCATTGCTACAAAAATTGCAAGTAGAAACCAATAACATGTCCAAACAAATTTTTGTTGTATCTCTGATTCTGGGAGAGTTAAGAAATCCCATGTTAATTTATAAAGAAATGGAATTGTGACCATGAAATTATCACCATTAGTTTCTATAAAATCATGCCTTGTTATGCTTGTTGGATCAATGTGATGTTCTCGAAATGGTCTTAAAAAATTCTGAAAATACATATATACATATATACATTAATAATAAATAGTAAGTTTTGAAATACACATTTATATATACATATGACTTATCTGACAATCATAGTAGTTTAAATCATTCTTATGTTTGTTATTATTGCTTTCTCAGTTATGTGTTAAAATAAAATAATCCCAGTAAATAAGAAGTAATCCCAATAAAATTATAATTAAATATATAGAGGCTTCAAAATTTAAAAAATGTTATTAACTCAAATTATAAGAATTTGGAATTACACCACTATGATTCTCAATCGTTCATATATTCACGAAACAATGTCAATCTTAAATGTATGAATGAGCATATTCTTGTACAATGATTTGCTACAATTTACCTTTCCAAGAATTGGAAGTTCTACAGAACCCCAAGTGTCAGCAGCCCAATGAACTAATCCAGATCCAAAATCTGCCGTAACGATGCCACAAAACGCAGCTATCGCTATCGAGCTTAAATTTTCTAATCGTAATCTGACAAGAATAAATATTGAATTAACTATAATGAGTGTAATACAGATCCCGACACAAATGCACTCTTGTGTCCTTTTCCCTGCAATAAAAAATCATCAACCTTTGTCAATCACCGAAATTTTGACAGTGAAATTTTAACAAAGTGTAAAAGTCTTTGTATGAGAGAGTATCGTAATAACTTTATAACTATTGTAGATACAAAGATATGTATTGTTAGATTGCTCTTTATTTTAGTTCACAGTCAAGAATTCCAAGGCACGACAAATATATAACTAGTATTTTGGCAAGTATTAAAATCAGAAAACATATATGTATATAATTTCATATTGAATATAATAAAATTGTTAACTGATTTAATCTTGTGTATGGTATCCAAAATTTGATGTATAGTATCCAAAATTATCAGAAATATTGATAAATATCCAAGTGTTGCGAAAAAAATGTTTCAGTAGGAAAAAATTCATTTTATTAAAATTATTACCAGTACTATAAAGATTTGCTAATTCTTGAGCACCCTTGTGATTGGGACCCCATCTTGGTACGGTTCTGTCCTCTTGTGAAGTTGAGACTACCGAATTGGCATTGGGATCGTCCTCGAGCATTGAATTCTCGTAGATCTGCCGTTCAGTTTTCACTGGCGCCAAAAAATTCGTAGCCATCGAGCATGCAGCTGATGCCGCTTGGCCTAAGTTTGCCACTTTTATCTCATCCATACTTATTATAGTAATTATTTTGAATATTCGTTGAATAATGTAAATTCTAAATGTGTCTTTTTTTTCCTTTTTTTTTTTTTTTTTTTTTTTTTTTTTTTTACGAATCCGTCTTCTTCTGTAATGATTGCGCGTATTTCAACATTGCGAGGTCTTTTTTATTCGATTACGAAAAAGGCAGCGATGCGTTTCTATATATTCTTATAAACAATTTATATTCTATCGAGTAAGTTCTTATAAAATACGGACGATCTTTTGAATTTTGTGTGCAGAAACGGCCATAACGTGTTACGCATTATTTGATGTATCTCCTCATCATCTACCATTTGATCCATCTGCTTTTTGTACAATTTTTCCTACTGTAGCCATTATAACATTTATTCGTTGAAATTATAATTTTTTTCGTTGTCACTGTGCGTTCCTCCCGTTTTTGTTTTAAAGTCTTCTTATCTGAAGTCTCATTCAATGAAATTTATGCTGCAAAAAAGATAAAATATAAGTAATTTTATATAACATGTACAATTTAAAAAATGTTTGTACATGAATAATATTTTAACATTCAAAGCTTTTCAATTTCAATGAACACCTCGAATAATAGGTATAATGTAAAACGAACTTTCAGTGATGAAAAGTATTGAAAGTGACAATCGCAAATACCGAATACTGAACTTGCTTTGTTTTATAAAATTTTTTATGCTTAATTCCACCTATCAATATGCTAGCTAACAGCTAGACTGCTTAGAATGGCTTCAATAATAAAAACACTACCACAAAACCACGAAGTAAAAAATTTATTTTATTACGCTTGATTTTACTTTTTACCTTGACTCAATTTGTTTTGAGTTAAGATATTATCGGGGAATTAACAATATCGATTATCAGTATCATTGAACAAAGTGATCTCTGAAAAATCTCTTGGATGTAATTGCTCAAAGTAATCATTTGTTAATTAACGAAAAAGAATTATTACAACTACGACATGATTTTACGTTTATAACGTTTTCTGAAAGATATAGCTTCATTGAAAAAGATATTAATCGTAATAAATATTATCGCGCGATATCTCTCGAAAAGAATAGAGACAGCATTTATAAGTATTTAAACAATGGAATAATGACAGTATCATTCGCGTTTGTACGTAGGCATCGATGAAGTAGGTTAATTTCACTTTTCATGAGCTCTTGAGAAATAATTTTGATAATGTATCATGCCTGTTCTTATCCATATTTTTATATCGAAATAATTTGAATGTTACTTTGCATCATGTGATATTATTAATTTATCAATCTGTATGTACATATATATATATATATATATATATATATATATATATATATATATATATATACATACATACATACATACACACACATGCTTTTTGAGATATCAGAAAAAATTTTTTAAATTAAGAAATTATAAAAAATTAATTGATTAATAAATTCAATTAAAATATCTTTGCAATAAGTAATGTTTCATCGATCAATCAGTTCATTGCTCATGTTCACGCGTAAGTAAAAATCTGACAGCTGGATCTCAAATTTCAAATGCATATATACCTACAATGCTCGTTCAAACTCGTATTAAAGTATCTGTTAATCGCGATACTTTAACAAAATTGGATTTAACACGACACTGCAGCAAGCAAATTATTGCATACGTCTTCCCATATATATCTCTGCAAGAAACTTAATGTCATTTTGTTGTTCATTCTTTTCTAACAAGTTTGCAGGCAAGAACATTTTGAGCCGGCGTGCGTGATTACGCGTACATGTAGATTTGCATTGTCGCGTGCACTACACGCGCACGACACGTGCATATATTGTAATTAAAGGTGTAACATATATACATATATATATGAATATACACATAAACATATCATAAATTAAAATTCCAAGAAAGAACTTTGCAGTAAAATAAAATTTTCAAAAGTTAAACATCAGGTAAGGCATACCCGTAAGAAAGATGATAGGAATAAAGACGATGATAGAAAATCCTCGTAGAATTAAGAGGATCCCTCAGTGTTTCCGTGTTTACAGTCGTTATCCTGGTCGACTCATTGTCCGGCCACAAAGTTGCTGAATTTGCACGCTCAGTTAGTCACTGGTAGAGTCAAAACAGACCTACGACGAGGCACTGTCGCACCTCGTACCGATATAACACGTACATGTAGGAAGACACACATGATGTTCGCATGCATTCGTATGTAGTTTCATGCACGGATCTTTTTCCTTTTTCTTCGTCGTCGATTTGATCTTGCTACACCGTGATATCACCGTAGAGAACTGGTAGTAACTGGTAGTGTATTTTCGTGAATGACAGGCACCAGTGTAAGGACATAAAATTGAAAATGACAAAGAGCGAAAGTGTACGTGCGCAAAGTGAGAGAAAAGAAAGGTGGGAGTAATTGACGAAAGGGATCGTGGAGGTACTGCAAGTTGACACAAGTTGACATTTAATTTCTGGAATTCGTTCGGTTTCTCTCTTTCATTAACCGATACGAAAGGTACGAAAATTAACGAACAGAGCTTACAAACGGAGGCGCTAGCTTCGCCGTATATGCCTTACATACACCGTTCTGTTCACCCGATTCCCCTCGGTTCTTTCTCTTTTGCTTGACTTGACTTTACGTCACGCGAACCGCCTCCCAACTCTTTCCTTCTTTCATACGAGAACCTCTCCTGCAACCCCGCCTCGTTTCGTGACGAACGACCGGCGCCGCCTGACGACCGCAGCTCGCGTCGCGACGCTCTCGTGGCGCCGTCATGCGGTTACCCTTTCTGATATTACCACTTCTAGACATGAGAACAATTCCCGTTCAGTCGAGGTGGGACAATTTGTCGCGGCTGTATTTTCATACACGTCACAATTATTTCAAATATTTGCATATGCGCGCCTCTAATCAAATTATCATTACATTCCATGTAATCATATTACTATATGTGTGTATGTGTATATATATATATATACATGCATATAATAAAATTTATATATAAAAAAATAATTGCAATAAACGCATATGTATGTATATACACAATTTTGTTTTTTTATCTTTTATACTTTTTACTTTGGAAGATATAAATGTTATTAATTATATCTAATAGAAAAAATTAATTATATTTAATAGAAAAAAGTAATTGAAAAATTACTTTGTATCGATGACACATTAACCTTGTGCATGCATTTTATCATGAAACTTACTTCATAACTATTTAAAATGCAACACGTAAGACGCAATATGAATCAAAGACTATAGAAACGCATAAGGAATATACGTATTCATGTGTGTATATAGCATTCGTGTATGTCATTTTTATATTATGCACTTGTTAGTTGAATCGACTCTATGAGTAATCACCGATATGAGTAATTAAACTTTTATTTCCTCACATTCCATGATTATCTAAAAATTTGAACGAACTTTTAAAATTCTTTTTGTAAATAAATCTAAAATTTATTACAGTTTATAATAAATAATCGTATGCGCGTTATTAGTATAATTGTGTATCTGTGTGGTACGTTATATTTATTTGTTAAAAGGTAAAGAACCTATACGGCATAGCCTTCGATAGTGAGTTGCTAAGTTTCAAGTTTAATATGACCTAAAAGTCCTTTACGGACTAGTATACGTGATGTTTCACAAAATACTGATACTTTATTTAAAGATAAATCGACCGAGAGTGGCTAGCTTCTAAATTTTTCATAAGTTATATCACGGAGGTATGTAGAGTCGTGATCATGTAATAGATAATAAGATACTCAATAGCATACTATTACGTATAACAATTGTATTATAATACAATTTTCAGTAATGAGTTTGTTAAATAAATTGTAGATTAACTTGATGGAAAATTATCGATTTTCTATCGAAAACAATCGACTAATTTTCATCGTTAAACCGATTTCTTAGTATCAAGCTCGCGATCTATCTATAATTACATAGAAACATTAGTTTGTGTACTTACCGATTTGATTTAAATATAAACAGTTAGTTGACCATTAGAAAAAAAGCAATGTCTTTAACAAGAATTTTAACTTCTTTTTTGTTAGTTTTTTTTTTTTCTTTATATAATAGGCACTATTTTATAATATTTAATGAAATCTTCTTCGTGATTTATCTGTTTGAGGTTGTGTTCTTCTTTTAGCCTTGTACGAACAGTCTAGTTGCCAAGTTACAATAATGCCAAAATAAACTCAGAAGTGCGAAACTTCGGTTGACATAAATTCTTAACTGTGATAAGCACGTTGTGAATGTACAAGAAACTGGTTGTCAATCATAGAGAAATGAGAAATGTTATTCTTCTTTTACAGTAGTTTTATTATGCATTTCGTTTTTTAAGTATTGGAAATTAAAAATGAAAAAAATTTTAATAGTGTTCACATTTGCGCTACGTGATTTAACAATGAATAAATCATGGTACATCCACAATGTGAATATAAGATAACAGTACAGTACCAGTGGGTGCGTGTGCAGATATATAAGTACATTAGTGATAATTATTATTTAAGTGTTATCGATACCTTGAGACTAATCCAGAAGATAAAAACAGGATGTCATTGTTCAACTTCCACAGAAGTTAGAATTTTCCTTAAAAACGATAATTATTGTTTTACATTGTTTGTTTTTACATTTTTTACTATACATTTTTGTATTTAAAATAGATCTGAGGATTTAAATAAATGGAATTATGTGTTAATAATCTTCATAAAATTAATTTCATACCTAGAATAATTAACATCAAATGGTAAAATGTTCTTACATAAGTTAATCTAATTTAATCGTCTTAATTTAACCTTCATCAATTTTTTATAATTATGTCGAAAGACAATCTTTAAATTTATTTCCCTTTCCTTTTTGGACGCACGCATTTTGTCTAATAATTTCTAAATATTCAAAAGTATTTAATAAATATTTATTTGTTTGTTTGTTTCAATAACTCTTGTTAATTTTAATTATTCATGTATTATTTGTATTATTTATAATTATATATAGTACTTTTTTCTTTTAATTTAAAATTTAATTCTCCATTGTAGTTAAATGTTTACTATTACACGACCAATCAAATTTGACTATATTTGAAATATACTACTTATTATTTAAAAAGATATACAAATATAACTTTACGAATAACGATTTAGATATAATGTAACTTACTATTCATATAAATTACTATTAAAAATTAGCAATACTGTATATAATCGGTCTAGATTTTCCTTAGCTTCAAAAGACACTGAATCGGCTATGCATGTCGAGGGCTTAACCGTGACAACATAATATACAGATTCTCAAGGTACAACGTACATATAGTGTATAACATGTGTCAATGACAAACTACAAGTTAATATTTTTCATTGTAGATTGAGTACATTCGCGAGCTTGCGTGCTGCGATACGCTCAAGGTAGAACGATGGTACTGTAAACCATGAAAGTATGTACATATGTATTTAGATATATATATATTCCTAAGTTGACTTCCTTAGTAAAATTCTTTCAAATATTTATTTCAAAATATTAAATATTTATATTAAATATTAACAACGAATTTTTTCTTTATATTACTAATTACTAATAAATTTATAGAATTCTTGGGAAATGAGAGAAAGGAACAAGGATTCCAAGAAAACGATAAAAAGATCAAATTTTTATTAGACAGTGAGAATAAAATATTGTAAAAAAATTAGTATTAATTAGTCATTGCAAAATTTAAATATTGCAAACCAAATAGTTTTGTTTTAATTCCATTTGATCATGTCTTTCCAAGAAATTTAACGCTCTGTGAATATTCAATGTACGTAAAAACGGAATCATACAGTGAATTCGCGATGCTAAATTTATAATAGACTCATCGAACTATTGTATAAAAATAGTTTCATTCATTCATATTATGTCACACTTTCGCTTGTAAGCCAAAGAAGATATCAGCAAAATACAAGGTTTATTTTAAATTACTTTCGCGATAAATTAGCGGCACATATGTTCATAATATCACGTAAAAATATTTATGACTCCATGTATATATGTATATATATATATACACATATAATTTAGATTTCAATAAATTTTGTTTATATGTATCCAATTAATTAATACAAAAAAAAGAATGCAAAGTATTAAATACTGTACAATTAATATTGAGCGAAATATTCGATAATGTTAATAATATGATATTTTTATGTTTTACAGTACATATTATTACATGTTACAGAGCAATGAAAGTATATTAACACACTAATATTAATACTAGTATTAATACAAATTTAAAATAAATATAAAAATATTAATGAAAGTTTCAAGAAAAAAATTTGAAAATAATTTATCAATGTCACAATATAATTTATCATTGATTTTGTAAAAAATTAATAAATATTTTACACAATAATGTTAAATATTTTTATTAATACTTTCCTACTATACGAGATTCAGAACAAAATAACAAGAGCATTGTATATTTCATATATTCTAAATTCACTTACATATGTGTACATATATAAATTCTTAAAATATCCGAAACATATATATGTTCTATTTTAAGGAATTTTTTTTCTCGTTCCTTAAATTTCACTACAACAATATATTTAAGTTTATTAATTTTTTTATTAATCTTTTTCTATGATTAAAATTTATTCGCGTAATTATGACTTATTTAATATGTACTACAATAAAATAATGAATTACGTTTTCACAACAATTTATACGTATTGAGTACATTACACTATTTACGTGAGGTTAGTTGCTTGTTGTATTTTGAAGGTTAGTAAATATGCATTAGTATGTTAATTTAAACTTATTATTTTAATAGTTACGATACAGTATATAAATTGTTATATGTTGATTTATCGAAATCATGAAATTTACTATATTTAATGAAAATGATTCTATTCTCCTAGTAGGAGAAGGTAATTTCTCATTTTCTGTTGCATTGTTTCATCTTAATTTAAGAATTAATATTACTGCAACGTGTTATGAAGCTAGTGTTAATCAAAAGTTTGGAAAGAAAAACATAGAATATCTCAAAAATAATGGTTGGTATTTAAAAAAAAATTCATGTGTTTTTCTCTATATAATTAAGTTAATTAATGTAATTAAATACATAAAAAAATTCTATGCTTTTCTTTCCAGGAGTTCGCGTATTATTAGGTGTTGATGCAACAAATTTGAAAGAGCATTCGATATTAAAAACAGAATTATTTGACAAAATTATTTTTAATTTTCCTCATGTTGGTGGTAAGATGCGAATAGAAAGAAATAGAGAATTGTTGAAACAATTTTTTATAAGTGCATCAGAATTATTAAAAAGCAATGGTCAAGTATTAGTTTCTCTGTGCAATGGTCAAGGTGGTACAGCTATTGACAATCCGCCAAGACGCTGGGATGATTCATGGAAAGTCATAGAAATGGCAGCACATGGAAATTTTGTATTAACAGCTGTTGAGCCATTTGCATGGTCATTTTTTCAAAGTTACATAGTAACTGGATATCGTAGTTTAGACAAACAATTTCATTCTGCAGGAGCTTTAACTCATATATTTATAAAATCTGAACCCCCAAATGCTGAAAACATTGCTCCTAAAAAGAAAATAAACATTCTAGAATGTTATAGTAATAATTTTTCATGGAAAGATATAAATCAAATTACAAATGTATCACATATCTGTGGAATTAATGCAGACACTCGTATACATACATTTGATATAACTTTTAGTGTTAAAGAAAAATTTGATTCAGCTAAATTTTATATATTATTATATAATCACGCAGGGCTTATTATAAATGATGTCAGTTTCTTAGGATTATATGAATCTTTAGGAAAAGTACAAAAAAGAACTTATAGAATAAGTTATAAATCCAACTGTTTACCTTTATATAGAGAAAGAGTTATCAATATACATCAAAACTTGATAGCAAATATTCTAGAAAGTAATTTAAATATTTTGGTTGTAAGATAATATTACTACACACAAATTCGAACATACATAAAAAGTATAAATCAATATAATTCATAATTTAATAAATTGTTATTTATTTATATTTAGAAAAATATAACTATTTTCAGATGCATTGTATTCATCAAATAAGGAATGTAATTGTACATAATACTTTTCGAAAACAAAACATTTTATATGCTGCTACAATAAATATTGAAAAATATAAAAATATAAATAAAAACATATTTAAATCATTTTGTATTTCTAAGAAACTTGTAGAAAAAAAAAATGTTCCCAAACCATTACGTAGAATAAAACTAAGGGCAAAAGAGGATACAGCTAGAAGTATTATTGATTTGAAGCAAGTATGAAATTAAATAATTTTTCTTCAGTTTGTGTTTAATATTTACGGATATTTACTTATATCAATATTTAGGTAAGAGTAATTGGAGGAAACGGTGGAGATGGAGAAATATCATTTTTACAGTTATGGTCAAATGAGAATGCTGGCCCAGATGGTGGAGATGGTGGACATGGTGGTCATGTAATTTTTGAGGTCCGAATTGAATAATTTGTTAAAATAAATCAAAGTTAAATAGTTAAAATTTTATATTTAAAGTATATGTATACAAAATGTTGCAGACGTCATCAAATGTTAATGACCTTTCACATATAAGTTCTGTTATCATGGCTGAAAATGGAGAAAAAGGCTATAATAAAAGCTGTTTTGGAAAAAACGCTGAACATGCTATAATACATGTTCCTGTAGGTACCATAATACGCAGTATGAAAGGAAGCATAATAGCTGACTTAAATCAAGAAGGAATGATGTTTATTGCTGCACGAGGTGGTGCTGGTGGTCATGGAAATGCGTTTTTTAAATCTGATGTGCAACAATCTCCACGTATAAGCGAATATGGTGCAGTTGGAGAAGACTTACAATATGTATTAGAAATAAGTAGTATGGCACATGTAGGATTAGTAAGTAAAAATTATATTAATATACTTATTCATTATTATTATAACAGTATTTCAATATTTAAAAAGCTAACAATAATATTTGTATTATTTAGATTGGACTTCCAAATGTAGGTAAAAGTACATTATTAAGAGCAATATCTAGAGCTAGACCAAAAGTGGCACCATATCCATTTACAACATTGAAACCTTATTTAGGAATGGTATTATATGATGACCATGAACAAGTTGCAGGTTGGTAATCTAATGTAATGTAATTAATTAATCAATATTGCATTTGTTTTTTTTTTAATAATAAATTTGTCAATTTTTAAGTGGCTGATTTACCGGGTCTTATACCTGATTCTCATAAAAATAAAGGTCTTGGCATACAATTTCTTAAACATGCAGAACGTTGCAAGATTTTATTATTTATTATTGATGTTAGTTCTGATGAACCATGGCAAGACTTTGAAATTTTAAAATATGAAATCACAGAATTTAATGTACAATTAAATAAACGATTACATCTTATTGCGGCAAATAAAATAGATTTACCAGGAGCAATGGTCAGATAGTATTTTCTTTAATTAATATTAGTTAAGAAATGAATAATCTTCGTCATAATATAACTAATTATATAATTATAGGAAAAATTGGAAATACTTAAACAAAAAATTAATTTACCAATTATTCCAATTTCTGCTAAAATGGGTACAAATATATCCACTTTATTAAGAGAAATAAGAATACTGTATGACAAGGAAGAAGAAGAAAATGAGCAAGAAAATTCTAATTAGTTGTATATTTATAATAATAAATTGTTGATAAAAAACGTTTGTAAAAATCACTTGTTTCAAAAACAACATTTAATATTTATTAATTAATAGCTTTTTCACATACTTTAAATTTTTTTATCACGCTAGCTACTTGCGATTGATTTAAGATAGTAAAAAACCATCGATTTAAATTTGTATATTGTTTTCTATACGTTGAATCTAATAAATATTCATATAATGGCATTAGAGCAGTGAAAACAGCAATATCTGCAAGACTAACTCTTTCTCCCACTAAATAGGTTTTTGTTAATAGTATGTTATTTAGTTTCTTCAAAGAAGAAAGAACATCTTCTTTAGATGTTTTAATATTTGTTTTTATGTTATTTGGAACATTCTTTGAAAAACATGGCACAATCCATCCAAGTACCGCTGGCAAAATGTGATTATCTGCATAACTTAACCACTGTAAAATTTCACTGAATGCAAAAGGATTACTTGAACATTTTAATTGATTACTCGATAAATAAAATGCAATTGCATTGCTATCAAACAGTTCAAAACCATTTCCTTCTAATTTAATAGATTTGGATGTATCATCATTTTTATATTGTAACGTAATTAATTCTATGTCGCTATATTTAGCGACTATTTGAGTACGATAGTATTTAATACTTCCAATATCGCTGAAAAGTACTAATTTATTTTTTGAATTTTCGGAATATATAGATTTTTCATTATTTTTTAACTGCTCGTGATTTTCACTTATAATATCCTCTGAAAATATATTTCAGGTTCAATTTATTCTATATAACACATTAGCGTCGCTATATAGCAAATTAATTTTTACCTGCTATTCCAAGTTTCGAGTTAGCAAAATTTTTAGCGGTGTATACCAATTTGGTTACACATGATATATTAGTACCCGAGGCCTGAGCAGATTCAGTTTTTCCGCCTCCTTTTCCTTCCATTAATGGAACAATTTCTTGAATCCATTCATTTGCTTTTAATCCTTTATTTACAGCAGACTGTTGTATTTTATAAAACAATAAAAATATTTTTTAAATAACTTATTTTTATTTTAAATAATTTATTTGAATGTATGCATCTGACTTTACCTTAGATACTGCACAAAGTGCAAAAATTTTTTTAGCGTCAGAATCGACACTTATGAGTAATGCACTTGTCTCTGGAGATACAGCTTTTATCTTTTTAAGAGCTGAGTCTAAAGCTTTTGTGTTACTGTACGCTTGTAAAACTTCTACTAATACTAGACGTCCAATATCTTGTTGAATTATTTGTTGAATAGTGTCTACCACTGCATTGGCTATTGTGGTTTTAGCTGCACGTTCTTTATCATCGAGTGTTTTTTTTAAATCTTTTAACATTTTACGCATTTTATCCTACATTTGAATAAACAATTGTATCCTTATTATGATTATAAAATAAACAATGTATTATGTATAAATATATATATATAAAACATACCTTTTTCCAACTTGAAATAACAGCATGTGAAATATCATCCGTTAATTCAATTATTTTTTTTATATGTTCTTTTATATTCACGCCACTTTTATCAGCTACTATAATTGCTTGAAGCTGATCTAAATGACTTTCTAATACAGATGCTTTCTTCTGAGCTTTTATTGCTTCAGGTCCTGTCAAAGCTACTATTCGTCTAATACCTTTAGCAATAGCCTCTTCACTAGTTATAACAAAATCTCCGATATGTTCTGTATAATGTAAATGCCTAAAAAAAAATTGAAAGTAAAAAGTGTTTATAGATTTTATTGCTTCATATAGAAAATATTAAAAATATTTACGTTCCACCACAAAATTCTACACTAGTTTGTAATGCACCAGGACCTAAAGGATCTTTTTCTAAGTCTTCAACTTGTATACCTAAACTAACAATTCTTACAGGATCAGGATATGTTTCTTCAAACATAGCACGTAATCCTTGAATGGTTTTTGCTTGCGCTAAATTACTTTCTTTAGCATAAACTTTTTTATTTTCTTTTATCATATTATTTACAATTTCTTCTACTTTTCTTATTTGTTCTGCAGTCATTGCGCCTATGAAAAAATATTTGGAATATATAAGTTCTAAAAATGTTTTAAAATGTATATTTTAAAAATATAAATTATTATTTTTTCATAAACCTTTATTTGTAAAATCAAAGCGAAGACGGTCAGGTGCAACTAAGGAACCTTTCTGATCAACTTCTGCACCTAACACTTTACGAAGAGCGTAATTGAGAGCATGAGTAGCAGTATGATTGCTCATTATAAATCTCCTTCGTGTAGTATCTATATTTAAAGAAACTTTATCGCCTTTTTTCAATTTTCCTTGACCTACAGTTCCAATGTGTAAAACATAACCACCTCTAACTTGAACATTTTTAATGCGAACTTCGGTATCCTTGAAAAATATGATAATTATCTTTACTAATTATGCTTAAATATGTATATAAATTTAAGTACGTTATTTGTTTACTTCGTCATTGATTTTCACTAAAAATCCTTCATCATATATTTGTCCACCTTGCTCTGCATAGAAATTCGTTTGATCTAACAAAATTCCAACTTCTTCTCCTGATGATATTTCATCAACAAAAGTCTTTGCACATCTAAGAGCAATAACAGTGCCAGAACATGAAACAAACTCATATTCTTCATATAAATTATTATTTGTAACATTGTAATTATATTTTGGTAAATCATTTGTTGGTTTAATTCCTTTATTTTGCAAGTCAGTGATCGCATGAACATCCAAATTAATTTGATCATCTACTCCACCACTTTTACTTTGAGAAATAAGCTAAGATAAATTAAATAACATTGTAATTATTTTATGAATATATATCATTGGTGCAAAGTATTTGAAATATCTACTACCTGAGCTTGTTTTTTTGCTTCTTCGTAACCGATTATATCTACTTTTAATCCCTTCTCTTCAGCCATAAGTTGTGTTAAATCAACTGGAAAACCGTACGTATCGTATAGACGCCATGCAACATCACCTGGGAGAACATTTGATGATTCTAATTTTGTTATAGTACGATTTAATAAATTACGACCACGTGATAACGTTTTAAGAAACTGAGTTTCTTCTTCATTAATAATATCAATTATGTACTGTGGATCTTTTGTTACTTCTGGGAAGATGTCACCTACGTTTGCATAGAAAAGTATTTTTTTAATATAAAATATCATGAACAAACCTAAATATATTGGTAAATATCAAAATGAAGATATTTACCAAGAAGATCTACCACAACATTCACCAATGATCCAAAAAATCCAGGTTTAGCATTCAATTTTTCAGTTGCATAACGTACAGCACGCCTTAAAATTCTTCTCAATACGTATCTGAAATTTTATTAATAATAAAATATGATCAAAATATGTAAATTAAAAAACTACCAATAAAATCAAACACACCCTCTACCAGTATTATCAGGTACACCTCCATCTGCAAGAGCAATTGTAATAGTTCTTGCATGATCTGCCAAAACTCTATAAGCCATATCTATTCCATCTTTGTCTTCCATGCCTATTCTGCCTTGGTAAGGAGGTGCTCCTGTACCTTTTTGTATTGCATCAAAAAGTGGTACAAATAAATCTGTATCGTAATTTGCTTTTTTATTCTGTATCACTGACACTAATCTTTCCAAACCTAAGCCACAATCAACATGTTTTTTTGGTAGCAGTTTCAAACTTCCATCAGTTTCCCTAAAATAATGTGCAAAATCAGAAAATATATTTTAATTGTTATAAATTACTTACCTATTAAATTGTATAAATACGAGATTCCAAATTTCCAAAACATCTGGATCATCTTGATTTACTAAATGAGCTGCTTCTCTGTTGCCAATACGATCATAATGGATTTCACTACAAGGTCCACATGGACCTGTTTCTCCCATTTCCCAAAAATTGTCTTTCATATTTCCTGGTAATACATGACTAGGAGCTACACTAAGGACATAAAATAATTGTTTCTAATATCCTTTTATAGAGATTATATTAGCAATTGATGACAATAAAAATTAAATATAACAAAACAACAGATATTTAATTACCCTAAAGAAAGCCAGATTTCTTTACATTCCTCATCAGGTTTTAAATTATTCTTTTCATCTCCTCCAAAATAAGTTACATATAATCGGTCTGCTGGTAACTTTAACTTAACAGTTAAAAATTCCCAGGCCCAAGTACAAATTTCTTTCTAAAAAAATCAGTCGTAAATACAAAAATTTAATATAATAATTTTGCAATAGTTCATGCATTATATAATTAATATATTACTTTAAAATAATCCCCAAAAGACCAGTTACCCATCATTTCAAAAAATGTATGATGATAAACATCTTTCCCAACATCATCTAAATCATTGTGCTTTCCTCCAGCTCTAATACATTTTTGACTGTTAACAGCTCTCATTAATTTTCCTAGATCGCTATTAGGATCCACTATTCCCAAAAATATTGGTTTAAACTAAAACATATCAGAATAATGAATGAAATATGCATTTTAATAATCAAAAGTAATAATAATAATGTTATTAAATATACCTGGTTCATTCCAGCATTTGTAAATAATAATGTAGGATCATCATGTGGTATCGTAGAACTGGAATGCACATACTCATGATTTTTACTTTTAAAAAAATCAATATAAGCTTGCCGAATTTGTTTAGCAGACATCATTGTAGTCATATTAAGCTATTCTTTTCTTCTTCTTCTCCTTTATCTATAATAAAATATTCATGGAATAATTTGAACATATGGAAACAAATTGTATGTGTTTATTTAAACAAAGCAAAATATTTAGATGAAATAAATGAATTAAAAAATTGTATATTTTCAGTTTAAAATTTTTACCAAATTTTTTCGCAATATTATAAAATAATGAAATATAAAGAGAAAGCACAATGCGCAACTTACTCAAATGCGAAAGTTTATATTAGAATAGCTGGCCTTTACAACTGGTGAGTATTTCAAAAGAGAAAGGAAAAAGTTATTTGGAGCAATTTACACCGTACTAGATTGTACCGTAACTTCAGATCTTTGACTGTATTAACGGTTCAAGAATTCACATCAACGAATGATAAGACACAAATAGAATACATAACCAAAAAATCTTTTGAAAAATTCGATCACCATACATTTACATGTTATTTAAAAATGAAGTTTTGAAATATTAATGTAATAGAAGGGTAGATATTATCAACTTCCATAAAGGGAAAATAAATACAAATAAAAAAAATTTTTTATTAAAGATATTTATTATCTGTTTGTTCTAACTATTTCATAATGGAACTTCTAATGTGTATAAAAATGATCTAACACTATATTATTTTTAGGTCATTTAACATATACATTTACATATATAAGAAAGCAGTGAAAGATTGATTTATCGTTCTACACATCTTTTTTAATTAAAGAAAACAATCAAAATGCCGTTTATGATTGGTAGAGCACCTATACGGAGGACATTAAACTATTTAAACGCTGGTAAATTAATTTTAAAAGATGAAATTCAAATATTTTCAGTAAATTATAATATACATGGAGATCATCACAAAGGTGCTATGTAAGTCTTACATTATTTTCATGTAATATGCACTAATTTTGTTGAAAGCGATTGATAAATTAATCTGATTTATATTAAGGGAGTTTGTATTTTGGCATTTATCACAAATTAAATATAAAAATCCAAATGTGCAAGTTGTCACCTTTAAAAATATGACACCAACACCTTTTATAAAATGTTATTATGGTATGTAGTAAGAACTTTTACAATTTCTTATATATAATTTTAAATGAATATTTTATTCTAACAAAAATTTGTAGTGTAATGAACATTTCTTTTTATTTTTCATGTCTTTAAAATATCAAATTAAGGAAATTATCTTTCTTTCAATTTTATACAGAAAATGGAAACACTATGTTAATTGATATAGACAGCAAATCTAAAGAAGAAATATTAAGCCATCTTCAAAAAGTAATTGGTAAATCACTGGAAGTACAGCAAAAGGAAAGGGAAGCTAAAGAAAAGAAAGATAATCCAGCTAACTTTGGTGTTGGTTGTCCAAGAAGCTGTATGTGTGTAATACCTGGTCAAGTACCATGTCCTGGTATAGTACCTCTGCCATATCACATGCGTGGAAAATGTAGGAAGCAAAGAAAATATTAAAGGAAAAATAATTTTGTTTTAATGATTAAAATAAAATTTACAACAGAAAAAAACATTTAGCATTATGTTTATTGAAGTTTTGCCATTAATAGGTCTTTATTTTTAGTTATTTAATTTTAAATAAAAATATGATCATATTTTGCATCACAATAAAATATGTATTTAAAGTATATATTTGTTTATTATAAAAAGATATTATAGATTATGAAAATACGTGTACATTAATGTACATATTAAGCATTACATTATTAGTGAATTAAGATACTTTTGTATCTAATGTGCAATTGCACCACTGTAGGAATCATGTTCATAGTAGAAAAAGAGATTAAAAAAGACTAACTAAAAAATATAAGGCTTTATAATAAAAAAAAAAATTGACTTAATACAAACACATTGCTTAAAGACAAAATATAAATAATATAAATATGCTAATAATGATCATGGAACAAATGTCAATTAATAAAAATGGATTGATTAGTTTTAATTGTAACACTAAATTAAAAAAAAAAGAAAACAATTGAAATTATCTTCTTGGTTTATGACGGTTGTATGGCTTATTATTGTGATAATGACCGCTTCGATTGTGATAACGAGTTGATGTGGACGGTTTTGGATTTTCTGGCTTTTGATACAAATGTATTACAGGTGAGCCATTTAAAGGTTTATTTAATTCAAACTCTTCTTCTGATTCTTTCATCAATTTCAGTTTTGCTTCTATGGCTTGAATTGCCGTCTCGCGACTAAAAAAAAGCATAATAACATTTAATAATAGTCATCAAAATATATTTTATCTCGTATATTTAAAAATTGAAATTTACCTAATTCTTTTATCTTCCTTTTTAGCTCCAGCTAAAGCAGGTATATCTATTTTTGGTTTTGGCTTATCCATGTCAGACTTAAATGAAATAAATATGTTGTTAATATTATAATATTCATTTTATATTGCAATATTATATGTTGATACAAAAAATAGCAGTGTAATAAATTTTAATAATATTGTCATTTTAATAATTACCTCTGTTACGCTGTGAGCCCATCGTACAATAATGTTTTTTGCTCCTACTTTTAAATTGTGTAAAGCATCTTTGGCTGTCTTCGCATCTTGAATAGTTTTGTAGGTAACAAATGCATAACCTCTAGGTTGACCAGCTTGTGGGCCTGACCGATGAAACAAGAGGTCGAACTTTTCGATTGTTCCATGTTTTTGGACGAGTTTTAGGAGTTTGTACCAGTTAACAGATAAAGAGTTAGTTTTTTCAGATTTTTTCATTGTACAAAAATATTACCTCATTTTTAAATAATGAAACTATCACATTAGAAACGATTCAACTAATCTGAGTAAATACTTACTCATTAATCCTTAAATCTAAATTGCCCACCCACAATCTTCTATCTTCCACCTGATTTGATTTTATGGGTTCTAATGGCAAAGGAACTTTGGTAACTGGCTGAAAAATAAATTGAAAGCATGTAATCACGCAAAATTATTGATATGCACGTACTTGAACTCATTTAATTGGACTCGAGTGTAATCCTATAACCTATTTACAATTGAGAAATCAAATCTTACCTCCATACTCATAGAGTTTAAAAAGATATGAAATTAATCGAAGGAATCGTCGGTGTTGATTTCGAAATGTATCTTTCTATAAAATTGGGCATTAGACCTCAGGTATTTATACGAAACCGTACAAACGCATCGACACATATACACTCACTTTACGGCAGTTTAGCAAAATTGTTCGTCTCTACGGACAATACTTATAATGTTATTTAATGTTACCGATATTTACGTTTAAAGCAATTCAACTATATCGTATAAATATACATCGATACATACGATGCAAACGTTTTACTAGTTTTTACTTTGCCATAGTAGATTGTTTTATTGTCGAATTTAATGTATGAGATTATTTGACATATATTTTGAGCTATAATTATGAATGAATAAATATGAATAAAAGTATAGCGTAAAAATATATATGTGCAGAAACAATGCTGTATGAATTTTTTTTTTTAATATATGGACTGAAAAGTATTTTGTTTAGTTTTGTGATATATCAAAAATTGTAAACAGTTCTTCAGTTTCAAACATGGCGTCATTTTTCTCAGATAATGATGAAAGTACGAAGTAACCGCAATTTCAAGTCACGTTAAATCGTATTTTTTTGCGTAATTTCGTAAATAATACATCCCAAATGGAGAGATCACTAACGTCCGAGCAAACAGTTACTCAAATGCAAACAGAGACTGTCGTAGAAACAGATGTCACAGATTCTGCATCTCAGGTAAGCTTAGTGTTATCACAACTACTACGTCATTATTTTTACTCAATGTCAATGAAATTCACCGTCGTAATGTCCCAATTTCTTTTCACGAAACGATAATTTTTACATTCCCGCGATATTGAAGATATGGGATGTGTGTTCAGTGTAAAAGTGTTACATGGATAATAATTTCTCTTCAGTTCAAATCAATTTAGTGAAATTGCATATATATATATATATATATATATATGTATATTTGTAATAGTGAATAATAAAATTTTTTTGCAAAGTTAAATTATAAGTATGTCTGCTTTCGTATCAAAATGGATAAGAGTAAAGCATTTGGTAAAAATATGTACTATTAAGAATCAAAGATATACATGCACGAATAGTACAGAAGATAAATCACCTTTATCTGGAATTCGTGTTTTGGATTTGACTCGAATTATTGCTGGTCCCTACTGTACCATGATTCTCGGTGATCTTGGTGCTGAGATCCTAAAAATTGAGAAACCAGTTAATGGGGATGAGGCACGAAAATGGGGTCCACCATTTATAGAAGGAACTAAAGAAGCAACTTATTTTCTTTGCGTTAATAGAAACAAAAAAAGTGTATGTATTGATCTCAAGAAAGGTAAAGATATAATTTACGAATTAGCACAGAAATCTGATGTATTGGTAGAAAACTATGTCCCTGGGAAATTAAAAGAGATGGGCTTAGGATATGAAGATATCTCTAAAGTAGCCCCTCGTCTTATATATTGTTCTTTGACTGGTTACGGATATGAAGGACCTTACGCTAATAGGCCTGGATATGATGTGATTGCTGCTTCTATAGGGGGTTTGTTACATATAACAGGTTCAAAAGATGGACCACCTTGTAAAGTCGGGGTAGCAGTAACTGATTTAACAACAGGCTTATATGCTCATGGTGCTATTTTAGCAGCATTGTATCAGAGAATGACAACCAATAAAGGACAGTGGATTCAGTGTAATTTATTATCAACACAGGTTGCTAGTTTAATCAACATTGGCTCAAATTACTTAAATGGTGGTAAAGAAGCAGTACGCTGGGGTTCAGAACACGAGAGTATTGTACCTTATGAAGCTTTTTATACTAAAGATGGTTACATGACTGTAGGAACTGGCAGTGATGGACAATTCTTAGATCTACTTGAAAGAATGCAATTGTCTGAATTATCCGAGATAGATAAATATAAAAATAATAAGGCTAGAGTAGAAAATAGAAATGAATTATTATCAGTTCTTAGAGAAAAGTTTAAAACAAAAACTAATAAAGAATGGGAAATTATTTTTGAAGGTGCTTCATTCCCTTATGGCCCAATAAATACAATAAAACAGGTACAAAATCATAAATGTTGTGCTAAAATAACTTGAAAATAGTCTTTATACAAAAGAATTTTATAGGTTTTTGAAGATCCTCATATAAAATATATAAAATTGGTACAAGAAATGGAACACCCTACAGGGAAGAAAGTAAAGATTGTTGGTCCTGCTGTAACATATAGTTATGCTACAAATAAAGTTCGAATTGCCCCTCCTATGTTGGGCCAACATACTACTGAAATATTAAAAAATGTTTTAAATTATACTGATGATAAAATACAAATCTTAAAGGAAAACAAGATTGTGCTATGAGGAAATATTTGTCACTTAAGAAAGATATAAAATATTTTTAGATTTATATTTATTTAGATATATAATGATTAAGTTTAGAAATGTCATTTTTATAATATAATTTTATTATACAATTTTAATACAATTACTTATTGTTTAATATAAATTGTATATAGGCTAAAATAAATAAATTCCGAAATATAATTGTACATAAATTTTTATTAAGATTACACTTCTTATTAATATAGTATATATAAATGTAAAAAATAAAAGATATTATTTCTGTTTTAGGATGTACCAACAGTACGATTGTGTCTTAGAAAGCCAAGATCAAGTAAGAAGGTTCAATGGACTCAAGGCACTGTAGATAATGAACATATGAATAAAAAAAAATCTAAATGTAAATTTTGAAGAGAATATGTTTTTTCTTATCTATGATATAATTACATTCATATATAAAATTTAATCTGTATAATAATCATAGGTTGTTGTATCTATGAAAAACCAAGAAATTTTGGTGAAAGTAGTTCTGAAGATAGTGATGATGAATGTGAACATTGTCATGGACATAAAGACGCTCATAAGAAAATTTTGCCACATAATGCAGAAACATCTCAAGAATCTTCTACTCCGGGTAATTTTATTAAAAAAAATTAATTCCTAAAGATAATGTATATAAATAATATTTATAAATTTTTATTTTCTTTTTTGCAGAACCAATAGCAAATGCATCTATATAAATATGCTGATGATATAAATAATTTCTTTAAATGGAAAGACGTACTTCTTGAGTTAATGTTACATAGAAAGAAAATATGAAAATTAGGTACATCGCTTTAAATACAGTTTTATATATTAGATATAATAATATATTAATATTTAATTCTGTATTTTGTAGGAAATTCGAAATATCAAAGAAAAATCAGTTTTAAATACAATTGTATTACTATTGTTCATACTACTCGTTGACATTTTTGAATAAATATTGTAAGTTACACTTGCAATAGACAAGCATTGGTAAGGCATATCATCATTAAAAGGAAAGAAAAAGAAAATATTGACTTTTATTAACATTGTAGTTAATGACTGTTACACAATTTAATATTTATATAGTATATGATTGAAAATGAATTTATCAATGATAAGCTAATGGTCATCAAGTAACTCAAGAGAAAGATATATCCTTTTTTTTGTTAAACAAATTAAAATTAATCATGATTCCTGTATCACATAGTATAGAACTTGTTGCTTCTTGACGGTGATAAAGTTATTTAGAAACAAATTGCAAAAATATTATTGTAAGTATTGTAAAAGTTTATTAGATTTAAAATTCTTAACGAAATAATTATAAACGTGTAATATAAATTCCAATGATTCTTGAACAGTTTTTGATTATATGTATATTGTATATCTATTACACATCTCTCTTGTTTTAATATAGTAATTGGGCAGATATACATATATGTTATGTTGGATAGATATATAAATTTGTAACAGGAAAGTATACTTTTTCAAATTATTTTTTTTTTATTATAATATTTGTCTATATGTATTCTTTTTGTAATTGTAATATTTTCATTTTAAATAATTTTAATATAAATAACAATGAATGTCAAAATGTTGATTTTATTTTAATTTAAAGTTAATTTTCTCACACAGAATATATTAATTATAAATAGTTGTTTGTACAGTTCTGATGATACACTGTTTGTATATATGTATATAAAAAAAATTAAAGATTTTCTGTTTATTTTTTTTTTTTATAAATGAAACTATGAAATTATTGCAACATTTTAATTTTTTTTGTTATTTTTCAAAGCAGTTTCAATAATTGCATATTAAATACGTGTGTACCATCAAAACTTATTCTAAATTAATTTAAAAATATCAGTCAGAAAATTACTTAAACACGAAATATTGTCAATTAAAATATGTCATGATAGTTCGTGAAAGAATCTCTGCTCTTATACTTCGTAAATGTTTTAAAACATACAACCTATCTCTGAAGATAATTTATCATTAAGTACATACAGAGTAAAACGAAGAACAATAAAATGAAACGAACAGAATACTTCTGTGAAAAATAACAACTTTGAACTTCTTTATAAAACACATTATAAATATTCCAATTTCAATAAACATCATTGTACAAGAGAAAAAATCTTTTCAGTCATTAAAAATATCTTATAAATAAAATATGTGCAATATTGTATAGTTTAATTATTAAAACAATATGTAAATATTTATAGATATATATAACCATATTTTATCCTAATTTTATTGAAAATAGAATTTGTAAATTCATATAGAGATATTAATATATTACAAATTTAAATAGAAGATACCAATAATGTAATTTAGTATATCCTCTAAAATTTTAAACAAAAATTTAAATTAATTTAATAGTCATTAGTCAATCAACATTACAACTGCTTTTTTGAAATTTTCGCCTATTACGTACTTCCATACCTCTAGGGAAAGAATCCTCGTCTAAACCCAGTGAACGAACTACAGCTCGACTACGCCAAACTTTAACAGTATAGTCATCGCTAGTTGTAACTAACATTTCAGGATCACGTGGATTGAAAGCAACAGAATTAACAACATCAGAATGTGGAAATTTGGCTAGACACACTCCATAATGCCTATCCCAGAGATAGCCATGTTTATCTTCAGCACCGCTAATAATCATAATTTTAATATTAAAATGCAGATTAAATTTAGAAGGAATGAACATTTAAGTAAAATATGTTAATTAAATTCACCTTGCCACATATTCATCACATACATCAAGAAAAATAAAAAAACATTCATTATTTGGCGTATATGCCTTATGAGCTCTTAACATGGTACCAACTTGTTTTAATGTTACTAAATCAATTACGTGTATATCAATTTCTTGAGCTATTGGAGGAGGTTGCAATGGATTTGTAATAACATAACCTCGTGGCCATGGTCTTGTGTTTACATATAAATATCTAATAACAAACATACATAATATGTTACTTACAATGAAAAGTAAAAATTTATACTGTAAATAACTAACCTATGATCTGGCGAAAGTCCCATTCCTATAATGTGCCCATGCAAATCAATTAAGTGATCTACTTTGTCAAATTGATCAGCTACAGATTCATAATCCAACCAATTGGTAAAAAATGCATAAGAATTCTGTCTCTCTCTTTCTCTTTCTCTTTGTGCTATTCTTTCGCGTAATGACGGTCCTGGATCCAATCGTGTAGGAAACTTGAAATTTTTTATTCTCTTGAAACCCACTTGATGCGGTGTGTAAGTTTTTGATCCAGTTGTAAAAATAAGATATTTTTCACAGTTGTTTGATAACTCGTCGTTATCACCTTCTTCTGTATTCGACGATTCTATATGCAAAACATTATTATGTTTATGTAAGAAAAATATTATTATAATTAATATACAATAAGTGTTACTTACCTCCAGATTCATTTTCTTCATCCCACTGAAAATTATCGCTTTCTTTATCATTTTCTTGCGTTTTTTTTTCCATTTCTACTTGTCTATATTCCTGATTATATTGTATAGGATTAGCATATTCAAAACCATCACCAAGTTTCTTCCAGTTCATAAATCCACCCTCTAATGTACTATATCTATTTATACATTTCAATACATTAAATTGAGAAAGATGAAAATAGAAAATGTATCTTATTGAATTAACTTACTGTAATCTAGATGATGCATGACGAAGAACAACTGGTTCTTCTTGTACAGTATCATTAGAAGATGTAGATGAAATATCTTTATGGCTTGGTGGATTTCCTCTTTCATCTTTAACACTGGAAGATGAAGGCTGATTTTGTTGTTCTTCAGATTCAGTTTGTTCAGATGTTAAACAATTAGCTACCATTATCGCTCGAACTGAAGAAGCATTACCATTATAAAATCTAAAATATATTTGTATATTTTCATGGTTAAAAAGTTATTTTCATGGTATAAAATGCTATTCGTCATATGTGGTACCTAAACAGTTGTGTCATAATAGGCACATGTTCACTAGATGACTCTTGATTTGCCTTATTAAGCCACAAGAGACTAGTACTAACTAAATGTGCCAACCAGCATAAATTTCCACTTAAAAGGTAATGTTCACTGTACCATGTTCCAAATATGTCATAAGGTTTATTTATTACTCTACACTGAAGATCAAAACCAGCTGTAACAAAAGATTAAATTAAATAATTAATAGTAATACATTTGGTTTATTATTCGTGTTAAAATATAACTAATTTATTAATATTCTTACGTGCTAATCTAAATACTGCAATTTCACCCGAAGTGCTAAGAGGTGTACCAAAGTGTACACCAGAAACAAGTAGCAAGGTATCAGAAGAATTGAATTGTGAAAACTGTGTGTATTTCCAACTAAATGTTTTCATGTCATGAAGGTACTTTATACGTACAGGGTATTCACTTTCCCAAACCTAGAAGTAAAATCACAGATTTTACGTGTTAATCAAATATAAAACGCAAATAAAAATTAGATAATTACAAAACGCAAATAACTCACAAAGATGTATCCATCTTTTGAACAAGTGGCAAACATTTTCCCATTGTGCGCGAAGCTAACATGTAATACTTGGTGAGAGTGTGCTTTAAGTACCTCTGTTTGTAAGAGCGGAGTATGATACGTTAAACGTTTAAATTCTCCTAACCACGATGTTTTTCCTGCAAAATACAATTGTAATGTCAAATTGAAAGCAAAAAATAAATGTAACTAACATGTCAGTGTTAACAGCGGAATACGTGTTAGCTTGTTTGTACTGTCATTTCGTACAAAATCGCAATGTTGAATATTTATAAATATACAAAAAGTTAACCTGGCATAATGCCGATATCTGGGTCTATTTTATATGTCTGATAGAATAGATCTTTCCAAAGAAATTCATCTCGCGATACCCTGTGCCATGATTTGCATATTTCTCCAGCAATTGTCAACTCCTTCGGCGTTAAATATTGGAAAATATTTAAAAGTATGGAATCCGGCATATAATACCAATTTTCATTTTCCTCGAGGCTTTCGGGCGAACTCTGACTCTGGTTAATATCCTCCTCCGATTTAACCGCATCTTCGTTCGTATTTTCTTCATTTTCGATGACACTCTCAATAATGTCCATATCGAAACACCGTTCTTTATTTACTAGAACAGCTGATATCTATCAGTAACACTGTTGTAATGTAAACGGTTCCGAGAACGTACGAGTTTGACCGAAATCAAAAAACGATCATAGTGGAATATTTCTTTAACAACGTAGATATTTTAAAAAAAGAGTTTTGAATATGTGTATAGCGGCACATGAGAGTATTCAAATACTTATAGGGTTGTAAAGTATGAAACTTTTATAAATATTTTGTCTTTACGGAATTTAGATCTTACTTGAAAGTATTGATAGGTTTCATTTGATACGCACCTTGTTTAAATACAAAAAGTTACGATGTACAGTCACGAAAATATGAAAATTTGGAAACCTATCGAAACTTTCAAGATTTTTAAAATTTCTAAATGTTTGAGAATAAAATTACGTAAAATCGGAATTTAAATGTGAGAAATTGCGAGTTGAAAAGACTTTCTAGAATAAAAATTCAGAGAATTTCGGATGAAAATTGGTATTAGTTCTAAAAATGTTTGTAAAATGTACATTTCCTTAATAAAAATTAGCTCATTTACTCGTTCCGCCTAAAAATAGTAAATTGTCTCGGTAAAATATGATTTACCAATATAATATAATTTTATCCAATTTTTTCTACGCAAATACTGTACCGTGCATCCGTTTACAAATAATAAACGCACTACAAACCGACGTAATTTAAAATTATTGCGGTCATATATAAAATTAAATTCTTTGACAGCATGTAATATATTCTAAATTTGGTAGTGGACAATACAGTTCATATCGTTTGAAGTAGGATATCTCATGCTCTTTTCTTTTTTAAAACTGTTCTCCGAAGAATCATCGTAATATATAAACCCGCGCGCGTGCGCATAATCTTTTTCCACAACGAAATACATACATATGTGTTGTACGTATTTACAAAAATGTTTAAAATATCGATATCTTTATTAAGAATCTTTTGAAAGTAAACAATTGGAAATAGGTAAAATAATAAGGAAATAATTTACAATAGGTAGATAATAAAAATAATAAATATTGATTAATATAAATATCGATTTTATTCCTCTACAGCGAAGAATTAATTAATGGAGGAAACACAAATACTTTACAACTTTTCACGATCAGATTAAATTAATTATAAATAGTTGATTTTTTGCATTAATAAATATACACTGGTGTATGAATGTCAGTGATCCTGAACATCAAATTACACGTTGACATTTTATCAAAAATATTTTATTAAAAAAAAATTATAAATATAATCTCTCATGTATTCTTTTCACGTTTTAAAATTTTATGTTAATCTTCATATTTTAAAATTTCATTTGCATTTTTAGTATCTTTTTTTAACATCTAATTTACACAATTTTTTACATCATAAATATAATTATGTGTTATTTCTATTGTTAACACGTTGACACGCGAAACTTTCGCTGTAGGATAAAATATTTAATTCCTATAAGATACTGTATTACAATAAAAAACAACAAAAACGTATTTTCGTTTTATAATATTATTTATGTTATTCAAAATTCACTGTCAATGATATTCCTCTTATTTTAATTATTCTAAAATATTCATAAAAATAGAAATGACGAATACTAGCGACCATTGTAGCAGTCAATGTGTTAATATAATATAAATGAATTTATAAGCAAAATTTCATTATGAAAGGCATATGAAAAAACATTTTGGTAATTAATATAAAACAGTTTATCACTTACACCGAATTCACAAACATACATCCTTGCTGTACATCTCACGTAATACGCATACACATTCACATCTATATAAATGAATATAAAGAAAGTATACTGTTCATTTTTATTATGTTAAGAATTACTTGCTTGAGATATTAATTGGCTTTCCATTTGCATATAAAATTGTTCTCCAAACCATTCTCTGTGCATTTCTAAATAACTACAACATTAAAGATATAATTTTATTAGTCGCGTGAAAAAAATATTTAAAAAATAAATAAATAAATATTATACCTGAGGAACATATCTAAGTATTTTAGAAGAACCTTCAATTTTTTATGTGGTATATCTGTTAATTGCAACAAGTCTGGTAATTTAACTACAAAAAATGATATTATTTTATTTAGAAATATTTGTTAAAAACATTTCTACTAAATGTTATAAATAAAAATATTTTTCATACCAAACAGTCGCGTTAAGTGAATGGCACCATAATACGTGGAAGGATTTGGAAGACTCTCAGGCTTCACAGAGTCAGGTACTAATCTCCATTTGTTCGATTGTTGTAGTAAAGCATTGACTTGCGCAGATGTAACAACTGGGACTCGTAGCGTTATACCGCGTGGGCTAGAACAACGAGAACTTGTACTTGCAATACTAAAAAAAAGAAAAAAAAAAAAAAAGAAAAAAAAAAGAAAAATTTTGCAATCATACAAATGATACAAAAATAATTTGTTTTTGTAAAAATCTAACTCACCTCGATAAATTTCCTGTATCTTGTTTTATTTCTTCATACGATCTCAATTGTCTATTTTCATCGATAGAACTCACTCTGTTTGATCTTAATCTTCGCTTAGAGTTTGCAACTGCTTTCGACATATCTATTTCTTGGTCATGTTCTTGAAACGGTGGTAAATGAGCATACTCGGTATCTTCGTATTCTTCTTTAACTAAAATCTCCGAGTGCCTGAAATTATATTAACCGCTTATATTAACCATAAGAAGTTTTTGTTATTCTAAAATTAGTCAAAATACCTGAAACGATGAGACATTCAATTACAAGATATTTAGTTTTCAATATGTTAAAATATCAAAACTTACTCAATTGGTTCTTCTTTCACAAGAGTTGGATGTTCAGTGTACAAGAAAGAAGACTTTAAATTACAATATTGTTCTTGTTCTTGCCTATACAAAAGGAGATCGTGTAATGTAAAATCGAAATATATACGCAATCCATCGGCAACTTCTCTGCATATATTTATTTCGTTAATTGTCTTTTCTATCGTATTATTCGCTTTGTTCCTTTGTGGCTTTTCTGGAATGTTTGTTAATTGCGTTGTCGTAAAGTGTTGAACCCACGATTCTAAAATATTTGCAACAGTAGGTTGTGCAGGGAGAACAGCTAGCTAAAATTCATGTTAGCTGTTGTTACTTTCAAATTTTAGATTACACTTTCTCGATCATAATTTTATATTGTAATTTTCAAATATGAGGCCAATACCTTATTTTTATTAGTTATCAAATCATGATCTTGATCCAGAATTCTTCTTAAAGTAGTACCTATGTCAAGATCAATTCCTGGCTTTACACTAGCGCCAGATTGACTTCCTCCACCACTATCTTCATCATCGCTTGTTTCACCAACATAATCTGAACTGCTTTCTGTATCTTCTTCAGTGATAACTTCCTTTAATAACAATTCTGATCAGTTATAAATTATATAACTTGCAATATACTTATTATATATTTTTGGATATTATTATGCAATACTTCAGTATCATAATCAGCATGTTGTCCTGAACTGCCATCTTCTGATGATCCAGTTGTTGCAGATGTTGCTCTGCTCCCACCACTTCTTGCTCTTCTCCTCGGTTCTTGACTTTCAGCTTCATTTAAACGTTCAGGTAATTTATGACTTCTCTTTTTACGTTCTCTTCGATATAAATACGCTCCTCTGTTTGCCATTTTATTTATATATATATAATTAATAAAACAAATTTTTCACATTAAGTTGTACCTTACGTTTGAATATTTCCATAAAATTTAAATAAATATTTTTCATACGTACAATTGTAGCTGTGCTTTCTGTGCTAGGTCTCTTTGAAGTTGACGATTTTCTTCTGTATCCTTTAATACATATTCCTCCGTTACACAACGATCCCAAGAAGAATTCCATCCCTATTATTTTATGCATATTTTGTTTTAAATAGTAATATAAAAATTAAATGACATTTAACAGAGTTTGTTATTATTTACCTGAAAATGTATTAGGTATTCAACAGCTTTACGTCCTCTTTGATCTTTGTTAACAATGACGTCAAGTACCTGAATAATGCGAATTATGCGAATTAGTAACAAAATGAATAAGAGCTTTTTTGTTTAATGTTTTCATGATATACCTTAGAGTCATATAATACTTTCGCTTTCGTAGGATCAGGTTCGTAACAAAGAACTTTTTCACCATCACAGAATTTAAATTTTGGTCCTCGAGTAGAAACCATACCTCCGTACTGAGTATTAAAATAAAATTATAAAATTTTTTCGTAAATAATTAAATAACAACACAGTGAAACTTGTATTGTTTAGACCAATATAACCTCAAATTCGTTACATTTGAATGCAAAATAATTAACAACTTTAGAAATAATTTCTATATTAAGTTTCACAAGACTTTTTATTGAAATTTATTGGCAGTTATTGAATATATTCGATTTTCATATAATATATTGTAAATATTACGTAAATATAGCAGAAACTTAAGTCTCCCGGTATTAAAATCGTTTACAGAATTACATCGTATTAGTTTATATACAACTAACCTTACTTAAATTCAAACCTAAACACAAAGCGGCATTCGAAATAATCTTTGATCTGTGGCGTACCGCTAACAAGAAAGTGACGAATACATATACAAATGTTTTATGCACTTATGTTGCATGGAAACTCTCCATAAGCATCGATATCACATTCTTTTACTTTATCTTCCATTAATAAGCAATTGAGATGTCTTTTTCATTAAATTTACGTTAATAAATATAAAATTATACAATCTAAAATTCGATATAACAAATTCATATTATATTCGATGATACAAGTTAGTATATCTGTGTTACTTTACTTACACACCTATACGAATAAGAAAATGATGGAAATTATTAATCAAACTTTTAAGCGTTTTAAAAAGCTTTAAGAGAATTATTTGTCAAATTCTGTGTTGCCGACACACATATATTATTTATAACAGATAAAATAAATATCTACCTAATAATTTACCGATTGAGTTAACACTTAAGGAGATTTTATAAATTTTTCTACCAGAGGGATCTTTACGTGAACAATAAAGTGGGGCAGAATCGTACGGATCGTACATACCAAGTTTCATAGATCCATTTGTAATAGTGTGGTTTGTTTCGAAACGTGTCCGGTGTTATTTCTTCTGTTATTTATACATGCATTCGGGTGTGGTGAAAAGGAGATCAACATTTTTATACCGGACTGTTTCAACGACAGGAAAGTTCCAGACTGTGTATACTAAATACAGAAGACTTGAAAATTATTGAATATACAGATTCAGTCTGTCAAATCAGGTATATTACACATCATGTATGTATGTACATAGAAACAATGTCTTGGCGTTCGTCGTACGACCTCATGTACGCACGAAATGTGAAAGCGAAGTAACAAAACAGCATAACGTAACAGTATTTTAATAACACTGCAAAAATGCTACGTAACTCTTCTTTCCCGCTATTTTGTGTTAACGTACAGAGCGGCGAGAACTACTTGCTAGACTAGGGATTATTTTCGTCGTTTGTCAATGAAAAACACACGAAAGTAACAAAGATTTTCGTCTCTGAGTTACAGTCTGCCGTTCAAATAAATCCATTTCAGCTACTTTTTTAATCTTTGAATTTGAGGTTGTTTCCTGAAAACGTAACGATTGGTTCGGTACAAGAGTGACATAACCGGGACGAATAAATTTTTTATAAATGAGCTTGAAATAGAACAATCATCAATAATACTGTATACTTAGTGGTTTTAGATGGAGATAATTGGAGGATCTTTAATAAAATGATTATTTAATTATTATTTAAGAAAGAGTTGAAATAACTTACGAACTTTTTTTTGAATAGTATAATTTTTATCATTTTTACTGTAATTTTTAATAACGATTTATTTTATTTTATTTTAATTTTATGCTCAAGTTTATTATATTTCCTTTTACACAGGACACAGTGGCTTACAGGAAGCATGTAAACAAACTTTGAATACACGTATGAATGTATTATGTGCGATAATGAGATACATAATTTTTCATGAATATATTGAAAATTTGAAACCAAGATGAAATTGTATATAGAACTTAGAGATGTTTGTTAGTGAGACGTTTTTTGCAAACATGTGCTTAATAAGAAATTAGTATGTAGCATGAACAGTGTAGCGTGAACCTTAAATATATAGGTACTAAATATAATATATTTAATACTAAACATATTAACATATTAACAGTATTAAACATGTTAGTATTAAATGTATTAACATATTAAATATATTACCATTAAAGATGCATAGTTCCGCTAAATATCATGGCGAGTAATTGACTGTTCAAATACTTGTGAGTTACTAAAGATTTTAGTAATATTTGTGTACATTCTCAGATTTGTTTGTCGAACGTAATCATGATAGTCGTGTCGCGTTACAACGCTAATGATATTTCGTATTTTAATGATATAACGTATTTTCTACAGTACATTTTATTTTCTAACATTATAAATTTTACAATATAGATATTTAAAATGTAGTTGTATATTTAATATGTAGATTTTATTATCCTCGCTCGAGCCATTCTATAATCCTTTGTACAGGTTTCCAACAATAGCTTCTAACAATAAGTGTGAATTTTCGGCCGCGATATCACGTCATACAATCAAATCCACCGCCCACACGGCATGAACGCGTGTGCAATCAGTTTGTGTTCATTCAACAGATTAAGTAGACAGTTTCGTTTTCTACGCTGCGTTCATTCGCGCGTTGTTCATTCGCTATTTTCAGACGGAGATGATTTCACATTGTATTAATTAACTTTCCTAGATGATTTCACATCTCGTCAGGGCTACGACACAATTTTATCGAGGGATTCGAATCCGAGATTGAACGCAACGCGATCGTTTATCTACGGTGCAACACGTTTACGCCTTTTGCGCTTGCACGATAAGTCGTGATCGATCCGGCACGGCGGGCTATCCTCGCCAATTTCAATTGCTATACGAACAATTCACAAGTCACGTTGATTAATTCCATAATTAGCGTTAGTTTTTGAAATTTATGCCAATTCCTTGTAGCAAATAAATTTGTGGAAATAAATAATTTAAGGAGTTGAACGTTTATTAATCGATCAGCTTGACCTTTGAATATTTCATTTATTGAAAATTACGGAAAGAAAAAAAAAATATTTGTTAGAAAAATAAATACTATGAAACGAACGGTGGTTTTTGAGCAGATTGATTCGACAAATATTCGAGGTGATGGAAATTGATCTGCGGTCAGTTCTGATAAGTTAACAAGTCTGAAACTATATTTAACTGTACCGCAGTATGCCGACTAAATGACTTGCTACCTACATGTATACTTTGCATATGAGATTGGCTTATTCTTTTCCAAAACTCTTTTAAATTGCGATCTCTTCCGAGCTTCATCAATAAAATTTCATCGTTCGACATTTAAACGAAGAATTTTTATCTCTTGTTTTTTTTATATTATTTCTTATATTTAACATTTAGTATTTCATAATGTTATAGCATAATTTCTTTTTCTTTTTCGAAGTGACCTATTACGATGGATCAAGGATTCCCAGCACAACATACTACTACGACGACGGTGACGACTAGCACAACTACAACACAACCAAACATTCGATTCGATCCGTCTTACACAAAAACATTACCAGGAATGCTCAAAATTTTACAGGTGGTAAGTCGAATGTTTCTTTACCAATCAATACTCTGTCGTTTATTGCCAATAACTGGTTCTATGGATCACAGTTGTGATTTATGTATGTACATCGAACGTTGTTGATAAATTAATGAGATTTTTTTTGCACTATATTATATATATAATTTTTAAATAAAGAACGTACTGATTATTAATTTTTTTCTTTTACAGGCCTTGAATCTTTTAGGTTTCATATGCATTACGGTATCGAGTCAGAGCAATAGTAGCCGTGGAGCATGGTTCAACACTGTAGCCATGAGTGGTTTTTGGTTTACCGGGATACTGCTCGTTTTTTACTTGTTCCATATCATTGAAAAATTCTCGAAAATTCCTTGGTTACAAATTGTAAGTTCATGTAAAGTATAGTTTTCATATTTTATAGATAAAAGAAATATATCTTGAGTAGAAGTCTGTTAAAAAGTTAACGTACAAGCTTGCTTTTACGTGAGGGTAAAATATTGATCTTGTGTCGAAACTGGGACATTTTATGCCATGACACGCTAATGTTCAAACTATATCAATAATCCGACTTAATCCTGTTATCCCTGTTGCATAATATTTTATTCAATATATATTTTTTTTTTGACAAACAACGATAATTAAGGATGTTTCAAGAGTGATGTAGCTTTGTATTTTTATTTGTAGGAATTTATATTTTGCGGACTTTGGACCATTTTTTACATGCTGGCCGCTTCTCTTGCAGCTGGTCATGCCACATATATAGAAGCTTTTGGAGCTGCAGCAGTAAGTTTTTGAAATTTCTGCTGAAAGTGAAAAATTTTGATTGCCAAATGAGTATTTTCTTTCGAATTATCCTATTTAAGTCTGCGTTTTACCATCTATCTATCTAAAATCAATCAGTCATCCAGAGTAAATAATATTTAGATTAAGTATCATTAAGATTAAGATTTAAGCAAACATTTAGATTAAGTATATATTAAACATAAGATTAAGTTATATATGGACTATAATTCGAGAAATCCGCTTATTTTAAATAGTCGGATGTTTTTTTTTTAATATTTTTATGCATCTCACCGTAGTTTTTTGGATTCTGCGCTATGGTAGTTTACGGTTATGATGCTTGGCTCAAATTCCATGCATCAAGAAGCGGTGCCTTGGCACAAGGACAGCACACACCGAAACAAATATCCACAGTGACAAGTCCTGCGTATTAATTTCATCATAAAAGTGTAGGATTTTTAGAAGAATCACACAAACGGACCAGTTTCAAAACATATCCTTGCTTTTATAGAGGAATTTTGCGTTTGTAAGTCTTAAGTTTGTACTTTCATTTCATATGTTCTTTGTTAAATGTGAAACGTCAACAATACGATAACAAGGCACAAAAGATTAGAGTTTCATTGATTTTGCTATCTTTTCTCTATCAAATGTATATTCGTGTACGGAGATATTGTATAATTTTATGGAGAAGCACGATATTCGACAACTTTGTATCTTTGTATTATGAGCTAATGATATATTTACTATTATAATAATAATGCGTATTTTTGAATCTCTTATATATACATTATGTAATGACTGTACATTGCATCATGAATTTTTTTAAGTCTGTTAATATTTTTAAAAGATAGCATATACATATATATATATATATACTTGTATACATATACAGGAAATATATGTTCAATCAGTATTGTGTTCATACTGTAAAGAAATTGCTGATATATTTGTATTCATTTTGTATTTTTAATTTTTTACGGATGGCAATTTCATCGCATTCCTGATTAGAGTGGCAGATGGGCGGATGGTTATGTTAATTTATTTATGATTATTCATGAAAAGATAATGGCATGACAAATCATGTTATTTCCGCTATCTTTATTCGTTGTTATGTGTATTATATGAAAAATCACGTGTCAGAAAAAATTAGGGATGAAAGAATTACGTATATAATTTATATCTATACATATTTCCATGATATACGCACGTCACATGTAGTTTGTTACTTTTATTCGTTGATCTTGATACAGGTACCTACATTTATATGTACATGATATAGATACGTACTAAACACCTCCTAATTACAAATTTCGAACATAAAGAATACATTCTGGTCAAGACGGGACTTGTATTATTAGATCAATGCATAACGAAATGAATCATTCGGTGTTACATCAATTTTAGTCATCGTTATCAGGATACATAATCGCCAACTATGGTTCTAACTTATAATGATTAGTAATTTAAGTTGTTATTTTATGTTACTTACATTTTACTTAATAAAGCTCTTTCTTTTCCAGTACTTGAAGTAAGATGGTATAAATATTTCAAAAATGGGGAATTGTGAGAGAAAGATTTCACGAGAATTTCGTTTTCTTTTTTTTTTTTTTTTTTTTTTTTTCTAATGATCGATGTCTCTCGATTGTCCGAAATGAAATAAAAGAAGATATATTAAGATAAAATAATATATTACTAATGGAAACGAGGTCTACGAGCTTGTTTTTTACCCATACTCGATAAATCTATAGTTTTACCATCGGGTAGTACCAGTTTGTTCTCTTGGTAATCAACGAACCCGTTCTCGTCTTCTTCTCGTTGTTCCTCGTCGCATTTGATGCCAGTTTCGTATGTATATTCCCGACGAATGCCGTCAGGATCGATATACCCGTATTTACCTCTAGTGATGCAATCGACGCCGATTATTTCTTCCTTGTACGATCCGTCGTCGTTCTCGAAGCCCCAGGTGATCGAACCGTCCGGATTATCATTGCGGTATCTCCTGATAATCTGTTGCAAAACGTATATATATATATTCTTCAATATAGTATGTTACAAATGGTGTAATGTAATTGATTTCTTCTTCACTTAACAATATTACTTCAGGTCAATTTCATCACTTTAGATCAACTCTCTCCCGACTGGATACTTATATAAGTATACTACAAGCATCATGTCCCACTGTCAGAAAAGTGCGTTAACGCGTTTCCGTCATGGAATCGCGTTTTTACATTCTACCCTACAATTTAAACCTAGCTGTAAGATTCTATCTCGTCTCCTCCAACTTGGATGCTTGTGTCATAACTTGCATAGTAATATTAACTGGTGACATAATACAGAGACTAAATCAGAGACAAGCAGATCCCCGATTCAATCAACCAAGTAGCGACAAACGGAGAAGAAGAAAGGAATCTCTTAAACGGTGGAAGCTCGAACAGTGCTGTGGCAAGCGTGTGTTTTCATACTAACCTGCGCAACGGGCTTCTTTCCGCGAGTGTCGTAAGGCTGTGATGGATTTACTGATTTTGTAGGTGGTTTGACCTGTTGCTTAAATGGCTCTTCTATTGGTTTCCTTGGTTTGCTCGGTTTTGCTGCCGGTCGATACTGAACCGGCGCTGGCGTCGGTGCTGTTGGTATTATACTTGCTCTGCCACTTGGGTTTCCTGACACTGGCAGAGGACGATATTGCACCGGCTGCACCGTCGGGCCAATTATAGCGGAGGTTTTTGCCACGGTGGCTAGATTTGAAACGCCACGAGGTAGATTCTCTTCGCTTTCCTCCTGGCTGTCGAGCGGTTCGTCGCTCAAATCGGCATCGTCGTCTTGATTGTCGTGGTCGCGCGGCAACTCGCGATTTCGAATTTCCTCGATTTCTGGCTCCTCGTTTACTGGTTTAACTTGTTGAGGAAGCGGCGCCGGTCCTGTCGGCAGACTTGGCCGGAACGATCTGATTGCCGCGAAACCCGGACCTGTCCCGATAGAATCCTCGGGACCCCTTGCTCTGACGAAGTGAAAAATGACATGTACGCACGAATTAATTTAGCACAACGTAGCAATTTCGTAGCTGGTTCGTTCAGTTGTGTTTACACTTTGATGTGAATCAAATAAGTTACAATTGGAATAATTAAACATTGTTATAACATAGTTATTTTCGATTGAAAAATAGTAGAGCCATAGAGGGGGAGATAGAGAGAAAGATATCTCGTTCTGTCGAATACTGTAAATCTAATCTATGGTACCTGAAAGTAATTGGACGGCGAATTCGTTGATTCGCGAGTGCAGCCTGCGTTGGAAGTGCTGGTCGAGCAGACGGCAACTTTTGGAAACGAGCTGATCGCAGGGACGGTCCTTTTGGTGGTAAATTGTCATCCTGGTTAAATTGGGCCGAAGCCAGCGCAGTGATGCACGCCAACAACTACAATACAATCAGATATCTCTGAAACACTTGAAGCTAATTGATCGATCAATTTTTTTTCCTTCACAGTTTTTTTGAATAGACGAAAACGGTCTGCTTATATTAAGTCCTTTTTTTTGTGAAACAAAACAGAGTCAATCGACACCGAGAAAATATGAGAGGGTAACGAAATAAATTGCTATAAAGAGATAACGCATCAAAGTCTAAATATAAGACTGAAGAAAGGCTCAGAATAAAATTAGCTCAAGGTACGCGAAATCAAAGTACGATAATAGATACGACTCGATCGCGGATGTTTGTATGCAAATTCGTATTATTTATGGGTATAACCGTGACTGGGATGGAATTTAGTAGATTTGTTTGTCATCGAGTATTATAACGAGAGCTGTGTAATTTGAATATTACAAAAAACGCATAAAGAGCTCGATGCATGATACATTAAACTAATCTCTGGAATATCATTGCGGAAGTATTCTCTATAAATCGTGCCAAGCCAACGAGTTATACTGATCCATGTCACTATGCATTCCGCGTACGAACGTCCTTCCACGTATCTTTCTTTTCCCCCCTTGTCAGTTTCTTTCTCTTTCATTGTCGTCGCTTTGGTGACTAAAATGTCAAGTTACGTGTTCGCCAGACACGGCGAACATTACACGTACACGGGCATTATGCGTCGCAAGTTCTCGAAATCGAAACACTTTCTCTTTTCACCGGCTGGCGTACGACGAATTTTCTGACCAACTGCGCGCTGTTGTCACTGTTAGCTCGCGCTAATTATCGAGCGTGTATATAAGATGCACGAATGCGCTTAGAAAAGCGTTAACTAGAATACCTGGACCGGTTTCGAGAGCAGCCGCGTGGTGGAAACCTGTTATATATCGATCGAGTGCAAATGGAAGGAAATAAGAATAATCAAATTACGATCGTGGCAATAAATACTGTGATTCGGCGGCTGTTGGCTAGATCGCAACCCCTTTCTCGAGGAGTTGCGCTAATACCAGTTCCCTCCTGTAATTTCCCTTATATAAGAATATGAAACTACTGGTCGCAGTGTAACGTAACCGTGCGTACGAGTAATGTCGAATTGAACGAAAATAAATATTCAGGATAACAGGATCCTGTAAGCGCTGGCTGAGAAAAGTGAAAGAGATTTTTCATTCGAGTCTGTCGAGTAGACGTAACACTTCGTTCTGTGTAAAAGTTATGCTGTATTATTGGAAATAGTGGGAGTAAGGATGTTAGTAAGTGTTATTATGTAAAACCGAGGAAGATTTTTTATTTATTTTTGTTAGGAGGAATATTTTTGTCAGATCTCTCTCACGTTATTAACGTGAGAATCTTATGAATCGACGTTTCGGCTAATTTCATAAATTTTAATAAAATTTTTATGAAACATTCTATGCTCGTAAACGTTTCAGAATTCTTGCGATATAGAAGAATTTATTAACGTATAAAATATGTATTAATGGTTGTAGGAAGTGAGAGTATGGTATGCTGTCCAGTTTATCTTGGAATTCTAATGAAACTTACAGCGAGTGTTGCAGTACGATAACATTCTTAACAAAGACTGACTAAGACAAGAACGACCGAGATTTTGATGATGGAAAATTGGATTTGGAAAATTTCTTTTATTTCTTTTATATTTTACACTAGCTGGTAACAAACGAATATAAATTGACTATTAGATTTCACTTTTCAGCAGTAATATCGAAGAATTTCGTTTGGGTTCCTATTAAAAATTGAAAGTATCACACTGCAATCACTGAAAACGATCGTGAAAGAATTGAGAAACGTTACGAATTACTCGGATCTAACAAAAATAGAAAGTAGACTATACAGATATACATATAGTACACGTAGAGAAATGAAAATGTTCAAAATCTTGATGGATTATCTCGACGCAGTTTGAAAACGCTGAAATCTTAAAAGACAACCTTAAATCAACCTAAAAATCTGCTAAAATTCTCAGAAAACAAAGATCAAGCAGAGGCAGAAACGTTTTTATAGAAATTCGCCAGCAACTTGAGAATGTTCTTAATTAGCAGATTCCATCAGAAATGTCAGAAGTGTTTCAATGTCCTGTCACAAAATTGGCAAGGTGAAAGAGGAAAGGAAGTGGGAATCGTGTCGGGCGAAGTAGATCCAGTATCGAGCCGGAACGCTATATCCTCCTCTTTGGTTCTAGTCTGCAGGAATGCACCGGTCTCGTCGGAGAGTGAGAGAACAAGAGAGAGAGAGAGAGAGAGAGAGAGAGAGGGGAGAGACAGGCGGATCGAGTGGATTGTTTCTTACGAGATTGCACTTCGTTCCAACTGGCGGCACGCACCTAGATATTACCAGGGAGCATACTACGAAAAATCTATTCGACTTTCTTGCCCCGAGCACTTTCACTCGGTCCGTTTGGCAATGTAACCGTTAATTTTCGGCCCCCGTGGCCGAATATCGTTGAGAAATGCGTTCAAGATCTGTTACAATTTCTCTCCTCCCCCCCTGATTTCTTTTGCCGATACATACATACATACTCGCTCGTTCATTCACTCCCTCGTGAACACTTTCACTCGCTTCCTTCAAACGATCTTTCTTCGTTCGTTATCGTTCGATCTCTCATTTCCCTCGGTTTCGCGATGGGTGCCACGTTTTCGAGAAACGCGCGTAAGAAATTGAAGCGCTTCCAAGTTGAAATTGAAGCGCGTCAAGTTGACAAATACAATTCTCTGTTCTTAATTAGCTTAACTAGCTTTTAGCTGGGAAGAACAGGTTGTGTACGTACTTTGTACGTACGAAGACTAAGATTCGTTCAACGAGGATTAATTTCTCTTTAGCAGTATTAATTTTATAATTGTAGGGGTATAATTTTGGTTAAGCAATGACCCGGTTAACAGGTTAATTGAAACGTGGGTGGTACTGTTGATGCTTGGACTCTAATTACATAAAGATTGATAAATATATATATAAGGTAAGTTGGTAAATAATTATAATTATGAATAAATGTTTTAAGTAATTTATTTAAATCAATATTGTTTTTTTTTCGTGATTCTTTAAACAACGAAGTTTTTAAATTTATTTTTGCTGTAGAATTGAACGAAAAGTATGTTGACTTGCATTTCTTATGTAACAACATGTGGCAATTGCAGAGCATAACCGGTCGAAACAGAAAGCTTTCCGGCTCAAATGTATTTAGGAACGTGGATAAGCTGGCAGGGCTGATCGAAAGGAATGTCAAGTATAAAGGAAACACTATACGTAAGTCGATACACTTTTTGCATGTTGTTTAAAAACCTGCCTGCCTATCTTGCCACACGATAGTTCTTCTTTTCCCTTTGTCCTTCTCCTACGATTTTGATATAAATGTGTCATAACCACTTTTTAAAATAGAGTTTAAAATTTTAAAATTTTGGTTTTTCCGTTTTGTCTCTTCATGAAGTTTGAAAACAAAAAAACCCAGTTTTCTCTCCATGCTGAAATTTTTACTACAATTCCCAAGTTTTCCAAATTCTTTAAATATTCTTTTCAGTTTAAAATTTTTAAATATTTTTATTTTCTTTACTTAAAACTATTTTTCACTTTTTGAAGTTAACAACTAATTACATCGTTTTTTTAATTTCATACTTCAAGTTTTTTTTTTTCAACATAGAAATAGGACATTTCAATTGACCTTTTGTTTTTTCCAATCTTCTAAACAATCATCTCTCTGAATAAGATTCATTCCAATCATTTTCAAACTTCGCGCTACGCGCGCATCACTTGCAGATTCGTGGAGAACGTAACGAGGATGAAATATGGGACGACGATTCAAATTCAAACCTCTCTGTTTCCAAACTTCTATTCCATCATTAGTGAAAGGACGTAGGTCTTTGGAACTTTTAATCCCACTACGGTCCATTGAACGTCATGACTTTGACTAATGCTAGTTTCCCAGCTCTCTAATACACGAACAATTTACATGAAAGACGATCAAGGCAATCCTTCTCAATCACATAAATTCTTATTGGAATTTATAAAAAGTAACAAAAAAATTGTACTTATTTCGTGTAATTAACTTACAAAGCAAAATATTAAGAAAAATAATTCTAAATTCTATTCTAATATATACAAAGTAAATATTATTATTAAATATATACATTAATTATATATACAAAATATTAAGAAAAATAATTATAAATTCTATTCTATTCCATTCTAATGTTACATTCTTATCTAATTGTAAACCATTATCGTTTATTGCTATTTGTCCTTTTGTTATACTGTCATTTCATTTTATTAATATCTTCGTACACTGAATTGAGTTTTCTGAATTTTTAGCAAACCGGAGAAGCGAGAGGTGAAAACGACGATTGTGGAGAAAAAAAAGAGTTAAGGGTTGATTCGACAAAATGGCGGACAACGCGCGGGGCCAAAATATATCGTCGGATCTTTAATGGATGCCAAAAAAAGAAAAAAGAAAAAAAAAAAAAAAAGGGCTGAAAGGAAAAAAAGTAATTTTGGCTACTCACGATCACCGCGACGCGCATGGCCGTATCCTGTGTCCTGTGTCGCAATGGTGGTCACGCTGGGAGTGGTGCCGGCGCGTTTATGCCTCACACTACCGCGAACGACTCCCCGTCTCCGTGTTCTTATACCTATATCCCCGTTTAAATTCCTATGGTACGGGCAACACGCAGGCCAACTTTCCATCGTATCGGCCAGCAGGAATACAAGATCGCCAAACGATTCGGCACGTCACCCGTAGACGCAATTCTTTAATTCGTCTTGCCTGGTAAATTTTATCGGCGTTCCAATTCTGAACGATCATCTTTCTCCCGGTTCAACTTCTCTTGGTGAACAATTGCTGATAAATTACTTTGAGGAAATTGAAGGTCGCGCCCCTTTATACCCGTTTCGTAAAATTTTAATGGCTACGGTGCAATTTTGTATTTTGAAGTAGTAATTAATAGGTAATTGTAACAGCTATTGTCAGTATTGCTAGTATTAAAGTAATTGTAGATTATGTACAATTATTATTCGTATTATAGATATAGTAATTGTAGATTACTACAATTATTATTCGTATTATAGATTACTACAATTATTATTCGTATTATAGATATAGTAATTGTAGATTACTATAATTATTATTCGTATTATAGATTACTACAATTATTATTCGTATTATAGATAAAGTAATTGTAGATTATGTACAATTATTATTCGTATTATAGATTACTACAATTATTATTCGTATTATAGATAAAGTAATTGTAGATTACTACAATTATTATTCGTATTATAGATAAAGTAATTGTAGATTATGTACAATTATTATTCGTATTATAGATATAGTAAAAATAATATTAATGTTAATATAGAATTAATGAAATTAATGATTATTAACATACTTTAGTGTTGATATTGTGGCTTTTGCTTTCATTCAGTAGTTACTACTAAACAATTTTATTGCCCGTTAATAAGTATTAAATTCGACAGTAAAACATTTTTAATTACACGTTTCCAATTAAATTAATATTTATAACAGAGGTGTCATTGTATGGTAATTTATATATCGTATAATTTATATTATAGTCTACAATGTTATTTATGCTGTTGTAGCTATTTATTTTTACAGTAGTGCAATTATTCCATTAAAAGTCCATCAAATTATATGCTACGTTTAGATCTACTATAAAACAGTTTCATTTGTAGATAATGTTTGTCTAGATAATCTATCTAAATTCCCAGTGAAATCGGCGCTATAACAATATTCGCCAAAGCGTGTGCTCAATAATAGCATTCTTAATAATGTTGCTCATAACAGATACAATTTCGAAAATAAATATTACATATCAGAAGTTAATTACACATTACGTTTATTTTATTCTTTTCTAATTATCAAGTTCACATTTTCTGCAGATATAACTTTAAGAACATAATCGTATTAAATTTATTTAATATACATTTAAAAGAATTAAAATATTACGAAATTAATTGTCGTAAATATTGTCATATTGTCGGATATCAGATCTAATATTTTCCAGAACAAGGAGTGTTTAACGTAACGTAACGGACGTAAATACATAGCCCTCGTTAAGTATTTCATTATCAGTGAAATCGAATTTTCACGCTGACGAGAGCCACTGAGTTTTCAATGTTATCCAAATCATGCACATAATACATAACAATTAACACCAATCCGTAGAAAGAAAGTTTCGAGTTTCGTTGATGTTCGAGTATTACAGAAACTTCATTGCCCGCGCTTTCTTTCATTAATGTCGGATGAGAGGCATACTTGGTCTCATAGTTACTTGGAAGAATTTCTACCAGGAGATGCTGTTGGAGGTTCGAATTCAAGGTCAGTGTCGGGGCTAAAGCCGGCTACACTGATGCCCGTAATACGATGGCAATGCGCATTCAGTACTTCGAGATGTTAGTCTGGTATAATTTACTGTACATATTGTACTTTCACGTATACGTACATTAGGCCAGAGCGTAGTGTAAGAAGCGCAGAACAGAAATGTATAGCTGCAGTTTTTTACACCAGCCTCGATTTAAAAATAATTTTATACTTATAAAAGCATATTCTACTTGGGGAATGATGGAAATTAAATTTATCTTGTATTTTATTTATTAAGACAAATATCACTACTCTTGTTACTCTAGCAGAAAGATATTTACTATAGAAAGTAAAAAATGCAACAATAACAAAACTTATCGGCCAAGTATTCTCAACTTCAATACGAAGAAACTGACGGGCATGCTCAAAACATTGATGGACTATGCACGCGCACTAAATGCAAATGTTACCAGAACATTCTCCACCATCTGAAACCAGTTTTCTCGTCGTTTCTTCGTACTTCGTAATAAGAAGCGTTTCTTGCGCTCCTTTCCTTTGCAATTTTTAAAAAAACAACCGGCTGATATAATTTACCCATCAGCCCATGCAGAACACTTGTACAGAAGTTTTAACAGCAATGACTGTAAATGTAGAAAAACTAAACTTTCCATGGTGTCAACTTGACATTTTTCAATTCCATTAAAGAGCAAAAGAGAAAAGAGAAATAATCAACTAGTTCACTCCGCCAAGTGAAACGACGCAAATGCGTGAAAGGTAGAGGCCCCATCTTGCATTTTGCCATCGATTTACCCCGCGAGGAATGTCCAGCCGCCATTCGGTCAGGAATGCCGCGAGTTCGAACCCTTGAAGTCGAATCAGGTACGTTGGTCAGCAGGTCTGGGCAAGAGGGAAAGGAAGGGAGAGACGGTAGAAGAGAGAGAAACAGGTAGATAGGTAGATAGGTAGGTAGGTAGGTAGGTGGTGCACCGGAGCAAGCGCTTTCGCGGGAGGCGAACACAGTGGAAGCAAGCGGAGTCGAACCGGCAAGCCAGACGGATCATTTTGTGGAGGCTGAAACCCCCGTGAAACCGGTTCTTCCTTGCGCGTGCTTCTTTCCTCTTCTTTATTCCTTTTTTTTCTTCTTCTTCTGGCGACGTAGTCGCCGTGTAACCATCGGCTGGTACTTATGCGATGCATACTCGCGTGTTACACAAGTATGCCCACGACACACACGATCTTTCGAATATATGGTACATGCGAAGGACACGTAACATTATTTCGATATCAATGTCGTTTCGACGTCGTATCGTTCAAATTGTCATCGAATAATTTGACACTGCCATCAGCTACATTGTGGCTCGCCCTCGTGAACAATTGCACGTTCTTTTGTGCGACTATTTTGTTTCTGAAGTACTACGAGTATTTCGTATTATTTTCAAGTCACGTTGATCCCCGTATTTTTGGATTGAAAATTACATCGGCAAATTTGAACGAGTAATAAACAAAGATAATAACACAGATCTGTTTGCTATTTTGAAGACTATTCTATCAACTTCGTGGGAATAGTATGTTTAAACCAACGTGGAAATGACTGCAAATATACAGAACAATGTTGCTGCACTGTGCGTTCTACAATTAATTGACTGTAATTTCTGCAGCAAATGGCAGAGCAAACTGGATGCGATCGGTAACCATAGATGGCAGTTCGCTGACTTAGAAAAGTCTGGTCGCTGTAGAATTACTATATTTCGTTCGTGCAATTCGATGTTTCGAGTTGCAGCGCCGATAGTACACTTTTTTTCGTTTACACAGTCGTCTGGCTTTATCTTGGATTCGTCCTCATTGTCAGTTTCATCACCTGTCACTCCCTCGAATCGCGTGAATCTAATCGACGCGTACACACCAGCATAATCTTAATGCGTCGAGTTACAATTATTAGACTTCTATTGCGATCCTGCATCTTCTTTACGTTATCTTATACATTAGCAAGCCTATCAGGAACAGCATCTGAAAAGAAAAAGAAAAAACGTTCTACAGCTACTATTTTGCAAAATATCACGTCTCTCTTAGGATTCTCATCTTATCATCTTTAGATTTTCGTCTTAATAGATAGTTTAATAATTCATTCGGAGATAGATCGACTAGATCTTTATCGTAAGAGCTTGGGCTAAAAAAAGAAATGTAGATTTAAGTTAGATCAGAGATGTTAGATATTTCTGCCCGTAGAAAGGCCCGATTGTTTATCATGATATATTTTCATAAAAAAATAGCAGACACCGTGAACAACGAAATTTCTGAAAAACGGATCGTGAAGAAAATCGTTGTCCTCGGTTTTCGAGCTAGCCGGTTTGGCAAACGCGACGATGGCAGCGTCATCAAGCTCTTCGTCGACCAGCCGATTGAACGCGGTCCGCGATCGTGCCGATTCCTCTGATTGGCCGAGCGAGCCGGCGTTACTCACGGCGCAAGAAGACTCTTTGTCTGTTTTTCGTCCGGTCGACTAGCCGGCAACCAGCGAAGCGCAAGTTATACGTGCAGTCGGAGGTCCTTCAGCCGTCGCGCCGGCTGCAATTATATTACGCTCGCCTTCGAATTCGATCTCGGGGGCCCACAAGTTCGTACTGGTATACTAGTCGCGGTTCTCCTCCACTGTCTTCGAGATACGCGCCGGCCACGAAACAGAGACACGGAGCGTGCCGGCGAACAGATCGGGTGATGTGCATTTAAAAAGTTCCATCGGTCTGATACGAATGGCCAGGATATCGGAGAAACGTCAGTCAAATTAATTCAATTGGTCGGAGGTAAGCCTTGTTTTCACGGTGGTCGTGTTAACTATCGTAATTCGAGGCTATTGGCGTCGACGATGGACCCGCGTTTCTTTTATTTGAATCAGAGCTACTTATCAGCACACACAGCGTTGTAACGTTGATTGGAAGTTTGTCAGATTTCATTAGTAATTCTTCAATCATAAATTTTTCGAATTCCGCATCTTTTCGATTCAACAATTTTTGAATCGAGTGCGAGTTTCTTTGATTTGTAATTTCGATCGTTTTCACAGTGTTCTACGTGTGATCTAGTAATTATACGATCTATGCTTTTCGTACTTTATGTCTTAATGAATGTACTTGCGTATATAGACTTTCCTCGTGTGAAATGATCGAGCAATCCAAACGAGATAAGAGTCGTATCCACGAGTGGAATTTAAGATGCTTTTAAAATTTTGCACGATCTTTTCTTCTTTTTTTTTTTTTTTCTCTCGTGCTTTTGCAAAGGAAAGTACGTGGAAGAGATGTAACCAGTTTTCGATCGAGCTACCCGGTACATAGAATGGTTGTATTCTACCGCGGATCTCGACTTCCTCCGACGACCTTCAGCCTTGGTATCGTTAAATCGTCGAAGAGCATTGGCCGTGACTACCTTAAACTATCTATTATAAATCTTTTTAGAAATATTACGTTTCATGAAACAGGTTAAAAAATGTATCACAGAGATACATCGTATTGACGTCAAGCGTGGCTATTCATATTCAATAACGTTCGTCATTCGTAAATTTTTGAACGTAAGATCTGAATTTTTAATGTCTGAAAATGTTATGCAGAGGGAGATGCCGAGTGAAAACCCGAGGGAGCGAAGTTCCTTGAAACGCTAGACGTACGTACTTACTTACGAACATTCATACGAATGTACGTACGAATGCACATATATGTGCTTCAGCCGCGGACACTGCTTCGGTCAAGGTCGTAGTCTGCAAGTTAATGCTCTTTTTACACGTTCTCTTTCCTCGGCTCTACACGGTGCGGTGTCGCGAAAAGGATGCAATTACTATCTGTCTATGCGAAACATTTGAAAGCAATTGCTTGAAAATAAATCTCACTTGATTGAAATAATAAAATATCACGCAACTTTTTGCATCGTGTGTAATTATTGGTATTTTCTTTTTTTTTTTTTTTTTTTTTTTTTTTATCTAATACAGGGTTTATTCTGGAGTTATTATATATCGTTGATATGACGATATTCTTTGACTCTCTCTCGATACTCTTTGTCAAAGGGAGAGTTTAATTTTAATGTTAAATTTTTTGAACATGATACTGTGTCGAGGATTGGTAACTCCACCACCGTTGGCGGAATCTAATGGCCAATGGGGTACGAGTTTCCTTCCCTCGGCGCGAAATGCAGCCATACAAAGATCATTTAAATTTTATCGCAGTCTAAGTCGTTCCATCGTGAATATGTTAAACGTGGCCGCGTAAGTATTCGAGTAAGTATATTAATCTTTAGCAACAATTACTTACCAAACGAAATATAAGACTGCATTAAATCTGATTTATAAAGTGTACTTATTTCAGTAAAATATTCATGTAGCTTACGAGTTTTATCTAAAATTTTTTATTGATCAATATACATATTAGGTCATTCGACATCACCGTTACACTAAGAAATATGGAATACGTTTGTTTCGTTTGTTAGATTTTAGATCGTAGCGTCATCTGTGCACAAGTGATGAAATTCGATATGTATTTCAAGAAATATTCCCGTAAATATATAGCTATTTATAAATGAAAATTAATCTAAAATTATTTATGCATATACGATACAGTTATTGACATCGTAAATTAATTTATATATCATCAAAGACTCGCAGATTGTCTGGAAAAGTTATATGTTCTGGCAACTTTAATCAAGTGGCGCTGCGAGCAGCGTTCGTTTAGATCCATTTTGATTCCAGCGATCGAACTTCAGTAGCAGACAGTAGCGTCACAAGTTGTTGTAGGATTGTCAGTAAATGTTCTGATTTCCTGTTATACACATCTGACAGTATGAATAATGTTTTTGTGTTCCTATTTTTGTTCGTTACATTAGTAGATATTGGATATGGTACGCAAAGGATTGTAAGTAACGTAATATGTTCTCATTATTAATTTTGTCAGTAAGAGGAATTCGATTCGATTAATTTCGTTATTTGGATCAGCAACTTTTTCAAATGCAAAACAAAGGTCGCGCGTAATGTGATTCACCGTCATTGTTCTATCTTGCGAGCAGAGTCGATTTAGAAATTATTGTCATATCTCGGCTCATTGAATGACAATTCGGTGGTAATTGGGAGCAGTGCGTTACTTAATGAGGAACACGAGTTCCCATAACCCATTTATTAATTAGCGTGAGAACTTTAATAATCAGGCGATTAGCAATAATATAATGCATGGAAATTTAACGATAAATTTATTTAAACGATAACGTTTGGTATGTTACATGAAGAAATTTAGAAAAGATCTTGGATCTGTTTTTTTCAAATTTTTCATAGAAATAAAATAAAATAAAAATCGTAATGTAATAATATGATTTATAAAATTTATAATTATAATAAAGTATTACTTAATTATTGTGTTGCAAACAATATATTTACATTTTTTTATATAAAAGAATTTGCCTGGCACTAGTTACGATCATGGCTGAATCATGGCTGTGGCACGATATGTAAAGACAAAAATTTAACAACAGTTTATCTAAGAGCTGATGGGCAAAATGACACTTTACACTATCTGTGGGACTTTGATGGTAATCCGTCTGTATTGCTAGCACTTACTTCACAGTCAGCTTCTATGAATATAAGTTGGGAAGATTTTCTTCTTAAGAAAAAAAATTCCATAACATTTACAGAAGAACCTGTGTATACTTTTGGAGTAGTGTTTAACAAGGTCAGTACATATGATATATATATTATTATTCTATTATATTGAAGCTAAATAAATTAACAAAACTAACCTTTTTAGATTATAGAATTTAATGATACAAATGACACAGCATTAATAAACATTGCTAATTTATTAAATACAAATATTTTACATCCCATGTTTTTTCAATGGGATCGCAAGACTTTAATACAGAATAATGAATTTGTCACACTCAATATGGAGGGTAACTCTTATAATGACAGTATTATGAATATCAGTAGAGATGGAAGCATAAAATTTTCGGTAAGTTATGTTACTTTACTATAAAAATCACATAATATAATTTTTGTTTGTATTTTAGTTGATGGGTTTTTGTTCTCTTGATCACTCAGAGGTCATGCCTCACATGTTACATACTGAAAATTCTACCCAAGTTGATATAATTCTTGACCATTTACAAACTAATAAAAGCTTCAGCAATAGCAGATTTGCCATTGAGTTATTGGTAGTAGGAGAAGGAAATCCTGAAATCCCTATGTTCATTAATCCAAAGAAAAGTTTAGACGATGAACATACACCTGGTATATTTGAGGTAATATATTGTAATTTGTTTTCTTCATTAAAAATAAATTAATTGCGAATGTAATGTTATATTGATATCATGTTTGTTTTAGGTTGTTGAAGTCAGAACACCGCCTTACAAAAGTATGGACAATTATGAAACACAGGGTGCTTATTTGCAATGGAGACCAATTTCTTATACAACTATGTCGCGAAATGTCATAAATTCTACAGAAACAATGCAGTACCCTCCAATAAAAGTATCTAATCACACAAGTGCTGTTGCAAATTCTATGTTATATTGTTACTATGGAGATAAGGTTGACACTTTGCTTACTCAAAGAATTATTGTATCATTGGGGACAAAAGGAGATGGCTTTTATAAAAGAACCTACTACTCTACATGGTAATTTTATTTCAATAAATATTCTTGTTGTTATTTGAAAATGAAATGACACTAATATTCTTTCTAGGACATTCTTAATTGGATATGGTACACCACCTGATGAACAATTTTCTTATTTAGTGATTATGATTATTTCAATTGGTCTTGGCCTTCCGCTGATTATTTTGCTAGGGGTAGGCTTATATCTTTGTATATACAAATTGCCGAAACGAAGCGGCCAGGCGTATTTAAATCAATGAGAATGCGTACAAATCATGCAGAATTTTTAATTGCGTGACATTTAATAGAAATCCGTGCACGTTTAGTTGCATTATCGACAAAACCACCGTTAAACTTTATAAAAAGAATTTTTCCTATATTTATACATAGCACATATATTTTTTACACGTATTTTCAAATTGACACGAGAAAATCAATTTGAAGTATTATATATTAAGGCAATGCATACAAATTATACTGTACAAATTTATACATAGGTTATCAATAAACTAGAAGAGAACAATCTACAAGAATTATTTTTCGAACCAGGAACGTGTACACACTCTTGTACGATATTGTAATAACACTTCGAAATATACGAACGAAAATTTTATTGGGGAAAAGAAAAAGACATTTAAAATGTAAAATGGAGAAACAAATAAACGAAAAAGAAAAAAAAAAGTTGTAAACCAATGGCAAGAAATAAACCGTTTGAAAAGTGGAAAACCGCGCGATATCGGAATGGCGGCGGATGACGAGTTGACAGTAAGATCGCAGCACAATCGCCGACCAATAGTTTCTTAAGGAAAGGCTTGCGGGCAAGCTTGCAGAGACGATCGGTTATTCCGAACGGCGGTAGGCGAATGTTTTCAAGCGAAGATAGTAAGAGTGGCGCGGTGTGGTACCGTGTTTCTCGCTGTCACGGGGGTGGCGGGCAAGGTGCTGTCAGTGGAAGAGTACATTTTCATTGATCCGTTCGTGGTACGGAAGCAAGGGGCGTACGAATTTACGATATCTTGACCGTGATATCGACCTGCTACTCTTTTCACTTTGAATCGAAGTCACGATCGAACGAAAAAAAAAAAAAAATTCCCTTCTGCCGATCGTCGCGGTTCCTCGCTATGGACCGCGCTCGCTCGAGAATGTCATGGTGGCGGAACGAGCGGAACATCGAGGAACGGGTCCGATCGAACGTTCATAGAGAAGAAGCGTATACCGCAATTGTCATTGGGTGAGCACGGATTTGTAGTTGCGACAGTCTCTCGCGCAGGTTAGTCGAGCGGTGGTGGGTGGTTCAGACAGAGGGGTGGTTCGTGTCGAGGGTCGCGAATGGTGCGGCTGTACGAGCGGGGCGCTTCGAAACTAGTTCCCGTGGAGTCCGCTGCGCGAAATTGGCGCGTGGCGGTGCAATAACGTCCGCGTCGGGTTCGTCTAATCGCGACACAGTCCTCGAGAGAAGCTTTTCATCTAGTAGAAAGTGTGCGCCAAACAGGGAGTGTTTCAAGAGACTCAGACTCAGTGTTAACGAGGGACTGGTGAACGGTGGTGAATTTCCGTGGCCAGGAGCTGGATAAAAGCAGAGGGGGGGTAAGAGAAGGAACGCGGACGAAGAAGAAACGTCGGCGAAAGGGGGAGAGTGTTAGTGGCGAATAAGTGAACGAGATATATTCTATAGAAAGGAAGAGGGAGCGGGAGAAAGAGAGAGAGAGAGAGGGACTAACAAAGGGGGAGGATTTATAAAGGGGGGGAGTTGAAGAAAGAGTGAGAAAGTGCTAGGTGAGTATATAGTGACAGAGGGAAACAGAGGAACCCCGAGAACGGGTGCAAGATAGAAAGAGAGGGAAGGGTGACGACAGAGACAAACGGGCATTAGAAAGAGGGAGAAAGAGAGAGAGAGAGAGAGAAAGCGCGCGCGCGCGCGCGTCTATGTGCCAGAAGGAACTGACAGACAAAGGAAGTGGAAAGGACCCGGTCGGTCTTTCGGTCAGGAAAGTTAAGGGTACGAAGGACGGCAGGAAGGCAGGAAAGACGGAAGGATCGTAGTCAGACGAGGCTGCGTTACGGGGTGACAGCGTTACGAGTGATAGAACCGCGTCGGGTCTGTCCCCTAGGAAGGGACCGTCGCGCGCAACGCGATCAATTTTCGTTGCGACGCGGGCGGCGAGACTGGAAGAAAGGAAGAAGAAATGACGACTGCAGCAAGATACCGATAACCGGCCAGATAATGTTGTCGCAGAGCAAGTTTTACGCTCTCTTTATCCACTACACGTTTGTGTAGCGCGACACGGGGCGGGTCCTTACCGCTGCGGTGAAGAACAGAGGTGTTGGAAGAAGAGGTGGTGGCGCGAGGAGAACAAAGAAGAAGAAGAAGAAGAGGAAGAAGCGGAAGAACGAAGAGAAGCAGGAAGGGAATCGAAGGGAACGAAGAAGCTTGTTTGGAAATTTTTCCGGAGGAGTGCCGGAGAGGATTCACCCGAACGGATTACTGGAATACGTTTCGTCGTGTTCATGATTATCGTGAAAAAAGAAACAGAAACGAGGGAAGAGAGGAGCAGAGAACGAAAGAGATAACGAAGAGAACAAGAGAGAGAGAGAGAGAGAGAGGAAGACAGAGGAAGACAGACACACACACAACACACGCGCACGCACGCACGCATACAGAAAAGACAGAAAAAAGTTCGTTGTCGTACGGTGTGTTCAGTTTACAGTGTCAGTTGCTTGGTAGTGTGCTACCCTTGCCGAAGCTGAACAAGCAAGGCCCGCGGAGGTATCTCAGAACCCGCCCCTCCTCGACGTCGCAGTGCCTCTTCTCCATATCGCTACGTCGTGCTTCTTTTCGTTCAAGCCGCGACTATCCCTACGCTACCGGAGAAACTCCTCGACCGTAAGTGAAAAAAAAAAAGAAAAAAAGAGAATGCCAACTATTTTAGTATATCTTATAGTCTATCCTGTATGTGTGAATCAGAATCCGAGAAACCTTCCTTTTTTTTCGTTTCCAAGTTTCCAACTTGGGGACGGTTCACGCGAGTGGACTGAAAGTTAGCTAGGGTAAACAGCGTGTAAGATATTTCGTTGATTTTACCACTTGGAGACCGCGTGTGCTCCCTCCGTGGAGGCGCTAATGGCGCTACCTTGCAGTCTGACCATACAACGAATAATCGTTGTCGCAATATCCTTCCCTCTGCGTCGCTCTTTCCTTCTTTTTTTTTTTTCTTTTTTGTTTTTGTTTTTCCTACGTGCTTCGACCACCAATGAGATTTTTCATTCCTTCGTTGCACCATGACGATCTATGCCGTGACGTAAAACAGAAAAAAGAAAAAAAGAAAATACGCGTTCGCTCCCTCTCTCGCTCTGTTCATCCTCTTTCTTTCTCTCGCTGCATATATACATGCATACATATACATAATCAATTACCGTGACCACCGTACAGTTTCGATTAGGTTGGACACGATAGCACGAATCGAATTGTAAGGTGACACATATACAGCGGCAGACATGTACACACACACGGACACAGGGACATGCACATACATACCCACACACACACAAATCACGCACGTACAAATGACATGTATCTACGTATAGCGTGACGCGCGACTGCTGTTCCATTCTCGATATATCGATCGATAGCCGCCTCGGTCAGGGATCAGTCAGGGGTTCACTCTCGCGATGACGATAAGCGCTTGCTCTTCTTCTTTGCTTTCTCTTCTCGAGATTAGTCGCACGTGAAATAGCTTCGGCTGCCTTTGTGTTTGTGGCCGACGAAGGTCGTATTTGCCGGCGCGCACACTACACACACATACACACACACACACACCGGTTATATCGTGTTCCTTCGCTCCCGTCTATGTTCGCCCCTGTGTGTTCTTGTGTGTCTCGTGATGACCTTCCTCCGCGCGAAAATTGCCGGTCAATACGACGTGCACGATCCGCTTAAAAGTCGTGCGATGGTATCGATCACCGCTTCGTGCACGACCATCAGGCTCGCCGGGACTTTCCTCGACGTGAAGGGAACGCGTGAATCGTGCCTATCTCGGACGTCGATCCTTCGAGAATGATCTTCCGCGAGTGCTCGATCTTCCGCCATCACTTTCAGGCTAACTTTCGGTAGAAATTCCTCGCGTTCTTATGTCGCATGTTGAAAATTTTACGCTTCTATCGTTGAAATTATGGTCAAAGTTTTGGAAATTTCAGTGAATTAAGAAACACAGAGACATTAAATTTTATTGGAAGATTATTTAGAAAAAATGATGTTTGGATGGATTAGAGATGTAAAGGGTAAAATGTAAGTTATCCTTATGTTAGCTCGTTAATTAAGAAATTCTGAGTATGTACATGTAAAATTGAATGGCATTACACGTGTTCTTTGTAGAACGATATATTTGTGTCGTTTAAAATTTGATGAACTATTTAGCTTAATAAATAAAAGATCGATAGAGTATAGGTATGTAATGTCAAAGGTCGTATCAAAGCTACATTGTCTGTGGCTAAAAGGAAGCGTGTTTTCCCGTCCGTTCGTCGTGCGAGAAAAGCATGACGTCAAAGTCGATTCCTTCGAACTTAAACGTTCCCCTGCGCTCTGGAAACCTGCCGCTTCCTCTTTTATCCATGATATCCTTCGATTCATTAATACGATTCCTGTAAAAGCGTTACTTGTTGGCATTTGGCATGCAACAGTTTCCCGATCCAGTCATTTCCTTATTTTCATAAACGCCTCGTACAATAGTTGATCACAGTTGAGAAAGAATTGCCATTTAGAAATTTGCGAAAAGTTGTAATTTGAGAAAATGACAACACAGTTTTTCGAGAATGTCTTCAAGCGTTTTAATATTTTGGAAATTACAATCTCAGTCTCAACTCGAGAGTTCTGCTTCCGGTTCTAACGATTTTCAGGGACTCTAGTTGAAAATTTCGGCCATTTCGAAACACGTGAACGCAAAAATGTCACCATCCAATTAAAAAATTATTTACACTCCGAAAGATTACAATTAAATTTCAAATAACTTCTAAATATTATTGCTTCGACCATTCCTCGGCTTGACAAAATCGCGCGCTCTACGAGAATTCCAATTACCAGATGAATAAACCTAGGAAATCCTGCGAATTGAGTTTCAAGCAATGCTTGAAATCTTCTGAAAATTTTTCATTCGCAACTGCCACGTTACTTAATCGGAATATCAAAAAAAATCCTCGTCTCTCCCAACTAACAATCCAACCGAGTTCGTTATCCTTATATCAGCGATTAGAGAGTTCTCTAATTTTCTCCGAAAGAGCAATGCTGATTCGGCGAGGATAGAACTGCTTCGACGTAACGTGTAAAACGATTTTTCGTCATAGTCACGTTCGTGGTTTGGTCGTATCCCAATTGTTGGAATAGAGAGTTTCAGAGGTAACCTCTTTCGACGATGATCCGTATCTCTCTGATTCCGAATGCGCCATGATAAGCAACGGTGTTACAAAAGCGCACGCATGCGCAGCAGACAGGACGAGGGTAACAGAAGGAGGGTGATTTTGCAGGGCAAACGTTGAGCGAGCAAACGCAACAGGTGCGATACTCGTATGCACGATGTTCTAAGCAAAACTGCACCTCGAATCGAGTATGTGTGTGTCTCTCTGAACTTTATAACGTGCATATAAAGCTGTTTCTGAGTTTTCCGGCTCTTCCCTGTCCATGCTGCTACGTAATTATTCGATAGAATTAGCATCAGACCGCGCGGAAGCCGATCTTCCGTAATTTGGCACAGTTGGAATCGGTCCAATGTCGAACAAAGCTAATAAACGTGAATAATTGGTGGTAGAGTAATTTTAGGATTTTCCCTTTGGTTTTTATTAATATTTTCTGCCAATTTCCCCGACATTTTCATACATTCAATCAATCAACTCTGTTTTTAAGTCGCTTTTCAATACCATTAATCATGGAATGTTTGCTTGCCATTTTTTAATTATTTTCAAATTATTCTTACTTTTAATTGAGATTCTTGTACATACAATTGATAATTAGACCGTGCAGACATTAAAGCTCCAAGCAGGCTTGAATATAGCTGAACCGGGTCTGTTGAACTTTCCATTTTTATCGACTGTAATATCAAACGGGTATATAACTTCCGTATAGCCTGAAGGAAAAAAAATTTATTTATCGTGGTTTCCATCGAAAATCTAAATATTTGATCGTTTTCCCTCGGTTCTATAATAAGAAAAACGATAAACTCGGCTTGCTTTTTCGGTCGATCTAATATTAGACCATAGACAAAGGGGAGCAAATTGTCCAGGAAGGGCTGGACAGACACGTTCACTTAGGGTGAGAAGATGTCGAGTTATATAGAGAAAATGATGCAGGGTTCAAGGTTCTATCGATTGACGAAAGAACTCGAACACAGTTACGATCGAGATCGCATCTCGCCGTAGGCTGGTGTTCGGAGGTGTAACGGCAGGTGAAAATCCGTATGAGAAATCAGGCGTTAGACAGGCAGGCAGGGCAGGCAGGCAGGCAGGCAAACGGGCAATCGATCGATTGTCCTCGCAAGAACGCATGGCCCTGTTCTGCACTATACTTTAGCTTCAGATATACTTTCTGTCTTTTGTGGGTCGTGTCAGTGCAGCTGATGCCGTGAGAGCAACAATTTGTGTTATGTACTTAATACTTTTGCTAGTATCGCGACATGCTCTATATGCTTCCAAAATAGTGCAGTGTACACGCTACCGAAACATGAAAATATTATTTCTAGATACACATACTATGAGTTTAGTTCTTATGTTATAGTATTATTTAATTGTGCGTTTGAAGTTGTGATTTTTTTTTGGTCAGAATTTCTTTCATTTAAATGAAAAGATAGTTGATAAATAATTGGTATTATATTTTTAATGTGACAAGGTGATTTATAGTTAGTAATTTTATTCTTGAATTTTGCTTTCTTTTGATTCATTTTGTTGTCAGTTTTATGTAATTGAATTTTCTGTATTAATTGATTTTGAGCTACTAGGACGTTTTGGAAAAATATCGGTCAAACAGTTAGTTGTTATGTATATATATCCAATGTATATATATATATATATATATATATATATATATATATATATATATATATATATGCATTAATGATTATTGATTTTGGTCTCTAACATGGCTATCCGAGTGATAGTAATCTTTTGGATGTCACGCTAAAACAGCAGGCACACCCTAAACAGCAGTTATCGTTATTATGTCGTCTGGCGGCGCAAAGTAACTTTTTACTACTGCCACCGTACTTTCAGTATCATCTACGTGTAACTTGTAGAGCAAAAACATTCACTACATATACCGTAATATAAATGTACTCTTTCGTTCTCACTGAAAGTTTAATGCTTTTTCAAGCAACTTTTTAACATTTTGAAATTATTAAAATGGCTTGATCCAGCTGCATATTTCAAATTGAGATTCTTATCGACGATATTATTTCTAATTTGAGTTCCATCAAAAATATTACACTTTAAATTTTATGATTTCAGTTCCCTGAAATTATAAATATAAAACTTTGAGTTTTCCAAGTTTCCAGAGTTAAGATTCGTAAAAATTTAGAAGCTTCTGGTTTTAAGATTTCTTATAATGTTCAATTTCAATTTTTCAAAAGTTTTTAATTATATAAAATTGATAAAATTTATATATATATATATATAATGTACGACGAGGTAAATGATAAATTCATAAACATTTTAAATTGATACTTCAAATTTCTATATTCATATGTACGTTGTGAAAAGCAAATTATAGTCTCTTGATTTTGGATCTTAGAGTCCTCCTGAGTTTATTTTCTAATTTGTGCTATGTAAAATTTATTTAAGTTTCCAAGCTTTTCATATTCCTCAAATTGCTATCTTCTCTTTCGAAGCGTGCAAACTTTCACGCTT